TAATGAGATGCGTCCCTCTTGTTCCTGCGAGTTTCGGTTCGATCGAGAGCGATTTGGTGGCATGGTGGGTGGTTAAAGATGGGAGAATGCATAGAGACGCCAAAAAATGGATGGGTGGCCGGGTGGCCCGGGTGGCCGGGTGGCTCGGGAATTACGTTAGATAAGTTTTGCCTCATTCCTCAGGCATAAAATGAAATATCCTCTTTGGGTATGGCGCGGTACATCATCTCAACAGAACAACCACTTCACCCATCCTCCTCGTCTAATCCAACTATACAACCAACAATATGTCCTACGCGCTAGAAACAAAGAAGCGCAAGTTCCATCGAGTCCTCGAGTCCCTAACCAAACCTTCAACCCCCGACCAACCAACCAAAGAATCCACCACCGGAGCTTCGACAACAGCACGCGATGCGATCAAGAAAATCCGACTGAGCAAAGATGACGACACCTCTACCTCCTCCATCAAAAACTCGATCCTGAAAGTCGCCCGACCCGGCACGCGAGCATCCTCTGTTTCATCGACGGCGCGACCTAGTTTTGTCCCTTGGGATCGCGAGCGCTTCCTCGAACGACTCGAGACGTTTCGGCGGGTGGATCGCTGGTCTTCGAAGCCGGCTGCGGTCAGTGAAGTGGCTTGGGCAAAGCGAGGATGGATCTGTACGGATGTGTCGCGGGTGACGTGTGTTGGAGGTTGTGGTGGCTCGGTAGTTGTTAAGTTGCCGGACGAGCTGGATGAATTGGATGGGTACGATGCGGATAAAGTGCGGGAGAGAAAGGAAGTCCGTATGTTGCTCTCGACCCCTCATCGAGGATCGATGGAAATGCTAACCGAAGTGCAGGTTCAAGGCTCGTGGAGGAATATACAAAGCGCTTGGTAGAAGGACATGGCGAGAATTGCCCTTGGAGGAACAAGGGCTGTGATGGTACGTGCCTACTGCATTTTCCCTGACTATACACAATGCTAACCTGTTTAGATACGATTCACCGCCTACCCCTGGCCAATCCTGACGTAGCAATCTCCGGTCTACAAAAACGGTACTTGAACTTGGTGAAGATGGAGGATAAGCTACCGGCGGAGGAAGCTATCCAAACACCAAAGTCGCTTGATCTTGACGAAATCATCAACGTGTTACCAACCGGATTTGTTGAACCAGACAAGCCGAATGAAACGACCGAACCAGAAAAGCAGCCAGAGACGACACAGCCAGAAACGATCAAGCCAGAGATAAAGGAAGAGGGTGAAAATCAAGAGAGCTCCCCTCAAGCTCAGGAAGAGATATCTCAGAAAATCACGGTCAACAAAGCAGCCTTTGCATTGGCGCTCTTTGGCTGGGATACTGTCTCGGGTGGGACAGCAGGGCTGGCTGCATGTGGTGCGTGTTTTCGGCGGCTTGGTCTTTGGATGTACAGGCCAAAGGCGGACGGGGTCGAGATTGACAACCCGTTGGAAGTAGTCAGTGAACACATGGAATACTGTCCCTGGGTCAGCGGTAAAGCACAGAGCGGCACGGGCAAGCCGACTGATAAACCAGAGACACTGCGCAGTGGATGGCAAGCCTCGGCCCAGGCACTAAAAGTGAAGCGTCGTCGTCAAATTCGTTCGACTGCCTCGATGGACACTCTCCGCGCTGGTTCCGAGACACCTTCCATGATGGACGGGTCAGTGATAGATTCAGAGGTTGACGAGGAAGCTAAGAAGGCTACTGATCGAGAGTGGTGGTCTAAGATCCGGCGACTGCGGCAGGTCTTGAATGTCAATTCTCCTAGGAAGTCAACCCCAGGGTGTTAGACACTTCAAGTTAGTTGCTCTCCTGTTATAGCACAAGCACGGCGTCATGGTCATGTTATTTGGTTCCTATGTATATACCCATTGACATTCATAGATTTTCAGATATTCAAGTATTTTAGTACATTTGATAGCACTTCCAGTGACTTCTTCACACCCCTGCTATATGATTCTCCCCATAAATTTCATTCAACTCTGTATATAATTCTTTGTATATACTCTTCAGTCCTCATTGTAGTGAATCTCTTCCGAATGCGGCAAGGGGAATGACGGAAAGCGCTGGTCTCAACCAAGGAATCTAGGGAAGGGAACCATCAGTGAATGAGCTTTGTCTTCACAATGAGCCATGTATTATCACCATCCTCCTCATCCTCATATAACCCCTCTAAACCACAACATGAGCGACGGCCGGCGAGTGTCAGGAGGCGCCATGTACGATCCCGCCCGCGACGCCTGGGCTGACCGCGACGCCTGGGCTGACCGCGACGCCGACGCGGGCTCTTGGCCTCAGCGCCGCAGTGTGGACCAGCAGGCCCAGTCGCACTCGCCGCCAGCGCCAGCACAAGCTCCTCGTCCTGTTTCTCCGGTGCATGCTGTGCCTATTCCTAGTCCTGGACTGGTGAGTACACATATTTTTTTCTGCTAGTTTGTCTTGTGCTGCGTGATTATACCGAGTGCGCTAGTAGCTGGTGTGGGTATTTTCTGCGGCTAGCTACTAGTGGAACTGGTTTTTGCGATTTGTTGTTCGTCTTTTCTGTTGGCTTGATTAATGCCAATTCTTTTACTGATTAGTCTCTGGGTGATATAGTCTTCCTATGACATAGGACCGCCTGTGACACCAGCTGCGCAAGAAATCTCTACTGCTGTGCCAAAACAGCCACCGCATCGTCACGTCTCTACGGAACAAACAGGAACCCCGGAACCCGATAAAGATATCACTCAGTCCTCCAAGCCTACCAAGAAGAAAGGAAAACGTCCAGCTACCAAAGCAATGGACAGTCCCGACGCCTCTAGACCGGCCTCCGAAGCCACCGACTTCATCGCCAGCCCATCCGACCCAAACGGCGACAAGAAGAGAAAGCTAGGTGAAGAAAAATCAGAGGACCCAAAACCAGGCTCAGACCGCCCAGTATCCAAGCGCAAGCGTCTCGAAGAACGACACCAGAAGCTACGCAAACGTGGCCGGACACCACCCTCTGCTTACGCACGACGCGATGCGGACGAGAACTCGGCCCGCAGTCGTGATACCCCGAAAGATCGCTCGCCTTCGCCGCCTCCGAGAGCGCCTACCCCTGAAGCGCAAGCGCGGCAGCGTAAGAGGCCGGGTGGTGGTGCGAGGATGGGGCTTGTTGATCGTGAGACGATGCGGCGGCGACAGGAGGAGCGTGAGCGTGCTCAAGAGCAGGATGCTTTGCGGACGTCTCATGATCGTGGGATGGCAGATGTTGTCCGTCAGCATTACAATACGGTGCCGCAGCGAGGAAAGGAATGGCGGAAGACGGAGAGTAAGATTAAGGGTCTGCGGAGCTTCAACAACTGGATCAAGAGTACTTTAATCCAGAAGTTCTCTCCGGACGAAGAGTTTATATCACGTTACAATGATGCCAAAGACTGGGCGGAAGGCACCGGGCCAATGCCAATGGATGAAAAACGTCTTCTAGTGGTCGACTTGGGCTGCGGCAAAGGAGGCGATTTGGGCAAATGGCAGCAGGCCCCGCAGCCAGTGGACCTCTACGTTGGTCTTGACCCAGCGGATATTTCTGTTGAGCAGGCTCGTGACCGTTACAATTCGATGAGGAATGGCCGCGGTCCGCGTGGACGTCGCGGCCCACTGTTTCATGGCGAGTTCATTCCCAAAGACTGCTTCGGGGAGTACCTGGGCGATATCCCCATTATCCAGCAGGTTGGCATTGATCCAAACGCAGGCCCAGGAGGTTCGGTCATGAGCTCGCGATGGGGCGGCGGTGGTTTCGACGTAGTCGCATCAATGTTCGCGATCCACTACGCATTCGAGAGCGAAGAAAAAGCGCGCCAGATGCTTCGCAACGTCGCCGGGTTGTTGAGAAAGGGTGGTCGGTTCTTGGGCGTGTGTCCCAATTCGGACGTCATCAGCACACAGGTGGCCCGATACAACACGAAGCGCAAGGATCGTGAAGCAGACAAGCAGGAGAAACCAGAAGACCCTGAAGATGGCGAGGTGGAAGAGGATGACAACAAACCGGCGTGGGGAAACAGTATATACCAAGTCCGATTTCCTGGCCCTGCGCCTGATGATGGTGTCTTCCGGCCGCCGTTTGGATGGAGATACACTTATTTCATGGAAGAAGCGGTGGAGGGGATTCCGGAATACGTTGTGCCTTGGGAAGCTTTTCGAGCGTGAGTCCCACTTACCCTGTGCTTCAAATTTCACCGCTAACCAATTAGTCTGACCGAGGATTACAACCTCGAACTCTCCTACCGCAAGCCATTCCTAGACATCTGGAAGGACGAACAGAACGATCCTGAATTGAGACCACTCAGCGAACGCATGGGAGTGCGGGATCGAGAAACTGGTGCTCTGCTGATGACGGAGGAGGAGAAGGAAGCAGCTAGTAAGTGCGGTATGTCTATACTGGTTGGATTGTGCTGACATTCTAGGTTTTTATCACGCATTCTGCTTCTACAAGGTTTAGCCCCAGCATGTTGATAGACAATCGAGTACTATATCAAGTTTGGCCATTGCCCTCCGTAGATATGCTCCGTTAGTGCCTGTAAAACAAGGCACAAACAATGACACCTCAAAACAGACTAGCGCATCGCGTCGCGTCCATTATACTCCAGTATTTTCAACTCCTCCACATACATACTTGTACTTCCCAAAGCACCGCATTACCGGAGTATTCTGTGCATCATTTAACCTACAAAATGCCAACAGCAACCGCAACACCCTCCCGCCACAGCCGCTACTCCACCACCGACACCACCACCTACGACGACGACAATGACATCCCCACCCTCGACCAGCAACTACCCCCCTACGAACCTCCCCTCGCACCCCTCACAGCAAATTCACAACATGCTCTCGCGAACCTCGCCCAGTCGCACAAGCTCAAAGTCCTCCAAACTCACATCACACATGCGGTCGAGAAACTGGGTGACTCGGCGGCGCAGGTTAATGAGCGGTTGACTGATGCGAGGGAGCGGTATACGCGGTATATGGCAAGGAAGCGATCGAGAAGCCAGTATGAGAATGATGGCGGGGAGGATGGAGATGAGGAAGATGAAGAAGTCCAGCGCATAAAAAGAACAGAAGAACAGGTCCACGCTATAACCGAGAAACTTGAGTCTGAAATGCGCGGCATCGTCGATACAGAAGTTAAAGCCGGGAGCCTTATTTCTATCCTCGCGGACCTGGGTAAAGAAGCAGAAATCGCGTCTACGACTACACAGCGCCAACAGTACCGTAACACGCGACGACGACGGAATCCCAACCCAGAAGATGACTCCGAAAACGAAGAAAACGAACAAGACGAAGACTACCAAGAAACCCAACAATCCCAATCCCAACAAGCCGTCGAACCACCCAGCCAAAAACTAACCCACCAACTAACAACCGAAACCACAAACTGGAATACACTCTCCTTAACCCAACGCTACTCCACAAACAACACCTACATCGGCTTCTACCGCATGGTCCACGACGCCAAGCACCCAGGCGATGACATTCCCCCTCTCCCACACGCCTCAACATGGTTCAGACATCTTGAAGACCCATCCATAGCCGCAGCGCCCTCACAATCCCAGAGACGGCACACACGCCGGCGTCAATCTACACCTGCTGAGGATGATGAGGAGATCGCTATTGAAAGTGAACGCGTCTCGCTGAAGTGTCCGTTGACTTTGCTTACTTTCCAAGAACCGTTGACGTCGAGGAAGTGTCCACATAGTTTTGAGAAGCAGGCGATTTTGGATATGATTGCGCATAGTCCGATGATGGTGCCGGGTTCCGATGGGGATCGGAGAAATCGGGTTCGTGCGGTCAAGTGTCCGGTTTGTTCGGTTGTGTTGACGCAGGAGGATTTGAAAAGGGATGCGGTCTTGGAGAGGAGAGTTCGGAGGATGCAGAGACAGCAGGAGGAGGATGAAGATGAGGATGAGGACGAGGATCGAGGACAGGGCAATCAGAGGAAGAGAAGCAGGGCTCAGCGAAAATCCGGCATTACGGTTGCTAGTGACGATGATGAAGAAGCGCAACCTGTCCGGGTCAAGCAAGAAAAGGCCATGTCTCGCGCTCTTTAGTTGCACATATCAGAGTACTGTAAATACAATTGCTACACAACACAAAGATTTGAACATCTCGATTGACCAGTTATCCCGACCGCACCGGTCGCTGGGTATATAATAACAGACTAACAGTACATAATAAACGCGCTGAATAGAAAGGACGTGTCATCAGCATGACAGCCATCGTGAGTCGCATAAAGACAACCAGAGAGAATGATAAACCAGAAAAAAACCAGAAAAGAACCAGAAAAGGACCAGAAAAGGACCAGAAAAAGTTAAAATCACCGTCCAGGTAATTCATCTGTTCCAGACAAATGAACACAGCGTAAAACCAATATAAAAAAGAAGAGATTACTTGGTGAGAATGCGAAGATAATCGGCCACGATCAACGTCACCATACTGTGGAGCAGTGGGTCAGCAAAGAACAACTAAAGCAGACGGTGTGGGGACACTAACGCATGAGGCGCGATCCGCACATAATACGTGCCGAAACCACGGTAAAACCGCAGCCAACCCTCATCCCGGATGACCTTGCCGGCACAGTCCAACAGACCCTTGTATGGCACCTTCCCAGTCTGCGGATCCTTCTGCTGCTTCTGCAGACGCGTCTTGATAAAGTCAAACGGCAACGACAAGAAACTAGCAAAGAATCCCGCAATAGCAGAAGCCGCAAACGTCTGGTTCTGAGCCGACAGGTTTGTCCGCGCAGCAAGCTGAGCCTTGGATTCGGAGAAGAACGCCAACTGACCCAAGTTAAGCGACATGGCACGCACAACAGTCGGGAAAGCACCAGCCCACAAAGCACCAACACCCTCACTCTTCGAAATACGAGCCAGGGCATCAAGAACACCACGGTAGTTCGCACGCTTCTCAGGAGCCTTCAGTCCATCAGACTGCATGCGAATGAGAGCCAGATCGGCCGGGTTTCCAACCATGGCGGCAATACCACCGGCAGCAAGACCGGCACCGGCACGTTCACCAAACGACACGCCTCGGTTGGAAGACTCGGCATTTTTGTTCAGCGTCTTCATGAAGGTATCAAAGAATCCCAGACGAGCAGTAGTATATACAGCCTGACGCAGCAGGCCAGCAGACAGACCGGTGTATAGATCGGCCACCTTACCCGTAGCGATGATATCGCGGGCCACGCCAAACGCAGAGGGACGAGGGCCAGTTCGGACACCTTCACCGGCGAGTTGTAGACGGACTTTGATCATGTCGAGGGGCTGGATGACCACAGTAGCAGTCATTCCTGCCAATCCGCCATTGATGAAGGGGAGGGCTGCTCGGGTGTAGGGGTGATGGAGGAAGTTGGGGGCAGGCTGGGCCTGAGAGGGAGCTGCTTCTTTGACGGTAGCCATGGCTGCAGCCGTTAGTGGATGATCGTATAGCTTGGTTGAAAGCTAATAGAGGAACACCTACCGTAGAGATGGAAGTATCACAGCGTCGCGGAAGCAGAAGCGATAACAAGAAGAACGAGGTAGCAGAACATATATATATACTAGTTCGGGATGAAGCAGAGAACCGAAAATGCAACCGAGAAGGAGAGCAGGAGAGATGAAAAGGAGATGAAGCGAGAACGTCAACCTTTCCAGCCAGATATAATAACCGACGAAATAACGGAAAGCGACGGATCTGCCCGATTGAGTAACTGCGTGCTTGCTCTTTCCTATACTTGCTGTTTCTACAACACTACTTATGTGCTATATGATACCGATGCCATTCGTTCTCTCGCGTCCTCTGCAATTAAACAATACCCAACATGTACACTTATATATACTGTCTTTATTATCTATATACTACCATCGACCATACTCATACTCCCAAGCACTCATAATACAACGATAATAGCCTCTCCCCAAAACGTCATTAACTGCGGGGCCGGTAATATACATAACAATACATTACACATCTTCCTGTCATCCGCTAATCCGTTTTAAGTAACCACGAGAACCGACCGGGATCCCGACACTACTCATATAGCCATCAGCATGAACCGAGTATATATCCGTGCCAGTTTAGTATCTTGATACCATTGATAATGAATACTGCAATATAATAATTGATACTGATGATACTAACTAGTATCAGTTATGAAAGTACTATAGAAGTGTGGACATGTATTCCCTCCGCCCGAATCTCACCCGAGGATATACATCTGTCTTGGTAGAGACTAACTACGGTGTATGCCAGTGCGGTTCCATTCCTCCTGCATCCCTGTCACCACTGAATTATATTCTTCCGTTATGGGGGCTTCCTCGGGTGACGGTCCGGTATGTGTTTTGTCGTTGCTGTTGTTAGCACACGGGTCCACGGACCGTGGCTGATGAGGCCAATCACCAGCTTATAATTACTAGTTTAATGACCGGGGTGTAACTGCCAATGATGGATCCCGCGGGAAACTACCGGTAAATATTTTTACCTAGATCTAATTCCCGGCGTTGGTTTCCTGGTTTCCTGTCAGCCGAGATAGATGCGTAGTGGCTGTCTCGTCGGTAATGGCTGTGTGGCAGGCATCTTATCGCCATCAGAGGCCTAAGCATGCTCGTCACGATGCTACAGGCAATTACGGATTCACGTACGAAGTATGAAGCACGGAGTAAAGAATAGGATAAAAGTATTCAGGTATCAATGATATCATTCTTTTCCCTGTACATAAAAATGGATACAAATACCAAAACTCACGCCATGCAATTATTTAACAAAAAAGCAGACAAAGGAAAATAACAAAAGCAAGATCATTGAACAACCGGCCCAGCAGCAATCACATCTTCTGTTGCCTGGTCCGAGTACTTGGTGAAGTTGTCGTTGAACAACTTGCCCAGCTTGTTAACCTCGTCCTTGAAGCTTGTCGATGCAGTCCAGCTGTTCTTAGGGTTAAGCAGCTCCGAGGGAACGCCAGGGCAGCTCTTGGGAACGGGCAGGTTGAAAACGTCGTACACCTCGTACTCGGCGTTGGCGAGCTCGCCGCTGTGGATGGCGTCTAGGATGGCACGGGTGTACTTGAGCGGGCAACGCTTTCCACCAGTGGTAGCGCCAGCACCAACCCAGCCGGTGTTGAGAAGCCATGCGTTGGCCTTGTGCTGCGAGATCTTGTCCGCGAGCATACGGGCGTAGCGCATGGGGTGCAGAGCCAAGAAAGGCTGAGCGAAGCAAGACGAGAAGGTGGCCTGGGGCTCGGTGACACCGTCCTCAGTACCAGCCATCTTGGAGGTGTAACCGGAAATGAAGTGGAACATGGTCTGCTCAGTGGTGAGCTTGGAGATCGGAGGGAGGACACCACGGGCATCGCATGTCAACAGGATGATGTTGGTGGGGTGGCCGTCGCTAATGCAGGGGAGCTTGGCGTTATCAATGTACTCAATGGGGTAGGCGCAGCGAGTGTTCTCAGTCAGGGTGTTGTCTTCGTAGTCGACTTCACGGGAGATAGGGTCGAAAACCGTGTTCTCCAGAACCGATCCGAAGCGGATGGCGTTGAAAATATCAGGTTCCTTCTCAGCAGAGAGACCGATACACTTGGCGTAGCAGCCACCCTCAATGTTGAAGACACCAGTGTCAGTCCAGCAGTGCTCGTCGTCACCGATCAGAGCACGCTTGGGGTCGGCAGAAAGAGTGGTCTTGCCGGTACCCGACAGACCGAAGAAGACGGTAACATCACCGTTCTTACCCTCGTTGGCAGAGGAGTGCAGAGTCAAGACGTTGTGCTTGACGGGCATTTCGTAGAAGAGGATAGTAAAGACACCCTTCTTCATCTCACCGGCGTACTCAGTACCGAGGATCACCATCTCCTTTTCGGCAAAGTTGATGGCGACGGAGGTGGCCGAGGTCATACCCTCGGTGAAGCGGTTGGCAGGGAATGAACCAGCGTTGTAAATCACGTAGTCGGGGTGGAAGTGCTCAAGCTCTTCACGCTTGGGGCGGATAAGCATGTTGCGCATGAAGAGGGCGTGGTAGGCACGGGCGCAAACCACCCGGACCTTGATACGGTAGCGCTCATCCCAGCCGGCGTAACCATCAATAACATAGATGCGGTTACGGGTGTTGAGGTAGTCGACAGCACGTTCACGGTTGATCCGCCAGACCTGAAGGAGATTAGTTAGCTTCAGCCCTACAAGATGACATAATACCACGTGATGCGACCGGGTGGAGAATGATGATCACGCCATTCCGAAAAAGGCAAATGGGTCACATGCCCCTATCTTCGGGTTGTACACGATAAGGGATGCATAAATGCCTCAACGTCGCAGAAAGACATGTCACAAAGCATCCATAGCAGCGGTATTTTTCAAGGCAAATTGAAAAAATGCCGCTGCCAGGAAACTGGATCGTGGCGCGCAAGGGGGGCAGAATGACAAAAGCAGAGATAAAGAGCTTACATCAGTGGTCATGGGCTTGTTCACGGGTCCCCACCAGACATCGTTTTCTGACGATTCCTCCTTGACGACCCGCTTATCTGAGGGGGAGCGGCCAGTTTTGGCACCGGAGTAGGCAGAGAGAGCACCGCTTGAGGTGATGGCAGAGCCGGTTTCGTAGACGAGAGCATCTTCGTAGAGGGCAGGGACAGAGGGGTTTGCGATCTGACTAGTTAGTATATAGACATAAGACTGGGACAAAAGAGGAGACATACAATAGCGACACGGTTGTAATCAATGTGTGCGTGCTCGTGGAGCTCCTCCTCGAGTTCAGTGTGACGGTTACCCGGTCTAGGACAGTTAGTTGCCACGTCCAGAAGCAAGGAAAGAAGAGAGAAGAGACATACTGGACACCACCAGGGTGCAGAGCAGTACGATTCACAGAAGTAGCAACCATATTGACGAGAGAAGTAGAATGATAATTGTTATTGCGCTGCTTTGCGACTTGTTGTTCAAAGAAATCTGAATAGAGAGGACCAGATTCTCTCGGGGGACCCGGGGGTATATGAATGTTCTGCGAAGAGGCCATGATTCGGTGGTTCGCGAGTTGGAGAGCAGCCGTTGAGGCGGTTTCCCTTGGGTTCTCCACACGGGAGATGTCGGATTAGTGGCGATGATCCGAAATGACCCGAGTAAAACCCCAGATTATTGCGAGTGGGCACGAAGAGGTTACGGAAGCGCTAAGAATGGATAAAGGAATAGACAGGGGAGGATTGGGTGGAATTGCGAGAAAATCACGCGTGATTTTGATGCAGGTATGCAGGAGAGAAGTACAGCGGAAGAAATAGTTGAATACTTCTACAAGTGCCGAACAGGAAAGAATGGTTTTGTCACGATGCCACGACTACGCAGTAATGACGTTATGGTCTATTAAGTTCATCCAAGCCCATAGAAGTAATGACCAGAGTAAAGCAGAGAAACGAATAACCCGAAACGGATTTGATTCACCACCAACTAGAATACAATAAAGCCATGCAAACGTAGTGATCCGGCTTCGTGACGAAATGCCGGTCGAGGGGAGCACCATCGACTCTCTGATTGGTTACCGACCATCCCCACTTACATAATAGCCTTCCAGTCGCTGGGCCGAGGGTACCATTGCGGGCAGCCAATCAGAATACGCTCTGGTCCTGATTTCGCATCAATGGGAGAACTTATTGCCGCTGTTGTTTTTGGTATGGTACGTGGTAGTACCAGTATAAGATCCTTTTCTCCGTTGCCACCACAGTACTTTTGAAGAGTAATGTAGAGTAAAAGCAGGGACCATGAATCAATAGCTTGGATTGAAAAGGTGCTCTTGTAGGGAGTAGTAAATGCGGTCTACAATGGCAAACGGTCTCGACCGCAGGACTCGGGAAGGCGAAGACATTTCGGGAAAGATTACGTAGTGCTGCACGAGATGCATCAGAACAAGAGCTTAGCTTGCTCCATAATTGATAATGATAGCCCATCTTTAGGACTACTCCCTACGAAACCAATCCTGCACTGCTTCCGAGTCGGAATGTCAGACATTCCGATGCGGCATTTTCAGTTGGTCAGAACAAAGCCCTCCCTATATGTCCCGGTTTAGATCCTGTTGCAACCGGTTCCTTGTCCTACATTGCCCGAAGTGGACCTACCGTGTCGGGGAGGAGGGCATGTGCTTTATTCACACCTCTGCCACCACTATTCAAGATGCATACCCCAGGTGTCTATGGCCTTTCTGGAGACTCCGCAGTTCGGATGCGGGGTACAGTAGCTCAGAGTATTGTTTCTCGGTTCTGTCCGGTGACTCTTTTTTTCCGATGTCACGGGATTCTGGCCATGTGGTCTGGTGTTCCTGTAGACGAACCAGTCACGCCCAGTATCACTGTAGAACTATCCTGACCACTCGTCGCACTTCGCCCAGGCCGGTTCAGGATTCAAGGGATCCCATCAATACTTGTTCATGTTTCTCAACAGGAGCCCTCGATATTCTCGTTGCCGTCAATTCGCCAGCCCCTGGTGAAGGCAATCAAACCACACAGCGCCTCAGAGATTGGGAGGGAGGGGTATCTTCGAATCTCTTCGTTTTTTATCGGTGCAAAGGGTTTTTCGATAATCAATGTGCCTTCTCTGACCTCACCAAAGGGCGAGATGGTATCACCGAGCATGACGCTACATCAGTCACAGTTGCTGAAGGTCGTGCATTGGCCGTGATTTTTTATATACTACGAGTAAGTTGATAGATGCCTACGACTATGTAGGCGTACACTACTCCGATGCAACCACATCCTAGCTTTTGTATGCCATATCAGATCGTACAGGATGCTATATTCTCACAGGCCAGCCAAGTATCGACACGAAGCGCAAAGACATTGACGACTGGGAATCAACGGCGACTTCGCACCCAAGGATAAAGAAGGGATTCGAGCCCACTTACTCGTCCACGACCTACGACTGCCTTTCCTCGATAGCTGCCCATGGTCCGGAACATCTGTGTAGGTTAGGAAGGCCATAAGGAAAAGTATGACCTGGGTGAATCAAGGACGCATCGACAAAACATTCATTACAGTAAGAGAAATCGTGGCATGCCTGACACTTATAGCATTTTACGATTTCAGCGGTGCAAGAATCGCAGAATGGAGCTCGACCTTTAAGACTCAACGGCAGCATTGACGTCGTCGCCAGAAGAATTCATATGCAGGACAAAACCGTGAAATAAATACCGTGATCTCGAGATATGTTACTATCTATTTTTTATCACATCATGAGATCGACCTGAAAGTGAATACAGCGAGTGCATTGCGCTCACAGCCTAAATGAGGGCCAAGTGCGGTTGGCTTCTTTGCCTTGTTTGTGAGAAATGACACCGAAACAAACAACTAAACAAAAAAAAAAGTCATTACACCGGTAGCAGAGGCGACACACCGGCAACCAATTGGAGGACCAAAAACGCGAATAAAATATGAATTTTATCCTTTTCAGGTATATACCCCTGTAGGAAATCCCGTGACTCACGATTTTGGGTCAATGATGGGCTTGACAAAAATACTCATAGGCATGGAAAATAGAAAGTCGAGGCAATTGACACTGTAAACGTATGACATCAAGACTGGAGCCTAGAGAGTTGATGCAAGCCTACGTTCGACCCTGGGCAAGCGGCACAGATCCATTACTTACTATATACTTCTTTGTCTCGTATTGAGGCCCTAGATCCCCGCGAAACGCCACGGAAATGTCGCTATCTAGTACCACTATGCAGACCATCAGGCTGATATGCAATGGGACCCTCGTTCGTGACTCATGGCAGATTGCCCGGGCAAAGTACGAGGTGTAATAGCAAACATATAAAAGTAGGATAGATATACCTTTAATCACAGTAACATTCCAGGATAGCTATTGTCTAACACAACTGCTGAAAATGGGAAATATCTCTGCTGGTAGGCCACCTGATTCCAAAGCAATGTCTGCACACTAGCTAATGTATCCTTCAGGAGAGCCACAATCTGCCCTGTACGCCTCCACGGGCTCCATCTGCCAAGTCCACATCAAATGGAATGCCCGGGCATTTGATTCCTTGGTACTGCCTCACACACAGCAAGATCTCAAGCAGCTGATCCTTGCATTTGCTGATGCCCACTCCGAGCACCTCGATAGCTTTGATGATATTATTCAAGGGAAAGGCCACGGTATTATCATGCTCCCCAGTGGTCCCCCAGGTGTGGGAAAGACTCCTACCACAGAGAGCGTTGCAGAGGTCACGAAAGTACCTCTTTACGTGCTCAGCGCAGGCGATCTTGGAACGAGCCCCTCAAAGGTCGAAAATAGCCTGAAAGACATCCTTTCCATTGGTCCAAGGTGGAATGCTGTTTTCTTGCTTGATGAAGCTGACGTCTCCATGGAAGCGCGTAATACAACCGATCTGGGACGGAACGAGCTTGTGTCCATTTTCTTGAGAATGCTTGAATATTACGAGGCAAGCAGCTACAAAAAGCTCCACAACAAGCAAGACCAATACCACATTATTTAGGAATTCCTCTTCCTTACGAGCAACCGCGCGGAGAATATCGACCCTGCCTTCTAATCCCGCATCCATGTGTCTCTGCGCTACCCGGAGCTCAATACAGCAGCGAGACGGCAGTTCTGGATGCAGTTCCTTGGTGATGCATATGTCAGGGGATTCTCGAATGAAGAGCGTGACAAGACGGCGGAGATGGCGTTGAACGGTAGACAGATCAAGAACGTGCTTAGGACTACCCACCTTTTGGCGAGGAAGCAGGAGGCGAAACTTGCTTATTCACATGCCCAGACGATTCTGATTTTGAAGGGATCTGGTTCGGTGTCGGCTGGAGACAATTGAATGTGCGGTTATTTAGCTAGGTTATGATAGATTGGAGCATACAACGCTATTCCCATTTACCGTTCACCATGTGGAGAATTTGACAAGGTGCGCCGTGGAAAATATGTAATCAGCTTCCTAGTATCCCATAAACAGTTAAACACGGATGACTCGGTTCGGGCCGGCCCCAGGGTTGCCCACTCAGTGGATTTTGGGTGGTTGGTATCACTTCATATTCTCTACTCATAGTGAATATATACAAAAACATCACAATAAAATATACCAGTAGACAACCCCATAACAAACCAACCAATCACAAACAACCAAATCAAATCCTGACTCACCCATAAGCGGGGTCACAATAAACAATTTCCCTCCTTCAAATCCAACATCTTCTCTTCAGAATTTCTATTAACGAACCTATCTTCATATCAGAACTACCATTCCACCAAGGTACTCAAAGTATGTGGTTTGATCTTTCAATCTGCCCGAGAATATCAACTAACTGACTATACAGATCTAGATCACCATGCCCGCCCACAAAAGCTGCCCCTCCTGCGGTGCCGGTATCCCCGGTGAGACTAAGACTTGTAACTCGTGTGGAAAGGTGTGTTTTACGGAGGTCTGGCTGCCTACCTGGAAAACTATACTGATGGAATAGACTTGCCCTGTTTAAGCGAGGATTCGAGGTGGCTAGAGGAGGACGTGGACGATGATATGAGAGATGAGATGAGACGAGAATGCGACTTTTTCAGCCTTATGCTTGGGTAACACAATACGAGGAACACAGTGACTGATATCGGTGCCAACCCCCGGTACGTTTTATCGACGGTGACTCGATCCTCTCACAACTGTCCTACAATCCCTTCCCGATTATAGTTACCGTGCCGTGTATTCCGTCCGAGTCTACTGTTAAATAATTGTTTTAATTATGGTAGTAGTAACAGCCCGTTTAACCAGAATTGCCCCATTATTTATCAATAGCCTGCGGTTATATATCGAGCCGTATGTATAGATCCCGGAAGCATAAACGCAAAAGTCTACTCATGTCGAAAGCAAAAAATGAGCATCTCGGGCCGTCTTTATTCGATGCATTTATTCTGTTTCCCGTATCCAGTTCTGCCCGGTTACCTGTTGACAGAACGGAATAAGCCTGGGGCCAGAAACGGCCAACTACTCAGTCTTACGTACATAGACAATCTCACTTGACATTTCAATATCCACCTCTTCACCAACACGAAGACACTAGACCAAGGGGTCTAATAGAAATACCAGCAGTGTAGATACTTACACCCAAGAGTACTCGTACCAGTTAGGGCAGGCAACCAACGGCCAGCAAACATCACATTCTGCAAAACCACCGCATACATGCATATCCTCAAACCTAATCATCAACGGGACCAGAGGGAAAGAAGGGCATTGGATGGTATGCTATATAGCCGCCTCATCTGCAGAATTTCGGTTTCAACTGGAGCAATTGAAATGGAAGCACGGGTTGGGTTGAGATATTTAACGGTTAGCTGTTTCCGCTGACTTGGAGACATTTGATGTCTAGAAAGGATTAAGCAATATTGTGCAAAAATGACTCAAGTTGTTCGTTTTCGAAATCTAACCAAGTTTTCTAAGGTATCTAACAGACTCGTCTAGAGACTCGCAATCGGCTACAATGCCCCTGCAGCCTATGAGAAATACGGCAAAGATATCTGGGACCTGTACTACCTCATCCCCATATTATACAGAAGCTTTCACCATCTAACAACAATAGAGTAGAAACCAAATTCGGTGAACTAGGAATCGAGGAATTCGGACCGTTTCGTTCTGCACAAAGCTATCCCCCTGTTCAGTTTGTTGGGTATGTTAAACACTCAAGTCTATGGATCTTGTGTGCTGATGTGACTAGTCTTGAGGTACCGTATAATGTCTCTATATATGATTTGAGGAGCGTTAAGCTGGGAGAGGGTATTTGGACTGATGTTTCGGTTGTGGATGAGTATTCAGAGGATTGAATGGGTGTTTTCTGAATGGTATCTTGTTGTTGCTGAGTCCAACGAATCCATGCGGATTCTTTTTGCAAGTAGCGGTTACAGGGTTGAGTTTATTTCATCGATGTCAACTCAACCTCAACCCTTTCGCAAACAATTGATCCTGTGTCATCTCGCCCCATACCGTTTGTATCCTCGGAGTCCTCTGGCACCCTTGAGAACTGATTATTCACAAGCACAGACTGCCGTTGACCATCTAGTAGTACACTATTATTCGGCAGCGGCTCGCTTTCAGATAACAAATGGATTTGCACAGGATGGTCCCGGACAGGCTGTACTTTGAACATCCTATAGAAGATATTGAGAACAGGAACAGAGAGACCGTGGACAATAATTGAAAATAGGACGAGCCAGTATACCACTATTTTATTAGCATACCCTCTGATCACCTTGTAGGGTTGACGCACCAGGCCTCATAACAGCTGTCAAGTTATTAATCTCATGATCACTCTCACCAGGTCCCGGAAAAAGTCGACGAGCGTACTCGACATACGAAATCGCCCCAATTCCTACCTTGTCAGCACAACCAATCCTAATACAGATAGGTAAAGTTGCATACCAATAGGCCCAAACCATCCCACAAACAACCCCTCCCTCCAATCTCTACAAACACCCCTTCCTAAAAACTTATACCCCAGCATCATCGCCGGAACCCTCCGAAACAAGATCACCATCAACCCCAGTCCTACTAGTCTGCTCACTGTTAGCCCCGAAGACTCGGGCATATGGAATTGGTCCCACGGCATGGCGGCGCCTAGGAATAGGAATGTGGCAAAGTTGAGGAGCGTTTCGAGGGTTGTGTTGAAGGTGTCATGGCGGGACTGGGTTTCGGCGTGGTAGGTGCCGTTCCAGTTCAGTGTGCAGCCGGCGATGAAGCAGGCGAGGGTTTCATCAGAACCGATGCAGCCGCAGAGGCCGGTTAGCAGGAACTGTCACCACACGTAGTCTTAGCACCCTGTATACCCGTATCCGAGAAATGAACGCGGGGACATACCCCCATCGCAACAGGAACCAACAAAAACCCCTCCTGATCAATCCACCTCCTATAACCCCGTCAGCAAGCAACCAAAAACCACAACGGCAATAGAAATTTCTACCTCTTAACTCCAAACCCGACCCCCCACCTACCCAAAATCCCTAAAAACCACCCAACCGCACCCCCCAGCAAAATCATATACCCAACACCCTCCAAAACCCAATGCTCAAGCGCCACAACCCCTCCACCCCCAAACCGCCCCTTCCCCACACTGTCCAAATACCCCGGTACCCCACGCTCCAAATCAAATTGCTCCAGACTAAATGCATTCTCTGGCGTTTCTGCGTATCGGAGTAATGATACGGCGAGTAGTAGGAACGGGAAACCGAAGCCGTCGTTTAAGCCGGCTTCGGCGGAGATGAATTCGCGGAGGGGGCGGCGGACGTAGGTATCGGAGAAGGGGCCTTTGGCGATGGACTGGGAGAGGAGGGGATCTGTACAGGCTATACAGGATGATATTATTAGGGTGGAAAGCTGGTTTTCATCAGTATACTCTGTCTGCCGCTTTGCCCAGGGGAGGGGTGTGGACATACGAATGAGATATTCGGAACCATGAGCATAATGCATCCCGCGCTCACAAGCCACGATATCATCATGAGCGGAAGTAAGCAGATAAGTAGCTCTAGTAGACATTCTTTGATATATCGCTTCGGTAGCTCGTATCCTACCTTGGCCAATTGGATGCCGATAACGATTCGGAATAGCCCCTAGCCAGATATCAGCACCTGTTATAATCACAAAACAGAAAGATGGAGACGTACATAAGCAATCTCACTCGCCCCAGTAGTTTTGTCATAACCCCACTCATCCACACGGAGGAATCGAGCACCGACAGGTCCGAAGGCAATTCCGGTGATGAAGGCGGGTACTGCAGGTGTTAGGGCTGAAGGTGGAATCGTGGAGAATGTAGCTTACAGGTTTCGCCTAGGTACCATCGTTGTTTTATTTTGAAGGATAGGAATCCGAAGAGGAGGATGTAGATTCCTAGTTGTGTTTGTTGTTAGTTTAGCCTGTGGGTATAAGAGAATGGGGAGTAGAAGGTACCTGAGAAGGTGAGGACGATGTTTAGGTTAGTCACATCGAGGACCGGATGGAGCATTATTCTCTTTCTTTTTCCTCTTTCAAGCAGATAGTAGTAAAATGATCTGTTGAACGTCTATTAGATATAACACGTCTAGCTTTCCCCAACTAAACAAACAAAACAACGAGACAAAAAGACAGCAATGCCTGATCACTTATCTCCCCCTGTCTTTTATAATTACTACATGTTGTACCAGGTGCTTGCTTTTGATACCTCCTTGCAGGCAACATATCGACCCTTGTCAATTGGCCTAGATCATTGCCAGTTGGGCTAGGTTATCTTGAAAGTGCGATAAGGGTGCATATTCGATACATACGTTCCTTTGCACAGATAGACAGCTTATTTGGGACTCTATGTTCAATAAGTATAGGACCTCGGTGCATGTGTACAGATGAAGATGAGCTACGAAACCGTGAAAACACAAGGGGAATATATTGCTAGACAATAAAGATACAGGTACTCGTAAGATAACAAAACAGAGTAGTAAACTGGAGCGCAACCAAACCCACGGTATATAATAATAACAACAAACAACCCACTAGCACTGCGCAGAAACCACGGTCTCGCTCATGCAGTCTTTTGCCACTGGGACTGCAAACCGATCAAACTAGAGATGGTACCGCCAATACCAACGATACCGTCGTCGAGATCAGCGTACTTGAGAGCGGAGACGGGTGCGGCCAAATCGCAAACGTCCGAAACTAGCTGAGTGCGAGCAGTCGAGCGTTCCCTGCAATTATTAGCATAAAATTCAACCAGAACAACGAAAAGGACGCACTTCTCAATCTTCTTCGCCTCAACAACACCCTCACCCTCCTTCCGATCAACCGTCTTCTCCTTCTCCTGCAACCTCCACAGCGAATACAAACTGGAAACCGAGCTGAAAATCAACCCCACCATCCAGCACCGATAAGCATTCTCCTGCAACTTCTTCGCATAGCTCAACTTCTTAATCCCCATCGTGTCCACGACCCCAATCGTGTCCAGCGTCAGGTATCCCGCATAGCCCAGCTGGCGACCGATGGCCAAGTAGCGCAGCACAGGGTCGATGGGGGCCTTGTTGTCGACGGCGATGGCAGCGGCTTTCAGGTGTTCGAGGAACTTGCCGATACGGATTATTTTGCGGGTGGTGCCGAATTGCTTCTTGATGGCGTTGAAGGGCTCGATGGCGGATTGCGGGCGGTTGGTGCGCAGAAGGTACCAGGCGTAGAAGCGGGAGAAGTATTGCAGGGTTCGCATGATCTTGTCACGGCCGACTATGGTCATTTCTGTTAGTATAACTTCGGATTATATGGCCTCGCTTCCGGTTGTCCAAACGTACCGGTGGTCGCAACAAAGCGCAAGTAATGCGCCAGCGCGGGGTGGTAGACAACAGCGTCTGCGACCATTTTGGTAGCTTATTATTGTGAATATTATCTTCTCTTGTATAATAGAAGAAGTGTTGTATCCTCTGGAGGACGGCTTGGGCAGCGGATGTCGGATTCCGGGAAGATCACGAGACGGGTTACTCGACCGAGAGCGACGCTACGAAGAGCGAAGGAGCGAACAGACCAGCTGGAGTAAAGTTAGAAGAAGTTAAAATATTTCAAAGGGGCAAGGAAAGGATGGAGGGAAGAAGTAGATAAGTATGAGAACAAGCACGGGGGAGACACGGAGAAGGGAATGTTCGTCGGTAATTGACAAGCGCCGGGGACTGAAGACGAAACCTCGGCTCAATGAGAAGAAGCGCAACCTCCGAGATTTCCCTAACGGGGTTTTTTACTACATATCTTGGATGGCAAATCATGTGATGATCTGCTTTTCTCTTTCTTCTCTACACTTGTTTGTTATGGTCTACATTGTCTATCTCGCGGTTTGCTTTCTGTTCAAATAATATGGGGCATTACAGCTCATCGATTGCCGTCATACTTCGGACAATTCATCTTGCATTTCAACGCTAGACAGGTACAATACCCACCATTGTCCTGTCATGGACGACCATTAAACAATCACCCTGCACGAATTCGAGTCATGATGTCGCTCATTTTGCAGAGACCAGACAATTACGATGATAGATCAGGTTTCAGTCATCCCGACATGCCGCCCTTCTGTAGCGGAGAGGCAAGTAGCACAGATAATACGACATGATATGACGACTCGTGGTTCAGGATGTCGCGAGCAAGCTTCATATGTTTGCTGTATGCTGCACTCAGCTTACACAAAACTTTTGTTTCTTATTACATTCACATATTTAATACATTGGGGGGGGGGGGGGGGGCAAAATATTAACAATGGCATAGCAAGGGCACACACGCCGGTCAGACCATGGAATCGAGATCAGCAAAGCATGTGCCAGTGGGTTTCCCCTTTTCTTTTCTTTTGTTCATTCGTGCACCCGGGCATTCAAGATTTTAGTTGGTTGCGTGGGGGCGTTTCATAATGCTCGTCAATCGCATAGGGAGGGTTGTTTTCTTTATCTAAACTGTTTTCCGTATTTGTCGCTTTGGTGGTTGATGCCGCAAGGGCCGTGTATCAATAAATCCAAGAAGCGGGAGATCGCTGAGGGCTGAAACTGGGCTGGCGGACGGGCATATCCAGAAATACGAAGGAGGATGTTGTTCACTGCTCCGGAGGGTTAGCTGTCGCTGTCGTTGCTTGTTCCACGTTACCCATGGTGGCAGTGTTATAGCCGTTAGCTTCGAGGAATGAGCGGAATTTCTGATCCTCTTTTGTGATAGTGTCCTGTCATTGTCAGCCAGACCTCACCAGAAAGGAGACACAAGGAAATACCTGTCCGATCTTCGGAAAGAGGAAAAAGGCGACGACGGCACTGAAAATGCACAACGCACTCGACACGAAGAAAGGATCCTGACCAGATCGAACCTCATTCGGAGCGTTTTTCTGGATAATCGGGATGACATACGTGCCAACAAAAGCACCGATCTTGCCTGCAGCTGCGGCGATACCGTAGTACTGACCACGAATAGCAGTTGCGCTGCTCTTTGCCGCACAAAGTCCGATATTGTCACCGGGACCTAGTTCCCCAAGCGAGACGAATATACTGTCCAGTTAGTCAATCATTCTTCAAGCCAAGGTGCGACAGCCCTTACCCGTAAACGACCACAAAACCCGCAACGTTTTTGGGCGTCGCGAGATATTCATAACATCCAGACATGATGAAGCCAATGATACCTTGCAGACCAACTCCAAGAACCAAGGTACTGCGTGGGCCCAACCAGTCGCTGACAAAGGCCCCGCCAAATGAGCCAGGAAGGTAAAAGAGGTAGATCACGGTGCTCAGACCAAATGACTTCCATATCGGCGCGTCGTCCCCCAGGATGATAGCCACCCATTTGGACGAGTAGATGCTGAAGGAGTAGGTAGAAAAGTCGTATACGAACCAGACGAGTGATATGATAGTCTAACCGGTTAGCTTGCAACAGACATTTGCGTGGAGAATCCATACCAAACGCCACCAATAGAACCTAGAACGGTCAGCATACTTACATACTTACACACCAATACCGGAGAGACTCACTTGATAATCAACCAAATCGGAAAATTGCGCATACGCTCGCGATTAAACTCCTCGGGCTCATTCAACTTCAACCGCAGATAAAACAAACTCAACGGCGGAATCACTCCCAACCCCAACGCAACCCTCCACGCCGCACGCAGATGATCCTCCGTAAAAATCAACACCAAAATCATCGGCACAAACGCCGCAAGCACAAACCCCATATCGATCTGAAAGTTCGTGAAGATGATAAACCACCGATTGCGATGCCCTTTTTTCAACTCCCCCGTGCTCTCCGCTGCAGCCACAGATCCAGCCGGATACTCACCACCGATACCAACGCCCAGGAAGAACCGGTAGGCTGTGAGCGCTGCGAAGAGACCGTATTGGCTGCCGTGGTAGCCATAGGCGCCTGCTGAAAGGGCACCGAAGACGATTAGGATGACGGTGGAGATCATTAGGGCCCATTTGCGTGACCAGTGGTCAGCCATGTAGCCGAAGGCGAGTTGGCCCAGGACTGTGCCGGCAAAGGCGATGGAGGAGACGTTCTGGCTGGCAGGGGACTTGGTGTAGGTGTCTGGGTAGATTTTGCTGAGCATGGTGTTTACTTGGCCGATTACCTGCGCACATTAGATCAGTGAACCTATAAAAACCAGCTGTACCCAGTAGGACATACGCCATTGAGATAGCCATCCGAGAAAAGACCAGCACCGCAGGCGATCGTGGGCCAACTGCGCTCCCAACGACTCTTCTGGGTGTTCTCCAGCGGAGGCGCATCGTCGATAGCCCTTCCCAGTAGCTCAGGAGATTTGAGCGTGGGTTCTTCTGGCTTGTCTTCTGTCTTCTCCATATTGCGATTGTCCATAGCTCACCATGCCAGGGTAAGCAAAAGCGGAAAGAGACAGCGCGGGGAGGGGAACAAACAAAGATATGCGAAAAAAAAGAACTCGGAGATGTAAGAGATCACATTCTCGGAAAAAAAGAAAAAGAAAAGAAAAAGGCTAAGCGCGAAACCAATCGAAACCAAGGAATCGAAACTAAGGAATCCTTCGCTATCAACTCGTTCTTTAGAGTCGGATATCTCCGACCAAAACTAATACTAGTGAATGCCACGCTAAGCTTTCGCGCCGAGATCGCAATGGAACGCTAATGTAGGCATCATCCAGGTAACATTGCTATGCAGTTAGATATGAATAACTATGCATGACTGCACTCTATCTTGGCTCCTTCTCAGGATACCGATATCAGGGTTTATCCAAGGAGAGTAACCCTTCACCGCTTAGCTCGATGATGCCACACTTGACCTCATCTCTACACAAGATGGTGGACATGCAGAAGCGTTGTCCGTTGCTACACCGTTCTTCAAAGCCACTCAGAACCAACAAGGTAGTTAAAGCTAGCCGGTGTTAATGTAGGCATCATCAATCATATCATTGCTATGCAGCTTCATAGGCTCATTCAACATGAATAATAATTATGCACATGAAAAAAATCAAGACAGGCACCGCCCGCCATTTATCTTTTGCCCTCCTCATCTACTTGTACTTGGCCATGAAATTGTTGTGGAATTCCACAATCCGCTCAACCCAGTCAGTACCAGGCGCAAGGAATGTGGTCCGGAAGTGCAGCGTGTTCTCCTTCTGGCCGAATCCTGATCCGGGGACAACGCAGACTCCGGTGGCTTCGAGCAGGCGCATACAATAGAACTCATCGGCGGCGCGGCCCTCCTCAGCGGCAGCCTCGATGGCCTTGGCAGGAAGCGTGATCGTAGGGAAAAGGTACATGGCGCCCTATCGATTTGTTAATATTGTACTGAAAAGAGTGAGCAGAGAAGGAAAGCTTACCTGAGGCTCCTGGCATTCAACGCCTTCCATCTGTCGGAAAGCGTCGTACAGAGCAAGAGCACGCTTGTGCAGTCCATCCCGAATACTATTGTACTCCTGCTGGTATAGGTCGTAGCTGGGGTCACCCTTCTTAGGCGGGTTCACCATCAGCTCGAGCAGACACTGTCCGACAACCGGTGGGCACAGCATGATACTAACAAACTTGTAGATCTGTGCAGCGACCAAGGGGTCGAACCCAACCAACTCAAAGTAACCACCACGCTGACCGCATTCGCCAACCATACCCTTAGAGACACTGTGAAGGGAAGCCAGTTCCACGTCACCGTATTTCTTAGGCTCCTCCTGCTGGAGCTGACGGAGGCGCTTCTTGAACGAGGTGAATTCGCCAGCGAAAACGTTGGTTTGGTAGACTTCGTCCGCAATCACCACCAGCTTCTCCTCTGCAGCGAACTCGAGAACGCTCTTGACGTCTTCTGCACTCAATGAAGCACCGGTAGGGTTACCTGGGTTGATGATGACAATGGCACGAACATTGATCCCAGCGGACTTGGCCTGGATCACAGACTCACGAATAGCCTTGACATTGGTACCCCAAGCCTGCTCCTCTTCCAAGAGATAAGGGACGCAGTGCGCGTTCAACAAAGACAATGTGGCAGTGTAGAGAGGGTATTGCGGAATAGGAACGAGCACACCAGCATCGGGGCCATTACAGATCACATTGAGAAGTGTGTTGACACCAGACGAGGCACCAGCGCTACAGTAGATATCCTGAGGGTTTGCGGGGAATCCATCACGCTCTTCGATGAACTTAGCCACGCTTTCCCGAATAACAGGAGCTCCCTGGCTGTGACTGTATGCGCCCACGCTCTGCACGTCCTTCAAAAGAGTATGAGCGCGATCGATGACATCCTGCTCGTAGCCAAACGACTTCTTGAGCGCCTCCGGGTTCTCGAGCAACGATGGGTTCTCGACCAAACTGAGCACTTGACGGAAGAAGGTGATGGGTTTCTGATCCAACTGCTGCGGGTTGCCAATGTTCGCGAAAATGACGCTATCAAATGGTAGCGATTTATCTCCCTGTGCGAGTTTCACGCGCAGCTCCTCGGCCTTGACAGCCAGTTCACCACGGACGGCATACTTGGCTGCTCTCACATAGGGGTTGATGTTGTCCAGATCGAGGTTGCGAGTACGAGGAACGGTCGTCGAGAGGGTCTGACGGGCGGTATATTGCACGGTTGTTTGAGCCATGATGCGCGACGCTAGGCAAGTCGAAAGGAGTCAGTAATAGCTTCTTCTTCGGTTGAATGGTAAGTCGCTCTGGAAATCAATGGTTCATTTGCATAGATATAACGGTACACAGCAGAAGTTTCACAGAAAGAGTCATAAACCACGCAGAGATAAACCAATGCAACCCGTACTATAGCACCCCTGACTATATAAAGCCCCCTCTTCTTCCCCAGTGTCACGAGATCGGGAACAACCGTAAGGGCACCCTCGGGGAAAGACGATTGGCACCCGGTGCCCTGTCGATGACGGCCCAGACACCCAATCATACCAAATTCCGACGGGACGCTCATCGGGAAGAGGAATAAGGAAATCAGAACATACCAGACGAGGCTATCGGCCGGGTGAGGCCTTGGATAACTGGTCGTCGCAGCAGCGGACTTGCCCGCATACTGGACACAAGCCTCATTTGCCAGACCATGAGGGAAATAGTGAATCAATTAGAATGCAGAAGATCAGTAAACTATGTATGACGGTCCTTCCTCGTCCGGTCAGCCGCGCGTCGATGGTTCTGGACTGCTCATGCGAGTGACTGCGCTCTGTTTGTCCGTCGAACTTTTGTCGGCACGCTTCGTCGATCACATGATGGTTATCGTGATCATGTGACTTTCCCGTTCGTCTATTCGTGATTGAAACGGGATAGACCAATGAGACGGTTAAACTCCGAGTTGGGGAAGTCGGGGAGTCGATTATCCGGACTGCACGAGGCTATACAGGAAGAGGAAATCTAAATTACACAGAGGGTGACATTGATATCTATCGACACCATAGATGGTGGAATGAGTGCATGGCTATCTAAACGAGTGTGTATGTGTCCGTATATGAGGGAATCTGTCGGCCTCTGTAATCGGACCAACTATTAATCCACCTCGACTTTCATCAGTGATGAAAGGTTGTGGCGTTTAAGTTTCACCACCATAATGTGGCTTTTATCTAAGATGGGAATCTTACCATCCTAACAGCTACGCGATGGCATCGCGCAGTCTTCCCCCGGAAATTATCTCCCAAGCCATTGGGGTTCTCCCTTCACCTCTCTTGCCCGTATGCAAGTGTATCCGGGATGTGGCAGTCGATTATCGAGAAAAGCACTTTTTCAGACTTGCGTTTGAGATCATGTAACTTGCCAAATCTCAAGCAGATACTGCCCTCTCCTCGTCGACGCAGCTGTCTCCGACCACTGCATTTCCAAGTTGTTTTACTTGGATACGGCATCCCTGCGCTTAAGCTCATGGAAAATAACGAAGATCGCAAACGCAATAACCAGGCATTCACTAACATAACCTGCGCTCTGTTTGGATATCTGGTTAACTGGTGACAAGGGACGTTGTGGAGATCATCAGAAACGAAGACAGACAGCCCGTGTAACTCCTTATGAGGATTTGCTCGAACGGTGGTATGAGTGGTCCTACTCGGAATTTGTTGAGCTGGATGGCAAGAAAATACCCAGCATAAAGACGATTTCCCGTTTGAAGACCATGGCAACAATACTTCATGGCATTGGCAACTCAGTGATGGGTTTTCCATCTACTTACAATATATTTCAAGGACCAAGTCAATCTAAGACCTGCCATCGCGCTCAAGAGACAAAGCTCATTATTACAAAAACAATAGCCAAATCCATCCAACATCCTGAAACCCCAAAGCAAAACTTAACCCAGTAACTACTAAACCCGGTTACCCTTGGCCGCCTCCTGTCGCCTGAACTCCAGAACAGCTCGCGTCGCGCTAAGCAGGGCATATCCATGAAGCTCTTCAAGACGTACAGCATGGTAGCACCACCGCTGTGCAGGATTGCGGTCCCGTTGGTCGTTGGCCCAGACTCCATATGTTTCCAGACTAAACGCATACAAGTCCCGCGCGCCCTCGAAGTACTTCTCATCCTCGAAGAAGTCTTTATCATCGACGAGGAACGACGGATCATTGCTGGTAGGAGAAAGCGACTGCTGACGGAAGGCATCGAAGGAGAGACCAGGGGTGACCGTTACAGGGGAACTAGGGTTAGGAGTGTTCGCCTTGCGAACAACTCCTCCACTTGCCCTCAGCTGCAACCGGCCCCGTCCACATCCCCGCTTCGACACCCTCGTTTTCTGAGACTTAGGTCGACTCTGACTCTTTTTCTTCTTGCCCTTGCTCTTGAGCGAAGAAACCAGCAGAGCATTGTCGATCGGCCCGGTATGGGTACGACTACCAGCATTGTGCGTCCTCGTACACCCGTTGCTGATTGTACAGGCATAGCACGACTGCCAACCGCAGGATTGGCAGCGAGACATGCCTGAGTCGTTGCGGGTATTGCAAAGATCGCACTTTGCAGTATGGGCGGCGACGACTTCGAACTTGGTGTGTATTACAGGAGCACTAACAGGAACAGGAACCAGAGTGGCGGTGCTTGCTTCTTGTAGAGGATTATGGGGCCTGGAAAAGCTATCAGTCTGGGTACCATTCCTGTGATGCAGCAATGGGCGAGTCGTACCTTGAAGGCTTTTCTTGATTGGATAGGGCGTTGAAGGAGGACAGGCGATGGATGGTGCCTGACATGTAGCTGATGTCTCGTACACTGGATGCAGAGCGAGAACCAGAACCAGAACTACAACCAGACTTGTCATACATTTTCGAAAATGAAGGCCCCTGTTGTTTTTGCTTTTGCCGTTGCCGTTGTCACTGCCGTTACTGTTCCTCTGGCGCACAAACAATCAATAAACCAGAAGGACTGTGCTATTCGTAGCGGAAGCTGGAGCTGAATCTGCTTCGTTTAAACATTAGTACGACCATAGTCATTCTCTGGGTCAAGTAAAAAGAGAGACTCACACTTTCGTATAGCTGAGGTGTTTGATACAGAATAGAAAAAAGATCCAGGAGGAGGGGAGAGAAGAAGTCGAGGGTCTGAAGTAATGCCCCTGGTGACTGTTTGTTTGGTTCGTCAGGGCTGGTATTCACTGGACGGGAAGGGATTATGGATCCGATGGATATAAGCATCGATGGGCGGTTCGATAAGTGGTAATCGACTGAAAATCTGTTTCTAGGTAGTTATCTCATGTGGAGTCCGTCAGAGAGTGGGAGAGGAAGGTAGAAGAGCAAATTTATCTTCATATTTTAGTGCCAGATGCCAAAAAGACAAGGCTTTGTACCAGTGGATAGAAAAGAATTCTGGATGTTGCCTTCTTATTTATGTTTATCATGTTCAGACCAGCGGGTAAATAGACTGCTGTCTATTGTCTATTGTCTAAGGTGTTCTTTGAAAGAGCGATGGACTGTAGAAGGGCTTTATATAGTGAACATAGGGCTCTAATTCTTCGTAGAGTCTGCCGCTTATCGGTAATGGGAAGTAAGCTTAAGCACATTCTACAATGATCCCAGCTGGATCTAGTGACATGGACAGTAGACGGCTATACGGACTACAGGCATTTGGAATACAAGCAAAATCACATTAGAATGCTAACTATCCCAGGCCACAATCCTTCTCGTATACCTCAGCGGTAAGATAAATCCACAGCCAAGCCTTCTTTATTCTCTTATTTTTTTCCAGTACCTAAGAACAAATCTCATCTTACTGTCGGGGAGAAACTCAATAACAAGCTCATTAGCCCAGCAGAAGTTGGCCCCGAGGAGATCAATCTCAGAGAAGCGCGAATTCGGAGGCGATTAATGGGCTGTGTGCTTATACCCGTCAATATTGACAATAGAGCGCTCATACTTTGGAAGGTTTGAAGAATCAAGCGTTAAAACCAAGTTAGCATCATGTACTCTCTATAGGTAGGAGCACGAGGTGAGAGGTAGGTTATTGGGGCAGCCATTTCCACAATGAAAATACCCAACGAGTCTCATCACCATCTGTGCGAACAACACATAGAAGTATTGGATAGCTCTTATAGCCGTGTAGATAGCCACCTACGTATTTAACTACTCTACTTGCATCATATTCAGTCGCCTTGCCAAGGTATGCCGAGGCTCTTTAAGGTCTCAGATCGCAATGTTCTGTCATCAACTTCGCTGATTGTTAAGTCGCAATCATCCGCTGCAACTGGATCCCAGTCGTGAATATCGATCCATTTACTTTGGTCTCTAGCTCCTCTACCCTCTTGGTCCTTCCTTTCAGTGATACAGCTATACGATTTGTATAATCAGCATGGGTTCGAGTGATGGTATCATAGGTTTCGGTCAGGGCTTGACGGGCTTTGACAGGACATGAGAAAGGAAGAAACCCATTCGTCACATTATAACAGGGTTCTCGCTACAGCAAGGGATTATGTATTCAACCAAAAAGTAGCCTCTAATAGGAATCTATATATTTTCAGACCCCAAAAATGTATACCAACATGAAAAAAATAGCTTTTAATATCATTCTGGCTTTGCAAATCCAACTTCCGACACCGTATAATACACTCATACCTCTCCACCTCACGTATAAAAGCAGGGCTGCCCTCTGCCTGCTGTTCTTCGTATAAACCGCGTCTCTGGATGGTTGCAGCTGCTTCCTCTACAGGCATCTTTAGTAGAATTTCTAGCTCTTCTTCAGGATTTTCCTCAATCTTTGGCATATATTGAACCAGAACCTGGCTATTAATGCCATCACGAGAGTCCTGGATGGCCTCCTCCACAGGGTTCAAGAATGCTCTTTTATCCATCAATCGTGAATTGGCGTAGATAGCTGAAGCTGAAAGAAGGAAGCTTGGATATTCTTCATTAATGCAGGATTGACAGGCTCTTGATACTGTATTCGAGGATTTAGAGTTTTCTGAAAACAGTTCTAAATAGCTCGCCCAGAGACTCCGTACTTCCAGATTTGCAAGCCCCATCGGATGGCTTTCAAAGTATTCACGGTAAGAACAGAGTTCCGATTGGCTTCAAATTCACACAGGATATATTTGACCTAGTACCGCTTCCAGCCTTTCCATTCCAAAAGCTCTCTGCTTTATGCGTATGGTCTCTGAAGATACAGGTATTTGTCCCTCAACACATGTTATCTAGCCATATAAGGCATTCTCCAGCTCCAGTCAGTTCGCACGGTGTTGGCACTATAAATCTCAGAGTGATTGATAGTCATCAAGGTAGCTATATTTGCTAGAGAGGATGTCGGAGACGAGACCGGATGAGAGGGTATGGTTATATTCGGATTCAAACCATTCACAGAGGTCTTTCTGGCCTACATCTAGATAAAGGCGCTTTCAAGCTCAGTAAGAAGCTTTTCCAGAAGCAAGGATAGATTCATGTAGCGGCATGTTCGTCAGCTAATCACCACGTTATAACGAAATCTATGAAAAAACCAGAGGAAGTTAACGACTCATTATAGCAGGGCTCGTTATAACGAGGTACTAATGTAGTGTGTTGTGCATCCTTATCCACTCCTTAGTCATGCAAATAACTCAATGCATTTACGATAGTCTAGTACTTTCACCAAGCAGTCCTTGTCTCGAGTCATAGTGTATGGCATTAAATGTACTTTAAGATATGAGCATCCTCGCATGTTTTTGTCTAACACATAGGGGGACAGTCGACGTCGACGACGGAAATTCTCAAATCATTTAATTCCCAAAGTCATGGACCAACATGGCATTAGAAGATCAATGGAAAATAACATGCTATGCAACCCATTATCCCTCTAGCTCCGTTCGCTTCCCCGCAGCCGCACAGCCTGGCCATACTTCTGAAGCTTGGTGATCAGGGCATCACCGTGCTTCACAACATCTGCGTACTGCTTGTTCTTGGAGTCGGGTCGGTTCGTCTCGATAATGCCGTTGACACGGTCAATTGTGCATGCGATACGGTCGCTGGCGATGAACTTGGCGAGATCACTATCAAATGTTTAGTCAGATTTTGCCTCAATGACGGGTAGCGTAAAGACTTACCGGTCCAAGTAATCGACGGTAACACCAAAGTCGCTAGCCATAGTCTTCAATCCTACCACGCGGTAGCTTTGAAGCAGCTGCTGGTATGCGCGCAGTCTCATTTCCCGCACAAACCAAGCGCGGTGCTCGTACAAGTACCGGTCCTTGTTCAGGAAATTGTCCTCCACGGCCGCCAAAGCCCGGAAGAACGATTGGTAGTTGCCGTTGTAGAGACTATTGACCAGGTTTGCGAGCGGAGAGAAGTCCACGGGTTCCTCAGCCTCAGCCTGCTGGCCCGAGCCAGTTCCCAACGTGGTGAGATTAATGGCAGTCTGGGCCGCTCCTGTGGTTGTCCGCTGGGCGGTAGCATCCTTCATCTCCTCGTCTTCGGCGCTGGGGCCAGAAGAGACTTCACCAGTCAAAGCAGCCAACCGGTCCTCACCAGAGCCCAAAATAGCCTTAATCTCTGCCGCATCGACAACCTTCTCTTTGAAGTCAACACGCTTCAGAGACAACGAGCCCGCAAGAACCGAGTAGATCACGAGGGCCGAGTAGCTGCAGAGTTCGTAGCTTGTAAATGTCGACAAGCTGTCTAGGAGGAGAGGAGCGGCGAGGTTGTAGGAGCGGATCGTAAGCAGGTGCAATCCCTTGTAAGCCTTCAGGCGATTCCTCCGGTCCCAGTCACCACCGTCTTCAATGAGAGCATTGGCCCGCTCAATGTTCTTCTTGACAGATACCTTGTCGCCGAAGAAGATTCCGATCCGAATCATGGCCAGCACGAGGTCGATCTTGGTTCCGAGAAGCGTGATCTTCTCGAGAAGCTCTTCGTGAGATTCGATTGCTTTGTCCTGGCAGTACATTTGAGTCAGCCACCTACCCCCACCCCTTCTCGAAGTTGAAAGGTATCTTGAGATCTCACCTTATCTCCTACTCGCGCCCAGAACTCAGCACGCTTCCCCCCTGCGGCCAACACCTCCGTCTCTCCAGCGGCCTCCTTTGCCTCATCCTCCTCCTTCTGGAAGGTCTCCAGATCCTTCTTGTTATCCTCAACTAGCGACTGGTACAGCGCCTCATCCCACGGGAAATCGATTTTCTGAGGCGTATTCCGCGACGCCAGCATGTTCGAAGCGAGTAGGGTCTTGGTGGCACCTGATGCGTGCGGGTGCTGGGCGACGCCTTCACCAGTGTTGTTCAAGATACCTTCGATGGGGTGTGCGAGGTGTCGGTAGAAGGGAGCCATTCTGTACTCTTTGATAGCATTTTGAATTTTTTGAAGCGATGTCTGGCGCACTACCTGGGGAGCCGATGGGTTGGAGAGGTGGAAGACATCTTGGGCGAGAGAGAGGTCGGGGTACTTGATGTACTGCGGATCAGAGCCCATCGTGGAGGCAGTGAGCAGAGGTCAGAAATAAGGTAGGTAGAGTAGAAGAAAATAGAGAAGAAGGGAAAAAAGAGGGAGTGAGAAACTGGGAAGAGATGAGATCGTTAGGATTAGCGGACGACGCAAGACACCGAGACAGATACATCACGTAGGCGGACTGCCCGAGCTCAGCTGGATCAATTTTGTTCCGCCCGGTCTACAATACCGTCATATCAAAGATCATTTACAATTTGTTCACTCTATTTAGTATTTACAGCTTCGATATACATACACCAAGTAGCTCTCTAAACTCATTATATCTACTATGAAAGACATTCATGAATGTCAAATCGAGTCAATTGCTTCAGCAGGTAGGTTATAGAAATTCGCTGAGATCTGATTGAGGGCTGGCGGACGGTTGAGGCTCGACTTTACTGCACCCCTTCCGGCACCGATACAGTTGCCTCGATGATCTCTGGATGAGAGAACTAAATAGGGTTGGCCAAAAATGCTATTGTACCCAAGGGTTATTTTAGCATAGATTCCTATTTGTTTTGCTAACTTTGGTATATTCAAACTCCCCGAATGTTGGTTCATCATTCAAGATGACCTGTAGCATGTTCAGTTTGCCTCTGTCTTTGTTATTTTCAACGGGCTAGCAACTTAAAGTCAGTAAAGTTGCGGAGCAATCACAGGATAGTACTCTAGCTTTGGGCGTCCGAAGAGTACAATTCGACATAAGACTGTCGGGGCCGAGCTGAAATTAAAATGTTAAAGTGGTTAACGTCCTCGGCTCCTTGCATATCCTTGATGTCGTTTCTTTGAATAAAAGAACGTGAGAGAATTCTTTGCTTTCAGAATCGATTTGGAGATATGATGTCCTTCCATTCATATTGGTATCAACCCCCTTTTGCTAAACCAACAAACTGGCTTCATGCATTGTACTTGGTCTGGTTGATGCAAAGAAACGGCGTCTCGGTACATCCTGCGAAGAAGGACGGTAACGCACTGCCTCTGATCAATAATAAACTCCAGTGTAGCGTCTTTTTGGGTAAACTAGGACCGGGATATGCTTTCTGACTCCCTTTCAGGTCTTGTGTGGGTGATTGCTAGACTATAGGTCAGCGCATTGGGCATGGCGAAGTTAGTATGACCAAGGACCTAAGCATGTATACTTTATATCAGATGCTTTTCTGGCTTTCTTTTTCTTTCTTTTTTTCTTCCTTTTTTTCGATCTCAAGGATAACTCAGATGCGCCATTAGTCTCTAGGTTTTAGTTCTCCGTCTGTCGGTTTCCGTGTAGTCCCTCCAGCCGGCCCAGCGCGTCACAGTTAGGAGCATTAAACCAGCACATTATTTTATACAGTTTGCACCAAGGCCGATGGGGTTCCCTCTTCGTGCTCTATAGCTCTTTGGAAGGGTTTCCCTGGTCTCCAATTCCTGCTCTATTACTTTCTTCAGCTCCCATTCGAGCATCTATAGTTGTGCAAAACATAAGGCTAATCACTTCCAAGTCCATTGCTTACCTTGTCAGGTGCCAAAAAACGAAATGTAAGGGATCTTGAACATTTTTAGCCTGTTGCTAGACTTAAAGGCGCATAATTTTTCAACTGGGAAAAGCAGTCCTAGAGTTGATGCCGTGCTGTTTCCGTGTTTACCACAATTTAACTTGCTCATTCGATTAAGGAAAGTACTTCCAACCCCGTATTGCATGTTCATCGAGTGCATGCTGCTCTGCCTTTTCCCAAGACGGCTTGCCGCCATTGGAACGCCCGATTCTTGTTCTCCACAGTAATGACCCTCGCCAGTAATTGATTCCAAAATGAAGAAATTAGGAGGTTACAGTATCTGGCACTACTGCCAAGTTTGATACACTTGAGGTTGAATCGTGTACCTGCTAACAGGGAAGTGAAGTCACAAGATTGTGGCTCAGCGCATCAACTACACTTCCTTCAGAGTCCCGTGTTACTTTACCGCAGAGATTTCGAGTCACACGGATTTGGAAGTACTGCAAACTGTATCTGTCATGGCGTTGGGTGGTTTTTGCTTTCGATCGTGTCTGCCTGCTTTGGACACATATCAATAGTGCCATGGGTGTGCTTCCATTGGAGTATGTAAATGCGCGATAAGAGAAATGAGAGCTTCAGATAGCTACATGATCTTTCCGGATGCTGACTCGCATGTTGGACTCGTCAAATCTGTTCCCTGCTGATGACAACTCGAATTTACTGTATCTGATTTGTTGGCATTTCTTGGACTGCAGGAATTTGAGACACTCCTTTGTAACGTACGCTGCAGCAAAACTGAGTACCTTGTATTGTGAAAACATATGCCTGTTGATCGCCTGTTTGGGAGCCATTGCATCAGTACTCAGCTAGTGCTTGGGTTTAGAGTTCCGCAACTCCTGTCCCAGACTCTTAGAGTAATATTCTTTCGAATTGTGAGCCTTCCCGGTTATCCTTCACCTAACGATCAGCAACCGACTCAAAGGACCTAATTACAGAGGATGCTAGCTATATATAGATTTCGGTGTATAGTCATACGGCTTGATACATAGTTCCACCACTGACGCGATTTACGCATAGATGCTCAGGGGAGATCGATCTTATTCGCCAGCTTCTCGCTCGAGCTGTATCATTGTTAGCAACAATTTCGCAATTTCTAATGACTGTACTTACTTAGGTAGGTTATGAGCTTATTTGAAAACTATCTTGGTCTACTTCATCTGAATCCATCTCCTTGATAATATCAGAAAAAATCATTGCTAGCATCTGATGGGGGATTTCTATAGGTTGTGATCCGAATCAACCGTCCCAGGGATTGCTTGCAAGGCACGGTATTTGGTGAGCGAACCGTGATTCTTTGCCATTTTTCATTGATGTGGTCTGGTAGCGGTGACCAGAAATATGGTCTTGTGTTTGGGTAAGAGTTATGTAGTGGCCATTGTCTGAAAGGCTCTGTAGAAAGAAAGACAAGAGATCTGGCTTCTTCAGATCGAACTCGAGGCGGTTTTAGTTTCTAAGGACCAAATCATTGACGACAATAAGTGGATAGAAGCGCGTGTTTTATGTATGTATACGGCCAAGGGTACGGGCTGACTACATAGAATCATCAGCCATGGTCCTTACCTTGCGCAGTGAAGCCAGAGCAGAAGAAACACTTACATCATTTTCGGTAAAGGTAAATGCTCCAGATCCAGCTTCGACCATCGTGGCACCAGAGCGCAAAATTTAAGTTGCGCATATCCAACACCCTCGAATATATAAAAAGATATAAAAAGATCTGTGTTCTCGCCATCAATTAGGGTCTGTTTGTTCTCTGAGCCCTACAAGAAACGAACCATCATATTACGGTCCGTCCAGCTCATCACCCGACTTAATTATGAACCTCTAAAAAAAAAAGAAAAAAAAAGCCAGTTAGTCCATTGTAACCAAAGAGGGTAGAATCCCGGTTGCCACATACATTAGAATGTACGTCTAATGCGTATCTTTTTGAGCTTCAGGTACCGCAATTTCTGCCTTAAATTGAAAGCCCACTTGCTTGGGGAAGTCAAGATTGTCCATCGCTTTCCAAACTTGCACCTGGAGTCAGGTTCTAGGAAGGAAATCAGAAAACGGCAACCAGGAAGTTGGCTTTTACTGATGAATGGCAAGCAAAATGATGGTTTCCGTGAAGTTGTTTTCATGAAGGATATTATGGAATGCATATAGAGTAAATATAAGAACGAAGGCTAGGCTGGGCCCATGTATTAGAAGATGAGAATGTAATTCATAGGACTTGTATATAGAACGTCTTGTTGACGAGATGAAGATGAAGAATTGGCGATCCTTCATGCTATACAAAAACCGGTACTTCCACTAGTCACAGTAGATAGGAGTGAAGATACGATATCAAGCAAACGCTCAACCCTATCCCAAAACAGCCAACAACCAAACAAACCAAATATCATCACCACCACCTGCAAACAGCACCTACGCCTGCACCTGCACGTATCCTAATCAATTCCAACAAACCTGACATCCATTGTTCCATGACGTTTGACATTCACCGCCAGATCTTAGTCTATTTCAGTCTCGAATACTCGTATTACAATACCGCACTCGTACAACACAACCAATCGGTTAAATCAAGGGATACAGAACGCACATACCACATCCTTCATTTCGTAGCCAAGTTGCAACAAGCCTTTGCCACGAAAGCTTGTCGTTTCCCTTGCGTTGCTACTTAGGTCATTGTACGTGTTACGTGAGGCATGTAGTACGGGGCATTTCAGGGCAATTGGTACTTTCAAGGACAGGAACAGGGCTGGCTGTACCCCTGTACATGTACGTTTGTAGTAGTGGGTAGGTGGGGACTATGTATAGAACAGAGAGTACAAGTACACCGCTAGATCGTGTCGATCAGGGTTGTTCTATGTATGATTCATGCATATGTACGTTTCTGTCTATGTATATACTATGTGAGTACTGTAAAGACAGTTGGGCGAAAAGGGTGTTGCTGGCTGCTGGGTAACAACAATCGGGACTCGGCTCATGATAGGTTGCACATTGGTACGCAGCAGCGCAGACGGAATACCAAACAATTCCCGAATATAAGCGTAAGCCAGTGGAAACGCTGGAGGACAAGTACAGAATACTGAACAACAGAACGGTACAGAATAAGTAGCAATATCCAATTGTATCTAAAAGACGAAGGCTAAAAGGTACGCAGGGCATCTATCATCATCTCTCATCAAGGTCGTTAAGACGGTGTGGAGGTGGTGAAACACAGGACGGATAGCCCCGGAGATAATCGTTTTTTTCCGCAAAGTAGAAACAGAAAGGAAACAACAATAATCATTGAGCCCACGCTTGGGGGTAGAAGGAGTCTTCCATTGACGACCCTGAATCGAACAGGGTGGTAGACCAAGTAGGATCCGTTGGCGAGGTCGTTGGCATGACCATGTTCGGATCAGCTGTCACGGACTTTTCATTCCCCTCACCGTATGTCGGTGGTTGCGAAGTAGGGAAGTTGTCCTGAAACGGCTTCTGCTCTATGCCTATGTTGGTCTGCAGTTGATGCTCTAATGCCGCAGTTGATTCGTTGGCCGATTTCAAAAAGTCATCGATACTCATCGAGTCCAGGTTGCTGGATGCCAGGAGCTGTGCCTGCGGCATGCTGATGAAAGACGATGTCGAGCTGAGACGCAGGTGCTCCATATCCGAACCTTCGCTCACACTGTGCAGATCGCTGCCGGTGTGGGCGAGGCCAGGGAGTGGACCAAATTCGTCTGCCTCCGAAATATCCCCTGAGGATGATGGGGCCGCAAAATTGGGGCCTATCGAATTGTAATCGAAGCTCGCATACGATGGGGCTTGAGTGCTCGTAGCAGCAGGCGCGTCCGAGGAATAAAGCGGGAAACTGGACCAATCGACTGACGGGGCATTGAACCCGGCATTGCCTACCGGCATCTCAGTATCAGGCGAAGCAAAGAACGGCTCCTGATACGGATCTTGGAACGCAATGCCGGAGACCGGGGAGGTCGTCGAAGTGGAAAAACCGGGGAACATGTCGGCCGGCGGAACGCTGGTGACGATCTGATTCAAAGGAGTCTTGCCAAATTCGTCTGCATTTGAGATCGTCGGCTGTTCTGGACCCGCCTCATTCGACTGCTCCAACGGTGATTGTTGCGAAACCGGGGCCGTTGGAGGAGGGAAAAACGGCGAGATGTCAAGTGATGGGACAGACGTCGTAAGGTCCTCAGCAGCCGAAACGGGAGCACTCTCTGGGGAACCATGTTCGGATTTGGTACGACGTGGTGGCCCGAAAAAGGGCGGCGGCGGAGGAGGCTGCTGCTGATCGATCTGAGGGTAGGAATGGCTCTCCCCCATCATTGCTGACTGCGATAGCGGCAGGTGGTCGACCGAGCGGCGGGTCACATCAGACGGTGCATGAAAGGTATGCGAACGAGGAATTGTATAAGGCAAACCGCACTTATGCGCCATGTCGTTGTGCTTGTGATGTGGCTTGTGATGGTGACCATCCCGGAAGACGGTGAGGGTGCTGTCCGACTTGGTCGACGTCAATTGAGGCTTCTTGGGGCATTCCAACAAGATCGTAGGTTGTGCTGGGGGAAGGCCAGTTTCTGGAACAGGATCTAAATGGTGTTCCTTTTTCAGCGCACAGATACAGCGTTGGCCATGACAGCAGCCACAACGCTGACGGGAGTCCTCTGTAACTTCAGATCAGAACTATGAACCAGGGAACCAACACCAACATGCTCACGCTTGTGATCTCGCCTGTCGGCGGTGTGGGAATCCGAGTCATTCTTGTGACAATTCTTCTTTTTGTCACCACACTCGCACTTTGTGTGGGTTGTACGTGACTTGCGTAGACCGCGACAGTGAGCGCATTGAGAGACTGGACGGCCTTTCTTGTTGATGTGGGTCAATGGGCGGTCTACATGATCCATCATATTAGTCCAGGAATTATTGATACAAAGGGATTGGAAGGAACATACCACTGTGATGACAGCTGCTGACACGGTGACCCCGGACGCAAGCTTCACAAGCCCACTTCTCGCCGTCGATAAGCATTTCCGCGGTTACTGAACGGGGAACATGCGACGATTCGCGACGAGTGGAAAATCCCAACGGGTTTAAGAATAAAAGAGGTATAAACCGGATACAAAGACCGGTTGACAGAAAGCAAATGATTATGATCAACCGAACAGGAAGCCCTGTCGGGGAAGAGCGTAGAGAGCCGTCAACGCGGGATTGACAGGGTATAGGTGCGGTCCGTCTGCAAAGAAGACGGAACCGGCTGCAACAAGGAAACAACTCCCAAACGAGCAAAAGCAAAGGACAAAAACAGGGGTATCTTTGGTATCTTTCGAAATTCTTCAGTTCACAAAATCTGTCGTCGAAACAAGCGGTATATACCACAATGCGAAAGGCGAAACCGGTCGGAGGGTTGTCGCTAGTATCAATCACGCGCGTTTCAAGAGGGCTAAAGCGAGGAGAGCCATCCAAGGCAGTTGCCAGGAATGATCAATCACACGAATGGAAGCGAATAGAGTAGATATAGACAGGAAGGACGAGGACTCGGGGGGCCAAAGCCTACGCACCGTTTGGCGCCGGCCGTGAGACAGGACACCAAAAACCGGCTGTGGCGGCCAAAAAGAAAGGAAAAAGGCGATCGATATCGAGGCAGAGTTGCGACCAAACCCTGTGAGGAGGGAAGAAAAGGAAGAAAGGAAAGAAGAGAGGAAAAGGAAAAGAAAAAAGAAAAAAAGGGAACAGGAAAAACGAGGAACCGCCAGGAATAAATGGCAGGCTTATTGGGGGAGGGGGAAACGGAACCGCCGTGTGGACTTACCGTATTGTTGTTACAATACGGCACGGCAAGGGTGTTGCGTGGTTGGCTTATGTGGATGTCCGGAGTTGTACGTACGGTCAGAATGGAATGTAAGGGCAGAGTACAAGGCAGAGAACTCTGTACTGCACATAGCAGGGAGATTGTGTTTTTATGTCTGCGAAGGAATTTTATGAAAAAAAATAAATAAATAAAATAAAAGCTGTATGTAGTATATGTTTTTATTCTTTTCTTTACCTGATGGAATGTCATCTGAGTCAGCTGAGGAAGAGGTTTTACAGTCCAGTGGTCTGACCACAGTCACGGCCCGATATATACGCGGTATATGAGATTCTGATGCCGGTAAGAGAAGAATCTTGATATGGGGAGAGCTCAGCTCTGCAGTCTGTATGGAGTATAGGTTTGGTATACATATCCTGCATCCTGTGCTGGAGTAGTACTGAGTACTGTAAAAACATGCACCTTTACGGAGTATCTGGAGTCTCCGTACTCCGTATCTCGTTTGACCCTATGGATCCTGTTACGAAACTCTGGGGCCGCGGGCGGATTACCACTTTAGATTAGAATTTGATTGGGAGATACTCCATCAGTACAAGTACGTACAGGTAAAGCTCCGTACATTTACAGAGTACACAGTGCGAGTATCCAGTACAAGTCCAATTCGACAGCACTCACATGAATACATACTCGGATAGTGTACCTTGCTCGACCACGGTCCCTGGCCTCGCTAACCTTCTAGAAATCGTTTCCGCGTTCCATGCAAGCCACAAGAACTCGATCTTTCAACACACAATCAGATTTTTTCTTTGTATGCAGCATCAGCGTTACATGGTTTTTTATCCATATGGTTGGTCATGATAGCGGTTGGTGTTAGGTAAAATTTGTACGGAGTATTTTACCGAGACGCACAAGGAGAAAAAAGGAAGAAGCAATGTGTTGATTACAAAAATGAAAACTGCTTGAAAGATTCTCTGTTATGACTGTATCAATTCGCTCTTATTCTCGCCAATTCTCTTCCCAGTTCTCCCTCTATCATGAAATCATTGTTATCAAGCATCTCTCCAAACCAGTTCTCTATACTGTATCGAATACTGCACAATGTCGTCACCGACTGCTCCCTTGAGGGCGGCTGCAGCGGCGCCGGCGCTAACCTCGTTACGGACTAGCATAGTCATATGGGAGGGGCAGAAAGTCGATCTCAGTGGAGGCGGTCAGCGGTCCCCACCGGCCAATCAAACGGTGGATGGGTGAAACCGGGAAAGTGACCCACTATGCGAACGGACTCTAGCGGTTAGCGCTACTTAGAGTTTGTTCTGGTGGGTTTGGAGTGTAAGAGAGACATTCATATATTCAAGATGGTCGGTTATAAACGGGAGGTTGATGCTGTGTGACTAACTGATTGAGTAATAGCTACGTTGACCAAGTATTTGTTGACATGATGGCCCTGTAACCGTTATGTATACTGTCGTATCTGGAATTTGGCGGGACTGACTGATTCTGGGGATAAGAATATGTACGTAGGTTCCCGTGGTGGGGCCACTAGCTAAGCTTGAGGTTAGGGCATAGGTATCCGTATGGAGTACGGAGCACGAGGCTTTCGTAGGGACGGTTTGAAATAGATGTAGCTAGCGGTACCTCACCGGGACTAAGCCATAATAGTAGAATAGTAAAGAGTATCCCAAAACAGCAGTAAGCTATCTACGGAGTGTTCTATAGGGTACGTTAGATGCTCGATTGCTTGGTGTCATTTCGCTCAGGTGACAGCTGCCTGAAGACAATTCCATCATGTCACAAGATACACTACGATTGGAAACCCTAGTCCGTACATTGCCATAATACTTACCTGTATGAGTACTCCGTACTTGCACACTGACCTTCATTTCAAACCCCGAAAACTTTTCCAGCCACTCTTAGGGCATACAATAATGGCCTTTGAAGAGCACAATATCAAATTCCAACAGTACTAACCCCGAACAGCATAGCCTAGAAATTAAGTTAGCAGTGCCACAGTCTGTATATTAATCTCCATTGGCAGATTGGAGAGTTCTTTTGAGTCAAACTGTATGCACAGTGGTGTACGTGCAGTAGTAGTTGTTTCACCGGCGTTGTTGGGTTGCTATTGGCGGGTAAACTGGCCTATTAAGAAGAAGCCCCGAGATCTTTCACCAGTATACTTTGCGCCATAGCACTCCGAGATAGACGCCTGTCGCATACAACTTTACAACTTGCCAATCTTCATATAACTTCACGAGAGTGAGTCGAATCAACATAGTCTACTGTGCACGCCATATGAGTATTCCTATAAAAGAATCTGTTATTGGCCAAGCAACCACCAATTAGGTTAATCTATTTCAACCCGTCACGGCCAGACCCGCTTCTTGGCTAGTGCACTTGACCCGAAACGGAAATACTTCTCGGACAGGAAAAAGTGGCCAGCGGACCGCCCCCGTTGTGGAGTGTTAGAGGCTCTTAGTCCCGGTGGCTATCCACTATCAGGAGTGCTCGCTTCGGCTTGCGGATACCCCGGTCTGTCCGGCCCGGTGCGGTGCGAGTCAACACGGGAAGCATTTGAATCGGTTTGTTGGTTGTTATTCTACGATTAGATTCTTGACCGTTTGCCGTACGGAGTGTATAGTACGGCGTTACTAAGTGTCCCCAATTAACGATGTTCTGTTTTGTCCTAGTTATGCAATGTAATGGTAGGTGCCTAGTCCCTGGTAACCAACTGTCGGGATTGATGAAACGTTGCAGGATCAGTCCAGCCTTGGCTTGATTAGTCTGCACACCGTGAGCACGAGTACTCTCACCGTGACTGATGTCAGTATGTCTATCGCAATGGCCGTGCGCCTCTCATTTGACGACAGTATAGCCGACGGTCTCTGTAAAAACCTTCCATTTGGAGTATGTGTGAAGTTCTGATCATGGTTGGCAATGTGGAGTTGCTATCATCTCGAAAGTTAGGTCGTAACGTGGTATGGCAGCATCTCCCTGAGAAGGCAGTTGGTCTAGAAGAGCCCTTGGACGCATGAAATGAGTCAGTTATTTGGAATCAATCCCTGCTCGCGCCGCCTATAGTATTATGAGATCTGTAAACCTGAGTTGGACTTTGGGATACCGTTAGGACCTGGTTCCGCCGCAGCAATTGGCATTTTAGCATAGCTCAGCATAACATCCAAAAAAAAAGAGGGGGAGGGTGTTATAGAAAAGAACAAGAAAATTTGTAATACTGCACAAAAAGTGGTTACTATCTCGAATTTGAAAAAAAAAAAAAAAAAAAAAAATCTGCATCGTTGGTTGGTGATGCTACCGGGCCTGGGATCATCGCGATGGCTTCATTCGTGTCCCAAAAGGGAAATCCGTGATATCGCAGCATCAGACAATTACGATGAAGCTAGGCATAAACCAGTAAGGCGAGAGATATTGTAACCTCAATGCCAAGGTCCCCTGTTGTTATCAATAACAATTCACGACAAGCATCTTCCCTCCTTATCGTCAGGCTTCATCCGTATGCATGGGGAGATCACAGCAGCCAGAACTCTCTCAGAATCGGGACTTTCAATCCTGCCACTCCGGACCATCTATCCTCCTACACTCCGTCTCGTTATCGAAATTCATCTCTTCTCTCCGCCGAACGATTCAGGTTCTGGGCCGGTGGGAAATAGTATTAATCCGTCGTCGCTGAACGCAGAAACAAAAAGCCGGACCGCCGCATCGGCGCGATCATCACTAAGTAGGAAACTTTTATATCATCCGAGTCTCTATCACCAGCTGTATATCCTCACGGCCATTTTTGTATTTTGTTGCGCGATCATGGTCGCCGTTTCCTGCTCTCTGCCGAGGGCTATTGGCGCTAACCCCTTCACAATGCTCCCCGCCCAGGCAAATTTAGCCTGTAAAACCTTGCCTTGCGCGTCTTCGCTTCTTCCACCTTTTCTTCCTCCACCACCACCACCACCACCACCACCACCGCTATCAATACCCACCAACCATCACTTATCCATCCGGAATTTTTTTAAATGGTTAACGCTCCTCCGCTTGGATTTTTTCTGTCATGTCTCGTTTTGAATCTGACGCAATGAATTCCCGCGAGCAGTCGGATATGCCTCCGGCACCCTCGTACCCGTCCCCCAACGCGGCGCAAATGAGCCAAGGCGCTATGCAATACTACACCAACCGCCAGTTGACCACCGACGAGCTCTTGTCCGCTGAGCTTTCTCGCGAAACTTCGGGTCCTAGCCTGGCAGACGGGTCGAGTAATGGCGTTCATCACGGCCAGTCGATGGTTTTGGGGGCCTCCAATCCCGGTGGGCCGGAGATGGGTCGTCCATCGTCCCCGGATCAACACCAACAACAGCATATGTTGCAGTTCACTCCGGGTCAACAGGTGGGCGCGGATCCGAATCATGACCTGAGCTATGGTGACCAGAGTGCGAGGAGAAAGAGATCGAAGATTTCGCGGGCGTGTGATGAGTGCCGGCGCAAAAAGGTACTTTGTTTTTGTGTGATTACTCGACGCGACGGGGGACTAGAAACTAATCTTTTCATCTCTACTAGGTCCGTTGCGATGCTACCTCCGAATCTGGTGTCGAAACTTGCTCCAACTGTCGCAGACTTGGTGTTGTCTGTCAGTTCAGTCGCGTCCCGATGAAACGCGGACCCAGCAAAGGGTGAGATGAAAATTCCGCCAAGTGACAGGAACGGTTCAACTGACGGGATTAAAGCTACATCAAGGAACTTGCGGAACGCCTACACACTCTGGAGAGTCAAATGCAGCCTGCCGCCATGGTCCACCCAGACATGCAGTACCAGGCCATGAACGAAGTGCCGTCCCCGAGACCTTACCAAGAGTTTTCCCCACCAATGGACGCAGGTCCTATCAATCGCAAGCGCACCTACTCTGTCTTCGAAGGACTCCCAAGTTCGTTCTCGCAGCCACAGTTCAACCCCCGTGGATCGCAAAATGCATTTGGTACGCTGTTTGCACTACCTACGTGGTCCTGCTCCCAACTAACTAGAATAGATACGACAGAAACCTCCACGGATCCTGTGCTTGCTACGTCTGCACCCAAGCCCGGTAACCTGTTCTGGCCGGTCAGCAACGAAGATGGCCTTCCCGCCGGGATGGACATTCCCGAAGTGTCGAAACACCCGGACGAGGACATGACACCATTGGACGTTGATGATGGTGCATTGAATGCGTTCGTCTCTTCATTTGCCTACTTTGTCTTCAGAAACTGATAAGGTGCAGCTACCACGTCAACATTCATCCGGTTTTCCCAATTTTGCCGCACTCCAAGGAACGTCTGCTCGAGATTCTCCACCAATGCAGTCGCGAAATTCAAGAGGTCTTCCTCTACAGTCTTTACACAGTGACACGCACTGACATGGGTCGTGTTGCTGGTGCTTTTGGAAAGGTGGCGTCGTTCGACAATGCTCAGGACCTTCTCTTGTACTACACGCGACAACCTGCACTGGTCCGTTCGACTGCGGTCAATCTGATATGGCTTCAGTCGATGCTGCTTATGATCTTGGACTGCGACTTCCGAGGACCCGACAACTTCGTACTCAAGGACGGTGTTCCAAAGCACACTCTTATCCAGTCTGCTATTAAACTTGGCTCTGATTTGGCAAAAGGTCTTGGTCAATTGAAGAACAAGCGAGCTTCTGACCCTGACCATGATTCTGACGCCAACATTACCCGACGGGATTGGGTTTCGCTGATTATCCTCACTCGCTGGTATGCCGTCAGTGTGGCTGATCCGAGTGTCCTTGGAAACCACGAAATCGGTGGTCGGGAAGATGAGCGGGTTGTTGGCTCAGTCACGACAGGTGTTGGCTGTAAGTTCTAGCCGTTCTTTCGATATGAGGAAACCCAGCTAACCCAACATCTAGCTTACTCGTCATTCCTGGTCGAAATGGTCACCCTGGCCACCTCTGACCACAATATCTGCCAAACCAACACCGGCGTAGGACGTTTGATCAGCGCAAACCTTGCAGCCTCTCTTGAGCGTCTCTCAGAGGTCCAAGACCTCCACGGCTTCCACGTCCCCGAAGAGACCTCGTCCGACAGTTTCCTCGAGAGCCTCCAGAACCAGCTCTACTGGACAATCCGGCTGCTCATCAAGCGTCACATCTTTGTCTACAGCCCCTACGAGATCATCTACAGCGCGCAAGAACTCACCAACGAACTCCACAAGGCAACCATGCAATCCCGCCTCTCCACCCCCTTCGACCTCCACAGTCTGGCCCTTGCCTCCATGACCCTCCTCGAGGCCACCGTTCTCCCCGAATACGCCAATGAATGCTGGGAATCCCTCAACAAGGTCGAAGAAATCCTTGACCGCCGCACAAAACGCTACACCGGCGTCGAAGAATTCCAAGACGTCTTCGCCACCCCAGGTTGGGACAACAAGATCCGAATTTTCCTCGAATGGCGTCGCGCCAAGTCCCAGGAGTCCCAACTCCAAGACCCTAGCCTGACCAAGAATAACACCCACAACGGTAACAACGGCGCCGCCGCACCGCCCCCAGTTATGGGCCCCAACGAGCAGCGCTCGCTGCAACACTTGGCTGACCTTGCCGTCGGCGCTGAGGGATCTGTCTCTGCAAATGCAAACGCGTCGTCTCCGCCACCGGCGCTTCCGGAGAATAATCTCAACGCGGCGGAGGCGCAGACGCCGCAGGGGCGTATGGTCGTTGATTTTACGTTGTTGACGAAGGAGGGGTATTTGAATGTGTTTTCGGGGTTGATTTATCGTCGACAGCGGTGATCCTTTCCCTTGGGTTTTTGTCTTTGCTCTCTTCTCTTTTATAAATGGATAAAAGAAAATATCGTATATGCTTCATCAACTGAACTGTTTTGGATTTTGGAAATAGGAGTTTTGATTCTCTTCTCCTTGTTTGTTCTCTTTTTTGTATCCTATGCAATACGTTGTAATTGTCTTTCTTGTCTTGAGATCCTCCCCACTCGTGTTCCTTGATGGTGATAATGTATTAGACCCTTCCTTTTTCTATTGCTAAATAGGTATACTACGGTACATAACTCCAGCTCTGGCCATACTCTCCATGTAAGGTATATAGATCACAGCCCATATAAAACAAATATCAACAAACAGCATGAATAGGAATCATCAAATCAATGTCAATGTCAAATCATGAATGAGAATGTCACGTTTTGCCAAACGCAAATCGCTGCCAAAGACCTTCCACATCCTCAGCAAGAGAAATAAAATCGTCGTTCTGGATTTGTGAGCAGATCCAATTCCCGAGTCTTGCTGTACGTTCTGTCTTTGGGTCGGAGATATATGAGGCGAGGTCTACAATGGGGTCTTGCTTCCATTGTTGCTGTGTTTGCAGTTGCAATTGCGGTTGCGATTGTGGTTGAAGAGAAGGGTTCGTATTCATGGGTATAGCACTGCGGTGTTGTTGTTGTTGCTGCTGTAATTGGATAGGCATGTTCATAGGTAGAGTATTGCGGGGTATATCCATATGGCTCTGCAGTCTCGAACTGGTATTGTTATATGATGGTTCCTGTCGATAGAGAGTCGTAGGAGGAGCGGGTTGGATAGGTATAGGTATATTTGTGTTTGCCTGCGTGTTCTGTTGAGATGAAGGAGGATTGTTGGCGGGTTCGCTACTTGAATTTGACTGTGAGAGTGAAGTAAAGCTGCGCTTTATTCCTCTGGCGTTGCTCGTGTCGTTTGTTGCTTTGGATGGCGTCGAATCGTAGTGATCTCGGATTGATGTCTGGGTTTTCTCAGAACCTATGTTTCAAATTATTCATTAACAAGACATTTCCTAGTTACCAGGTAGTGTGTTATACCAGAGTCGCTTGGCCTCGGCGCATTGTTTGTCTGCTTCCCCGATGCACGCGGCTTCTTCGCATCCGGCTTCATAAATGGCAGATCCCGCCTCGGAGGTAGAATCTCATCGAGCGATTGAGTGTCATGGCAGGATGTGGTAGGATGAGAAGAGGTCACGGTGCTATTTGCCACCGGTGCTTCACTGTTGTTGGCCGGTACGAGGTCTGTAAGCGTATGGGTGGTACTCGACGAAGCGGGACGCAGAAAAGGCCCTATTAGTGCAAATAAGCTGTTAGCAAAGTCACTCCATGACTTGTAGTTGCTTGGGAGGTACCAGTATTAGCTGATCTTGCACATGGATCAATCGTCGGAGACGATTGAGATGAGAAGAACATATTGTTCAAAGTCGGTATACCCGGCGCATCTGGAACACTAGGGAACGGTTGTGGAGGAGCAGGCGCAGAAGCAACTGGCCCAGAGCGCCATTGTGAAGATGTAGGTTTGCGGACTGGTGGTAATGAGCCGACATTGGATTCCGAAAATGGACATTTGATGTTGCTCAAGATGACCAAGGTTGAGTAGTAGTCGCGATCGGATGAAAATTTGATTTGGAATCGACGAATCTGCGACGTGGGATATTAGAGTTAAAAGGTAGAATCCTTGGGGATGGAGAGTAAGAACGCACGCATATACCGTCCTTTGGATATTTCACAGCAAGACAGGGCAGCTTCACGATCACAGCAAAAACCGGCTTCACCTGACCACTCTGTCCAGACAAAGCAAACTTCGCGGCTTCTTGTGAGTGGTATGTAAGATCGACTTCTTCCTAGATTAGAGGACGTTTTAATGTTAGTATTGTCTCAAGTGCAAGGTCCAGGAGCGTTCAAATACGGCACCAGTAACTCGTAGTCTCGAAACACCTTCAAAAAAACTCGTGCTGGTGTCAGTCCAGGCACGGCATGGCTTTCAATTCTTCCAATTATATCGCCGTTTCCCATTATATGACTCCAGTTCAGTGGGCCATTGTGTCCGATTGAGGTGGTTGTGTGGGAGAACTTCGCGAGAGGCAGGCAGGCAAGCTGGGTGGGCTCCGGGGGCTGCTGAGAAGGGTGGTACATGATGAAATTATTGTTGATGGGTCCAATTCACTGACATAGTAGCATATACTCGCCTATATGATATATAAAGAAGTTTAGGTTGAGGGATAGATGGGTAAAATGAGAAGTGTTGGTGAAAGAAAGAAGACGAAGTTGGCTTAGGGTAGAGCATGTGACCGCCATGTATATGTGTCCGATCACTCATCATATAGTAGAACCTCTTTTTCCCCCTCATATGCCATCCTCATTACCAAAACAATTCAACGTGATTTCAGAATTATGTTACAGACGAATAAACAATGTACACGAGGCATCTATATTTCTATTACACCATCTATATATACCACCGTTAAAAATACATTATTCCCCTAAATTTTATATCATAAGCAAAGAACCGGACTGCACGCCAACTCTTAGTTGCTCGATGTGGTAGTAGAGACAGCACTGCTGCTCTGAGGGAGTCCCCCATCAATGCCTCTCGGGTCACCGTCCGAAGTACCATTAACCGCAACTCCACCGTTGGCCGTCCAAACGTTGGTGTAGTAGGGGTAGTGAACAGCTGAGACGTTGACTGCAACAGTAATCCATGCAAAAAGACCGTCTTCCACTTTTTCTCCCAAGTAAGCGTAGTTCAACATCGGATCCGCATCATTCCCTTCGGTCTCCTGCCCGACGACTCGATCCTTAGCATTGGCAGTGATGGGAATGTCATTCGTGTTGTACGGGTAGGTCGACTCCACGGTGTTGATAATCTCCTGGTCCCAGAAAATTTGCGCGATATGCGGGATCGTTCCACCGGTAAGGGTGTTGTTCGGAAGTAGAGTAGCGTTGAAATGAGCGATGTTGTGGTAATGGGTGGTCCGGCTATCGTAATGGCCAGGGAACAAGGTGTCAAATGTAACGACTCCATCCGCGTTTGTCTTCTGGACACCTCGCAAGAAGGTACGCTGGTGATTCGCAAGGTCCGCGGCGTTTCCATTGCCCTCCGCAACAAGGCCGGAATAGACACCAGTAGCATTGCAACCCCAGATCTCAGTGTAGAGATCTGGGATAGGCTCGCAGGTATTGATATCGATGTATTGTTGTTCCATGATTACCGGCACTCCAGGCTCGCCTTCACGCAATTTCGAACGGATTCTTTCTCCGGGAATCCAGTACGGCCCGGTCTCTCCCTCCGGACTCGGACCAAGTAAGCAGATTTTCTCTTTCGAGTTCTTGAATATTTCTTCAGCAGAGGATGTGGGAGCACTACCAGTCATGTTGTGAGACTTATCCAGGACAGTGCTAGTGTCTCGGGTCATGAGCTGCCGGCGGTGCAACTCAACCACAGACTTACGACGGGCCTCAGCGCGGGCTTGCAAGCCGCTCTGATCCAAGCGAGTCGAGCATTTCTGTAGCCCGTGGTGAACATCTCTTTTGAGAACTTGAACCCCCGGAGAGGCATGCTCCTCATGATGCCCGGGGTGAGCGGCTGTCAGGACAGCACTGCCGATGACTGCGGCGTTGAACACGTTTTTGAGTTGCATATTTCCGGGAAAGCAAAAGAAAAGAAGATGAAAGAGATAATTGCCAATAAGCAGCACAATGCGAGTGTTGATTGTTGTCTTTATGAGGAGACAAATGCACTGCTTTTATATGGTCCTCTTCACCCTAATTCCGAACATCCGGACCATATCCCGGAAATTTCTGCCCGTTTTGATGCTGTGAACGTAAAAAAAAAAAAAAAAAAGCATTCTGGATAATGACTTATTCGGCTTGGCATCCAATACTCTCGATCACAGTATGGAGATTCGGTGGTAGTTGTGACTTTTGGAAGTGATCGCCCCGAAAGGACAATGTTTTGAATAGAGGCATAGCTACATATCGGAATCAGACCCGGCTCCTAGCCAATGGCCAACACTCAATTGCAGACTACAAAATCATGCCTCTCAAGGCAACAAGGTTTGCAATGGAGCCTATTTGATTGGGGCTGCGCATACACTGTTGGGCGTGGGGAGTTGGATTCCCACATTCAGGACGTCCCCGTGAATTCAGTACATAACCTCTCCCCATTTCCCTCCCACAATTCGTCCCACGGTCTCCACGAAGAATTGTGGAGTTTCTAAAGATGAAAAGGGCTTGGCTATGGGCTAAGAAGTGCCAAGCCGTGGGCCCGAAAGTGAGTTTGATGCTCTTGCTTCAGAAAATTTCGAACACTTCAAGTTGTAGTATTTCAGGATGCGAGAAGACGAGTCAATACAGAGAACAAACCTGCTATGCTTCTGACTGAATTTCGGATCCAGGTTACTGTGTAGAAAGCTAGTTATATTCGTCATCTGATGTGCAGCTCTACCGGCTCGGGCCCGAGATGTGCTCTCGGAGTACAAAAATTCGGGATCGTCGGCGTCCCCTAGGGTAGCCGACTACTGCAACATTGATTCCTTTAGCACCTGCGCATATAGTCATTCATTTTATCTTTCGGCTCCATGGGTTTCTTGTCAATTTGGTATAGTTCCCCGGGCCGCTATAAACCAGAGCAACAGTAAAAGGCGTTGAGAGACAGCATATAAATACCCTGAACTGTAAGCCTCGCGATTTATGCTCGTCACGTCCATATATGACAGTTGGCAGTCCACCACTGGAGATCAGCGGGTTCTCTGTACTTGGTGAGAAACTTTGGGAGCAGCATATATCCATATTGGCAAGAAACGCAGGAGTACGGAGTGTGCTAAGGCTTGTGTGGAACAATCTGTAGGAATGTCCTAGGAGATCCTTCAATGAACATAAGTCAGATAGTCGAAGTGGATATGCATCCACAGATAGTAGCATGTTGTCTTACGTGATGTCCAATTAGGTACCTTTGGGCGATCAGCGAAGCGAACTGTAGGGATAAGTATTTTTCCCCGAGGAACGTATCCCGTATTTCGAGTCATCAAAACCCCAAACGAGCTTTTGTAATGCCCTTAAGCAGGTGCATTTAGTATACAGCAATGCACTGTACTATTGAAACAACCCAATCGGGCCATCTTTTAAGCGAGAAGTGTCCAAGACGGAAGCCATGGTGCTGGAAACTTCAGGACAGAGTGATATAATCAGAGACACCATGCTTCTAATTTGCAGTTTAGATCCCTTCATCATAAGACCTAAGAAAGAGAGCACAATTGAGTCAAGAGAAAATTTCGCACACCCCAGAAACCGGATTGTATTCGGTGTTAACTCCGGTTTCCAGCTGAAGAGAAGCGTTAGTCACATAAGCTCTGTTCCAATCAATCTTCTTGCTTCTGTGTCGTATACACAAGAAGCCATAGAGGCGGGAAATTGGAAGGATCGTCCATCTAGATTTATTTTGTTTGGTATAGGATAAATAACAGCCACTCGGCATTCCGAGTGCTGGTAGTATAAGGTCCACGAGAGACACTTGGGTTTCAGAGGCGTTGGGCTGAAAGGAAAGCTGTAGACAAGATCTCACTTCATAAATAACGAAAGACAGGCCCATGAATTGCTGAGCAGAATATCCCTGACTGGACGTGGTAATACTAGGAACTTGGACTGCCGTTGGAGTAGTTAACGTGGTCGGCAAGCGAGTGGGCCATGTAAGCGAGTGGGCCACCTAACCACTTTTTCGCATCCCAGTCTATATATCTATTTTCTATCAACCACTATGCCACCAAATCGAGTCAGATCGAGACAAGATTCTATTCAGCAAGAGGGCCGCTTCTTACTTGCTATACGAACTTGGAAAAGAAAAGAAATTAGTACTATTCGCCAAGCCGCAGACCAATTCCAGGCCCCCCCGTATTACGCTCACGCGTCGACTATGCAGTACTACAAATCGCGCTGAATCTCGCGCAAATGGCCATAAATTGACACATATCGAAGAGAAACTACTTCAGCAGCGGATACTATCGCTAGATATACGTGTAGCAGGCCCTACACAAGCTCATGTACGTTTTACAGCCTCTTGATATTGGGTGCTTCGCGGTTTTAAAGCGCTCGTATGGTGGCTTAGTCGACCAGAAAATGCGGCTCGGGATCAACTACATCGATAAGCTTGACTTCCTTGCAGCATATCCACAAGCTTGTATTGACGCATTCAAAGCAGACACGATCAATAATAGCTTTCAGGTAGCAGGATTAGTACCATTCAATTCTCAACCAGTGCTATCAAATCTTAATATTCGACTTCGGATGCCTACGCCACCCGCAAGCCGCGATAGTGAATCAAGCACTTTTTACCCACATACACTCGCGAACGTTGATGAGCTTCTAAAGCAAGCATCATCAATCAAAACATTCCTTAAGCAACGCTCAAACAGTCCACCCTCGCCCTCACAGACCACGTTAAACCAGCTTATCAAAGGCGGTTAAATTGCAATGCAGAATGGTATACTTCTCGAGGGAGAAAATAAGCAACTACGCGCCGCAAATGCTACACAAAGGCAGAAGCGCGCTCGTGTGAATAGATGAATAGCCCAAGATAATGGTTTATCAGTACGAGAAGCATTAGAGCTTGAGGAAACTCATAATCAGTTATTTCAGCTAAGAACAGGACTAAGAGAGGCGCCAGCGCAGGCTATGCAAGCGCCAGTTACGCGGCGCCTACCTAAATGTGGTAATTGTAGCAAGATAAGGCATAAGAAGAATGCCTGTCCAAGAAGAGATTAAAGGATATAAAGGCGTTGTGGTTGATATATATCCATAGAAGTGTAGAAAAAGTGGTTAGGTGGCCCACTCGCTTACATGGCCCACTCTGCTTGCCGACCACGTTATCTTCGAGTGCTGCTTTCCTCAGGCATGCAATATGACTCAGCACAAATTTGACTTATCGGATCAACTTATTCTCCGGGGCACGCGAGGCCCGTGATGTTCGCGCGGACTTTTGGCTGCCAGGATGGATCGCAGGACCAGGTTGTATTCACGAAGCTTGTCAGGGCCACCACGAAGGCATTGATAGCTGGCTGCTACTTGTGCTTTTTACTGCAAGTTCTTATTTCCTGCGCGAGTACACTACAATTTCCGTCAACCAAAGCCCGCGTCGATACCTTGCAGTCGCATTCCTTTTGTCGACTGGCTCTCCGATTTAACTCGATCGCGTTTCTAGCCCTCACTCGCGCAGCAATAGAGGCAAATAATTCTGCGAATACACTTACTATCCTTCAGGGAGATCTGTATTTGTTTTTCGACGCCGAGGATCGCCAACCTAGGAGACATCGAAACAAGGAACGACCGGAATCCGCTTTAATTGAATTGTTTGTCAGAACCTGTCGCGCCTTCGAATACGAGATCCGATACATCTTGATTTAAAAAAACAAAGGTCTTGGTATTGCAAAGCGTAGGCGGCAGTTATTGGCGACAACTCTAGTGGAATTGATAGGCCTGTATACAGGAGCAACAGGACTACAATAGACAGCATCGAGTCTCAGCTTTTAACGCGCAAACTTCTTTCGGGAAACCTCTATCTGTCAAGGACCAAGATGTCCGCCAATACTCCGCGCACATCCCTGCGAGGTAAGTGTTGAAAAATCTCATAACTAGCCTTTCGCGTATGCGTATCTCATACTGACCGGTTCAAAAGAGGGCTTGCGCCAGGCTCCCAAAATCAACCAGCCATTCATTCCTGATACAGCTCCGGTGAGACGCTCCCATATTCATTCGACCACATCTCCTCAATCAACTCCAACGCATGACAATGTCATCCCGTCCACGAATCCGAACAGTGCCCAGTTTAGCGCGGGGAGCTGGGATGGGCAGAGGTTGGTGCCCATGTCAACGCGCGAGGTAGCGACTCCAGGGAATAGACCAGGCCTGTTTCCAAGTGTCAACAACAGATCGAAGACCGCGAAGCAAGCCAATTTCTATGACCCTTATTTTCCACTGAGATTTATCGAAGTCCCAAAGTGTAAGTGGCTTGGATTTGTTTAAAGAGACGCCACATTTGAATTGCTGGAGCTGACCATACACTAAACAGCGGATCATATTTACAAGCGGGCACATTATGGTTTGCAGTCAGGTATATCGGACGAGGTTGATTTCGCATTGTATCACTTGGTGCAAATCTCCAATCAGCGCTGGGATAAGTTCAAGTTCGAAGGCTTCCCCCTGCTTGCTGAGACCCTTATGGGGAAGGCTTTGGACATCACATATCTCTGTACTGGCATCAAATGGGAGCTTGAGTATGATTTCCGGCAGCCTACTGACCGTGCGAACGTCCTCAATTCATTACACGGCACCCGGGATCTTCTAGAGAAGATTGAGAAACTGCCAGTGACATTGCCAAATGACACGCTTGAAACTTACGAATTCAACCATCGTCTCCGAAACGTGAAGGAGGCGACACTGGTCCTCCGAAACATGGTACTCCTCAAAGAGAACGCATTTTATGTGGCACGTTATGCCAAGGGGTTATTAAGGGATTTTTTGGTCATCCTCCTCAACATCCCGAACCAGCCTCGCTTGAACGAAATCAAGAATGATGCTTTGGATATTGCGGAAGAGGTTACGAAGTTCATGAGAACCGACACACAGGATCCGCTCTGGATCACCCTTCTTAGATGCCTTGAGTCACCAGACCGTGCTCACGTTGTGCGGGCCCTCTGGGCTCTGACCCATTTCGGGACAGAGCTGGATGAGCCAGACGCAAACAAAGCGATGGAAAGCATTTCGAGAGAGACTGTACAACAGCTATATTTCCATACGCTCCTTGACTTGGATAAAGATATCTTAAGCGGTGCACTGGACTTCTGGTACCAGTACACACTTTCTCCAGACAATGTTGAGAGTTTGATGGACGTTATTAATCTTCCGATTATCTTTGTGCCGCGCATGATTGCCTTGTTAGCGTACGAGGGGCGACCTTCAAAGAAAGAAACGGTACTGCAGGAGGAAAAAGTGGCTCCTCCGCCATCAGAAATACCTCGCATACCTTCTGAACTCCTCAGAGACCTGATGGAACTCACAGAGCCTGAGCGCAGCTCCCGCTGGCTACGTTGCTGTTTTGTTGAGGATGGTGATTGCGAGATTACACAAATTGCATTGTGGCAAGCCTACCAAAGCCGATTTGCAGACCCTCGGGTTCCTGGCGGCGGTGTCCTCCCTGCGGCGGAGTTCATCAAGAATGTTAGTACCACCTTCACCAACGCCCAAGCTCAAGTCATCAATGGCCCTGGCGCCGCGACAAAGTTCATTATCAAGGGAATCCGGCCACTTGAGACCGCATATAGTTTCCAGGGATTCCCTTACTTTTACTGCCAATGGGCAGACAACACAAAACCATCTAAGGAATGCCAACGCGCATTTACTACCCCCGCTGATCTCCGCACACATGTCTTCTCCGAACACATGAATCTCAAAGCCACCGACACACCTGGCCAATATAATCTGGAGAAGGCGGATTCGCCTGTGCACACCTGCTTGTGGGACAATTGCACCAAGTTCCGCTTGTCTGGGCTCAGTGCCGACACTCCGTTGGTTGCTGGTCATGTATCCTCGCATCTACCTGAGGATCTTGCGCCAGATGCAGAGCCACCAACCTCGAAGCGTGCTGTGCTCCAAGAGCGCATCGTGCGCAAGTGGTTCTATATGGACTCTCCGGTCAACGAACGAGGCGAGCCCGTCGGTGTGGCTTACAAGGCTGCTCTGGTGCTGCGCAATCTTGCTAAGAACCTCCCTACTGGTACTGCGGCGCACTATGGCGGGCTTCCTTGGAAGAAAGCCGTTTTTCTCAGCCATCGCCCCAAGATTATCGAGACATGGGATCGCAACCGGTCTCTGCGCAAAGAGCTCACTGAGTTGATTATGGCAGTAGAGAAGGAGGACTACTATTAAAGCAACCAAAGTGATAAAAAATGACTGAAATGACGCAAAGGAAAGACTTTTGCTTATTCTCGACTGAGGATCTTTTGTGGACGTGTTTTTGTACTTTTCACGTTTTGATTATGCATTATACGGTGTACGAATAATAATACCCGGGCTGTCTGGTCTCTGCCTACCTTACTCTCAGAACTTCTGTGGCTATCACAATCTCTTCAGACCAGTCTTATCTAAGGGCCTGACGGCTGAACCTCGGTACTCGTGCGGCTTTGCGAAAAGGTTGATAGGCGGGATGGAAGCGCGGATGAAAATATATGGCGTCTATGGCATGAAGCGGACTTATGGATTGACTTCTTTTTTCTTTTCTCTTTCCTTTTTTTTTTTTTTTTTTTTCTCTTTTTTTTTTTTCTTTAACAGGAGTGTACTATAAGGTTCAAATGGAGGGGACTTGATGAGATGATACGATTAGATAAGTTCTCATTGTTGAATTACTATGTATAAGATTAGTTCAGAGTACACATTCCTTTCCATTTAAATTCTGCACCGTAAGACATCGAAAGGCGCGGAGAGCATTTGTATTTCCCTAGATTTGCCCGACATTGGACCATGTCCAAAAGTGATATAGCGCAGGGTTTGTCTATACTGTGCAAATTATGCAAGGTCTTATGTCATCTATCCCCGCCCACCTTTTGCAGCCTGCAGCCACACTTCGTTTAACCAACACCCCAAACAACAAAGGAATGCTCAGAATATCTCGCATACGTTTACGACATAGAGCAAGCGACTTCAAAGATGGGTGAGAAAAGCGACAACTTCTTTAGAGTCAGTACCTCCCTAAACTCGGATATCTCCAGCTTGTCGCACAATGAATTCAACGTCGCACTTGGCATGACTAACCACTGGGTCGATTGCTATACAGGAATTAGAAAAGACCTACTGCCCACCGCTGGATGCAGCTTTATTTACAGCAATTGTTTCCGACTATGATCTATCAGACTCGGGTCAGGTCCAACAGGCCCGCGACACTTTAGATATCCTTCAACTGTCTGCTCTGGAACAGGAAGATCTTCCTTTCGACCCATCAGGTACCAGTGGCTTGGGGACGACCAGCAACGATATTGATGGGATCGTGTCGGATCGCAGTGCCTCTCGAAATGATAGTTCAGGCCAATCTCAGGAAACGGATCTCACATCGGAATTCTCCTCGATTGACATGAGAGATAGGGATTTCTTCGGTCACAGCAATGATCGTTCGACTTCCTCTGCATCAGCAGGATATATACTAGGAGCCGATGGGAACATCACTTTGGCTGGAGCGAGTGAGGAGGACAAAGTTCGCTACTTGACGGAAATGTTTCCGTCGGTAGAACGCTTTACTATTCAGCATACGCTGAAAAAATCGGACGGTGATGTCGATCGTGCAATGGACGTTTTGCTTAATCTCGCATTCTTCGACGAGCAACCTCCTGACGAAGACGGAGGCAGAGTCTTAGTTCCCAAGGGCATCGATGGCTTCCAGGAGGGCTCGAGTGGGAAGGGACGCAAGCGGAAGACTAAGAACAAGAACAAGAACCAGGAGTTGTCGTCGCCTGCAGGCTCCGAATTCGACGAGAGCCCGAGCTTCAACAAGTGGAATGCTGGGTTAAAGGATGTCGACTTCATCCATTCACGAACTTCACCGATACTAAAGAAGGAGACGGTCAGCTCGACCTATCACGCCAACGGAGCCTCATTGCCCGCAACAATTAGGGCTCTCGCAACTGCGCATGCGCCGAAAGACGAAAGGAAGATTCACGAGAACCCCGTCATGGCTGCGCAGGTGGCTGAGTTGACCCAAGAGTTTCCTTCGATCGCGCCATTTACTTTTGCAGGATTACTTTGCATCACACGAAACTCGACTTCAGCTGCTAATGAGTTAGCAGCTGCCTTAATCACCCGCCCAATGACGCCTTCTGTGTCTCAGTTGATCCAGTTCACAGCTACACCCCCGCCTCTCGATATCGAAGACGACACGCCCAGCCAACGCAAGCGAGAGGCTCGAATGATCAGAGACTTTGATCGCGCGCAAGGAACCGCAGGGGCGCATTTTGTCGCTGGTGCAGAAGCATTCTCCAAGGCCTCGATGGCATACAGACGTGGAAGGTCTGATCGCTTGATGGGCGGTGCAGCTGCGTATTACTCCTCAATTGGGCGTGACCATCTGGAACGAGCGAAACGCAACGCTGCCGCCGCTTCTGACGCATTGGTAGACTCTCAATCGACGTCCACAATGCTGGATCTACACGGAGTCTCAGTGCAGGACGCCGTCCGTATTTCCAGTGAACGAGTCCAGGACTGGTGGGACGCACTTGGCGATACCAAGTATATGCGGGCCAGGGAAGGCCGCGCATACGAAGGATATCGTATTGTCACCGGAGTTGGACGACACAGTCACGATGGTACGTCCCGGCTGGGACCGGCCGTGTTCAAGAGACTTGTACGGGATGGATGGAGAGTGGAAGTGGGTGAAGGAGTTTTTACGGTGCTTGGTGTTTCTCGTCGCTGAGTGTTTATGTGCTATTTCCTTATGGGTACATATGGCGTGTCATTTACATGTAAATTTTTTTGGAATCTGTTCGAGATACCCTGACAGTTAGCGCCATTTATTCTGTCAATTTATGTTGCGTGGATTGAAGAAAATTGCTGTATATTATGCCACGCGCAATCAATGACCAAACGCTGTATAGGACCGGGGCGCCGTTATTCTGAGCCGCAGTGGATAGAAGACTTCCAGGCACTATCTATTTATTGGCGCATTGGATTGTTTGTGCAACCCTGATGCAGGAAAGAGCAGACAACGACGCCTCGCTGGGTGACTCCAGTCAAGTGGTCTGGTTCCTTCCTCTCGTTATATATTCTTCAACCCCTCACGATCCTCCGTCTGATCGAGAAATATCAGACAATGAAGATGATATGCCAGTACGCAAGAAGGGCCGCACCTCCGGTCTCACCGCCGAGGAGATGGAACAAGGTGGAGGGGTCAGTCTGATCAGGTACGTTGGGTTTAACGTTCTCAACCAGTTACAGACTGATGTGAGGTCAACAAAACTGCAAAATCGATACCTGCGCTGGTTGGTTTAGCTCTCGCTTGCAGTCTCAATCCAGACTATTCCCCAGTTTGGAACGAATGAGAGCCGAAGTGGGAAGCATTCCTGGAGAACGAACTGAAGAAAGTGATGGAGGAATTAGGGCAGCACGTGCGTTGATTGACCCCAGGATTTCACGAAGACAACGAGGCCGTCCTGAAGAAAGAGTTCAAGGACCGACTGTCGACAAAATGGGAGCCTATGCTGAGTGGTCTTCGCTCAGGAGCCGACAAGCAGGCCAAGGCCGAGTCCCTCCACCTCTTCTGAAAGTGCTCTCGGACAGGCAGCACAAACAACGGACCACAAAGTCTCCACCGACCTCCCCCAGGGACCACGCGGCATTTGTTGAGTCCTGTCGTCAGTTGAAAGTGTTCATAGAAGGCAAGCAAACTATGGCATTATTTTTCTGCGGTGGTATCATCCTCTGCCGTGCCGGGAACGGAAACAACCAGCCCAACCTCTGCTCCAGTGAATGTCTTTTGATCAGCAAGCGACGATTCAATGGCGAACAAGTCGATCCTGCCAGCCGCTGGAGTCACTCCAGGATCCAGTATGGATGTATACCAATGTTTGATTTCCAACTGTGGTCTAGCTAGCTTCGGTCGAGGAAATCAGGATGTGATGGATCCAGAATGCTTAATGACCGTATTTTTTGGTTCACTACTTAGTGAATTCGTTAAACGCAGTGAGAAGACGGGGCAATGTTTCAATCTCAGTGATAAGCACATACCTTCGTATTTTCAAGTCCCAAAGCTAACGGAAGTATACTAGGCGCCTGGATCGCGCAATAAAAAACGCCCATCCCAGGAGTCACGTTAGGGAGCCTGGAATGGCGACTCTCTGAGCAAGAGATAGAAGATTTTATCAAATTCATGAAGTTTATGCTCGGATGGCTGCCAGAAGAGCGCAAGATGGCGAGGCAATTGCTAGAGGATCCGTGGTCGGTAGAGCCATAATCCCACACGGGCCCTCCTCTCATTATCAAACTACTACGTTAAGAAGTACGTATCGTGCGCAGCAGACAGGTATCCTTACTAAGCAAATAAATTCCTCCTATCATCATCATAACCGAACTAGACATCTCTCATATTTCTCATAAAATCCCAGCGGTATCGGTCCCAGAATTCGTATCCCATAACCGCTGATTAGCTCTTAATGATCAAAGCCACCCGTAGACCTATTTTTGTTGTAGTCTTTTATTTCTTTCCACCAGATGGGGTGTAGTTCGAGCCACCACTACCGTTGTTGTAGTAGGTGCTTCCGTTGGGGTTGGAGTAGTAGTACGAGCCGTTGCTATGGACAATCAATAATTAACCCTTAATCTAGAAGGCAAAGCATGGAGCAGGAGAGAACAGAAAGTAGATATACTAACGAGTTAGAGTAGTGGTAGCTGTTTGAGCCATTATCGTAGTCACGGCTGCAGTAATGGTTGCCCTGCGGTGGCAGTCGGATTAGTATGGGTCGTATGAGGAATGGGGGGGTGGAGGGTAGGGTACCTGACTGTTGGTGCCAGAGCCGGTGTAGGAGTATCCGTTGGGCATTGTAGTTTATGGTGATAGATGGATAGCTCGTATCAGTTGGTGGGTGTTGAATGTGTTGTCTGGAGAGCTGGAAGGATGCGGGGAGAGTGGAGGAAAGCTATGGAAGCTAGGGAAGCTAGGGAGCGGGAGCTTATAAAGCGGGTTACGGCAAACGAGAGTTATCTGTGCTTCAGGACCCGCGACTATTATCTTCTGCAATGGGTGATTGTAGATCTATCACTTTGGCTATTTTTCTGTTGAAGCTGAGTCCTTCGAGCAGGATCACTCGTGTCTTGCGGGATACAAGTAGACGTTACAAGAGTCATGACGATTATACATACTAGAAACAACGGTTCCCTTCAAATTTCTCATATCAGCATTGAACGTGACAAATCCACCATATAAAAACCATCTCAGAACCAGCAGGGCCTCGTCTCCCACGTAAACAATGTGTAGCAAAACACCCCAAAGATCTGACCCTTCCCTTTGCAACGATGACCCGTTGACAACGCAAACAAGAAACGAAGAGAAATCAACGAGCATTACAATTGAATCTGGCGCTTATGGTCTAGAATTCGCATCATGTGGCATATGTACAATTAGAGGAAGATACAAATAAATTATCGATATAGAAGATTACTCCCAAACGTTCGAAAACAAATCATCAGCACCACCACCAAACCCGCCAGCCGGTTTAGTAGAAGCCGTCGTAGAAGAAACAGGTGCCGCGCTCTCCCAACCGCCAAAGTCCTCGTCAGTAGCGACTGTCGGTGCAGGCTTAGGAGACGGGACACCCCAACCGCCAGGAGAAATGTCGTTCGCGGTTATGGTCTCAGGGACCTTCATCATATCAGCCGTTGAAGGAGCAGCAGGAGCGGCGGGTTCAGGGTCCGGGTTGGACCATGCGTTGCCGCCTCCTCCCCATGGGTCGATGCTCGACGGGAGGATGTTGGCTGTCACGGCCGGCGTCGACGCGGAGGGGGAGGTCGCAGGTTTAGGAGCGGGTGCGGGAGATGGGTTCAGGTTGAAGGCTGACTTCATCTCCTCTTGAGGAGATGATACCTTTGGCTTGGGTGGTGGGGGAGCGGTAGAGGTGGCTAAAGGTGGAGATGCAAGGCCAAAGAGATCGTCCGAAGCTAGCGGCGGCTGCGGCTTGCTCTGTTGGGGTTGCGGCGATGGAGATGCAAACCCTCCGAAGAAGTCTTTTCCAGAAGAGATCGAGGTGGTGTGCGATTGAGGCTTAGGTTGCGGAGGAGCCGTTGGGGATGTCAAGCTGTCAAATAAGCTGACGCCCGCACCGCTACTGGCTGATGCGGTTGGAGAGGATAATTTAGGGGCTGCAGGGGACGACTTTGCACTGGCATAGCTCGCGAGGTTGGCGAACGGAGACGGTTTCTCCACGGGCTTCGGTGCTGGAGAGGTAGTGGATGGGAATGACAATCCACTGAACGCATCGGTCAAACCACCCATGTTCGACGATGACGCAGATTGGGGGGGCGGAGAGGCCATGTCTCCGAAGGATGGCTGGCGCTGATGTTGAGCGGGGGCCGGCTGAGGTTTCGCATAAAGCGACAAGATGGATTGCTTCAAGTCTGGTCGCGACATTGCGGACGAACCGGTAGGTGTGGATGAAATGCTGGCTGGACGGCTGGACTGCGCGGGTTGAGGGCTACCAAAGAAATCGAGTCCGAGCAACGAGTCGTTTGCACGGTGCTGTTTTGGGCCTGACTGCGGTTGCTGGGGCGGCTGTACACGCGGTGTAGGATCTGTTGTACTAGGCCGGGCTGGGGGAGAAACGATATCATCATCGAAGAGGCTGACCGACGCCGTTTGTTTGTGTTGTGCCGGGGGAGGGGGGTTCCTAGACACCGGTGCTCGCTGGGAGGCCGAGCGCTCAAGCTTGGCCTTTTCCTGAACGACAGCAAGGGGCTGACCAGTCAGTTTCCTGTTCATTGTCACATGAGTCGAGAAGTGTGTCCACTTACCACATCATCATCACCGGATTCCAGAGTCGACGGGTCGGGCATGCCCCCGTCCATTACCCAACGCTTGGAATCGTACTTGGTGCGGATGAAGTTCTCGATCTTACTGTCGCACAGCACCTGTCAGCATGAGGTTTAGGTACTATTCAACCCGCAAGCTTCACTCACGCTTCTGAGGGAACATGACCGGGCGCAAGTTTCGCCTCCCAATATCTGTAGACAACCCATCAGCACGACCACCTTAACCATTATCCTCGAACAACAGGTCGACGAACTTGTTGGCTCTCGCATTGCCCCATTTCACCACACTCTGAAGTTGTTCATCGGTCCACGCGTCGAGATCCACGGACTTCACTCTGCTGATATGTGTACCCATACCCCTATGGATTCCGGAGCAACGAATGCAAATAAAGATACCTAAGTTCCAAGATGCCCATCGCGGATCTATCAAGGAAAAGATAATGTCAGTATCCCATCCCAAAAACCATGTAGTTATCGCAATCCGGTATACGGGGATCCCGTCGGGCATTCAACTAACGTTTGTTGCGCTTGCAATCGGCACACGTTTTGTTAGTATCAAGCTTGAGCAGACTCTTGATGACCTGCTGGTTCTGGGCGGCCTGAGTCGGGGTCGGACGGCGAGACATGGCAGCAGTTCGACTCAATCAGGAATAACGACAATGTTGCTGTTGTTGTGCACGAGGGATGGGAGATTAACGGGGAGTGAAATGCGGATCGTGGCCCTTTGGGTGGCGGTGCGTGGCGGCCTTGTTGCCTTATCGCCTTGGGCGGGCTGACATTGCTGTATACTACAGGGTACGAGCATAAAACGATTGTACTCGCTGGTTGTGAGTAAAAGAGGGGGTTATAGTCACTGTAAATATATATATCATTCAATAAGTCATATATTCATATCACATCGCCTCCACAAAAACCATATACGACACTCCCCAACACCAATATACTCCACACCACAATCACACCCATACAATCACTAAAACCCAACCACTACGCCTTCGCCTTCTCATCTCCCTCGGTAAACCTCAAACTAACGCTATTAACACAATGCCTCTCATCCGTCGGCGTCTTATACCCCTCCCCCTTGAACACATGCCCCAAATGCCCTCCGCAATTATTACACACAATCTCCGTCCTTTCCATCCCAAACGAACTGTCGGTGAACCTCTTCACGGCGCCAGGGACCGAGTCAAAGTATGCGGGCCAGCCACAGCCGGACTTAAATTTATGGTTGGCTTTGTAGAGAGGCGCGTCGCAGCCGGCGCAGGTGTAGACGCCGTTTGATGGGTAGTGGGCATCGTAGGCGCCGGTGTAAGGGCGTTCAGTTCCTTTTTCGCGGAGGATACGGAATTGTTCTTTTTTTGTTAGTCGTTGACTAGCTAAGATCATTGAGAATAGAAATGGGAGGGGAGGAAGGCGAACCAGGACTTAAAACGGCCCTCCACTCATCATCGCTGCGCTGATCGGGGTAGGACATATTGTCACTAGATTCGGCTTTGGCACTTGAACTGAATAGAGACCCAATGATGGGAATCGTAGGAGCGGCTTTGAGGACTGTAGCTCCGGATACTGGAAGAGGGAGCTTGCCAAAGTAGCGAGACGGAGATGCGGTGATTTGGGGTCTGAGGGGAATCGAGAATGTTCGGAGCGCGGTGGTTAAACGCTGGAGGCGCATTGGGAGGGGTTGTTCAAAGAAACTGTAAGCGAACTAATTAATAAGAATAGAATTGGTGGTTTTTAGCCGAAGAAAGACTTGAAGCCATCGCAAGACTCGTAGAAATCGCGAATTTGCCGTCGCTTTTACGTCATCATGCGGAGAGTTAGTTAACTGGTTAGTTACTATTTGAGAGGAAGTTATCAAATGTCTTAGCAGGTATATTTATTCAAAATTCTATACATGAAAAGCGGTAAAGTTCAATCATAGATAAAGAAAACGCTGTATATCCATCAAATAATGACCATTATTTGCCCGTCAAAAGAAACTGATTATAGAATTCGCACCTCACACTATCCACACCTCGTTGGCGCAGCTTATCGCGCTTACTGCGCGAAAGGAGTAGGGAAGGCAGAGGGAGTTCCAAAGGGCGCAGAGCCAGAAGGAGCAGGGCCCGAGGGAGTAGGGCCAGCACCGAAGGGAGCAGAGCCGAATGGGTTAGAACCGAAAGGGCTAGAACCGAAAGGGTTCGAGCCAAAGGGGTTGGGGCCGAAAGCACCGCCAGAGGAAGCAGGGCCAGAAGGAGCAGCGCCCGAGGGACCAGCACCAAAGCCACCGAACGGCGAGGGACCGCCGAAGCCGCCGAAGCCGCCCGAGGGAGAGGCACCCGAGGGAGCAGGGCCAGAGGGCTTAGGGCCACCGAAACCACCGGGAGGGCCACCGAAGCCCCCGGGACCATCAGAGGGAGCGGGGCCTGAGGGGGTAGGGCCCGAGGGAGCAGGGCCGGAAGGAATAGCGCCCGAGGCAAACGGAGGACCACCTTCCTCACCAAACTGGCCCTGTTTCTGACCCTCCTCAGAAGGCTGAGAGCGCTTCTGCTGCTGCTGGCCAAAGCCACCAGTGGGCTTGGGGCCCTGCGATGGGCCAGAGGGAGTACCAGAGGGGAATCCGGAGGGACCGCCGAACGGAGGAGGGCCAGAAGGAGTAGGGCCAGCACCGAATGGTGCAGTGCCGAACGGAGCCGAACCAAACGGGTTAGATCCAAATTGGTTCGAGCCAAAAGCGCCACCGGAGGGAGCAGGGCCCGAAGGAGCGGGGCCTGAGGGTGCGAAGCTGTGCGAAGCAGCGTCAGAAGGAGCAGAGGGGAACCCGGAGGGACCAGGGGCCGGAGGGAAGTTCGAAGGCAAGCCGGAGGGAGCGCCAGCAGGAGTGCCGGACTCCTGAGGGAAGCCAACAGGCAGGCTTGAAGGGGCACCAGTCACAGACGCCACTGAGCCAGCAGCAGTCGGCTGTTCTTGGGGCTTCTCGTTGTTGGGGACGGGAACGGCCAAAGCAGAGCCGCAGAGGGTGAGGAGGAGGGCAGCGGTTTGAGGCTTCATCGTGATAGTAGAATCGGAACTGTCGTAAAGTAAAAATTCAAGGTGTAAAATTGATGATCTAGTGATCTGTGGACGTGAAAACGTTGAAAGACGTGGATATGATATTCGTGATTTACTGAGTCGCCAGGACTGTTTGTGGATTGTTGTGTAAAAGAAAGAGTAACTGACACGGGGATCCTTGGGGGTTTATATAGTGTCTGGATCCGGAACACGATGGTTGACACACAGGCCAAAGCTTCCGGGGCGTGCAAAATAAGACCGAAATTGTGGAGCACATGCATCACTGCCTGGTTACTCAAATTAGAACAGGCAGACAGAGAATCACTTCATCCGTCTCGCACTTTCCGCTCCGAGAGATTCAGCCCTAGAGAGCCGTGGGGGCTCAGGAAAACATACGCAATCCATCCATGGTGGAGGCTCATATGCATGTGGTTCTGACTGAGTGGACTATGCAATATGCATGTAGTTTGACGTTTTGCTCTATTTTCTTCCTTGGTCACTTTTCCTTCCCGGCTGCATTCCGGTCCAGAATGTAAGCTTTCCGTATAGAGCATACTGGGCCCTCTCATTCCAAAACCATCATGTTACGTTGACAGTTCGATCATCTCCGTGTGTTTGCAGTCTGTATGCACGGAGGACTGTTTATTGACGACGATCTCGGTGCACCGACAACTCTCCGTCTATACATAGCAACAGCACGAGAGCCACCACTTCACTCTTCCATATTGCAATGATGCGTCAGTCAATCTGTATTTTGTGAACGGTGAGAATCCTTTCCACCGCAATTTGTGGCGAAAAATGCTTGTCAGCATCCTCTGTAGTCTATCATACGTCCAAATCACGACGTGCCGATCATTTGGCTGTGAGAATTGCGCGTTCTCTCTCAGAAAAGTGAGAAAAAAAAAAAAGAAATGGCCGGAGTAAGATGTAAATTAAACTCTCACTGGCTGAATAACTCACATGAGAATTGATGTTATGACCAGGCATAATCCCCGGCCAGGCCAGTCTAGTCAGAAGATGTGTGTTTTCCCCTTCCGGCCTCCCCAGACAAGCGAGCAGCCAACGGTAAATTGGACGAGCCAACGTGGAGACAGAGTCGGAGACGGGATGAGATGAGGCAGCCCAGTTTCCGATTAATTTTGGTTTTAAACGATATTTCGGAATATCCGGAGAATTCATAAAGCGAGTAACGATCATCACTGCAATCTTCGTCAGTCTTGGGGCGATGCGTGGCGGTAACTACGGATACGGATAGAGTTACTAGCAGGCAGACAACAACAACAACAAGAATAGAACCCTGAAGTCAAACTCTGAACGTCATCAGGGTACAGAGTAGTTGTTTGTGCGTGAATGCCCTCGAATGGTTCAAAACTCTCATTTCTCCTCCCCTTGCAGTGACGAGAATAGGGAGAAACTCCAAGGTTTCAAGACCGTTTCGCGTGGTGTGGCGTTCGGAGGGGAAAGGCCGATGATCGACAGTCTCCGGTGTCGCAGAAAGGGAGCTCTGGCCTATTCTCATTGACGTAGGGGTTAATAACCCTAATAAAAACTGGGTTTCTGGGATAGATTAAAGTGTCAATTAATTTGGGGTTCGCTCGCTGAATATTACGCTTGTTCAGGAGAGACTTTTCTTCTGAAACGAGAGACTTGGTCTGTGACTGCATGTGATTCATGGTCCGACAGGGGAAGAGATCATGAAAAGCAAGAAAAGCGAGACCAAGCAAAAGGAGAATGCTTCAAGTAGAAGAAGGGGCGATGAGAGACGAGGCTAAGTCCACTCAATATATCTTATCAATCAGTGCAACCAGACTGCGACACAAAATACCCTATGTCGTACGGAGACTTGAGGTCTCTGGGAAGTATCTAGATCATGCATTAAAGCTGTATTTTGGTAAATAGCCTTTCTTGTCTTTTCGACTGGATTATTCGAATACACTTAGAGTACATACATGCATCACCTTATTAGCCTAACAGCGGGGAGTTTCAAGCTTCCTGATAAGTATACTGCTAAGCAGCTCACCTACATCTCAGCAAAATGCTCGCGAATAGTTCATCCATCAAGTCCGTAAATAGCGATACCTTCCTTCGAGCGCCATACAGGTGAAGAAAAGAGGCGAACAGCAATTGTAGAGCTCTCGTCATTTCGCAGAAGTGAACACAAATTGCCTAGTTGGTTGATTGGCCATATTGACTATGCTGATTGACTCGATATTGTCTGCTGCTGCCGTCGGACTTCCTGCTATAGAGCATCTATAACCAGCCGCGGACTTGTAGAGACTGGGTTCATGCAGCGTGGAGAACATATAAAGGGCATAGTAAACTTTGCGGGAAGCGTGATTCTTAGGTATATTTGGCACACTCGAGAGGTCCCTTGTCTATATGCGGATATATACCTCTGTTCCCTTTTGGGGTAGTATACCAGACCAAACACTGCAGTGAATGTCAGCAACCACATCAAAAAACACATAAACCCACACATATTAAATAAAAATGGAAAAGAAAGAAAATAAAATTCTTCCTCTGGATGTCCCCCTAAACTATCTCTTCCCCCTTCTCTCAACATCAGCCAACCCTGACAAGCAACCATGGCACGCACATCCGTGTCATCGCTCGCGCAGGACATCTCTCATCATCTAAACTTGATCAACAACCAGGAAATTACCGAGAGGCCTACGTGGAAACACCTCGAAGAAGAGCTGAGCACCGCTCCTCTGTTCTCAGCCCTCGCCCAGCAGGTTGTCGAGAGCCAATACCAGAACGAGAACCAGGATAACAATGAGATTAAGCAGGTTTATTCTCAATACGGCCTCTTGGGACTGCGAACGAAAGGCGGTCACTCGCAAGTTAATCACGACAACCTGATATATGCCAACATCGCTGCGCCCTGGTCATCGTTCATCTGTGGTAGCCAGGGTAGTGGTAAAAGTCATACTTTGTCTTGCCTGCTGGAGAATGCACTGATCAAATTGTCACCTGCTGGAAAACTATCTTCTCCTTTGGCCGGCATGGTGCTGCATTATGACAAGTTCACGGCGTTTGGCAGTACCCAAGTGTGTGAGGCCGCGTACCTGTGCTCATCCGGCATCCCAGTGCGCGTCCTTGTGTCGCCAACCAACTACCTCGCCATGAAGGAGGCGTACGAGAGCCTTCCTGGATTGGGAGACGCGTCCAAGTTGCTTCGCGTGGTCCCCATGTATCTGTCGCAGAAGCATTTGAATATCAGCGTGATCAAGACCCTGATGGGAATCAGTAACGGGCCCAATCAGCCCTTGTATGTTGAGGTACGGAAGCCCAAGGTCCAGTAAGTGATTTGAAAAAAAGCTAACATAGTCCTAGTTCATCATGAAAATACTTCGTGATATGGCTCGAAGCAACCAGGGTCGCGGTCATTTTGACTACAACGAGTTCAAAAATCGGATTGAAAACGAGGAGTTCGTCAAAGGCCAGGCCCGGCCACTGCAGATGCGTCTTGATGTGCTTGAGTCATTCTTCGAGCCGGGAACTGTGATAGTTAAAGGCCAAGCACCCCAGAAAGCTCCATACGATATCTGGCGATTCGACAAGGGATCCTTGACCATCGTGGATTTGAGTTGTCCTTTCGTCGGGCCAGATGACGCTTGTGCTTTGTTTAATATCTGTGTGTCTTTGTTTCTGAAGGATCGAAAGCACACTGGACGCGTGGTTGCTCTCGACGAAGCGCATAAAGTAAGACATCCCCAGTCTCTAGTTGCAATTCAAAGCTGACTAGGCATAGTTCTTGACAGACACTGCCCCAGAAGCGGTCGAACTTACCGAGACACTTCTGACCATTATCCGTCAGCAACGCCACTTGGGCGCGCGAGTGATGATAGCTACACAGGAGCCCACGATGTCACCGGCCCTCTTGGACCTCTGCAACGTCACCATCGTCCATCGGTTCACTTCGCCTGCCTGGTTCGCAGCTATCAAGAAGCACATTGCCGGCGCGTCAATGGGCGACGATGGTGAAAACAAATCGGCCTTTTCCGACCAGCTCTTCCAGCAAATTGTGAAGTTGAAGACGGGTGAAGCGCTGGTTTTCTGTCCAACTGCGCTCCTCGATGCTGTCTGGGTTGGAAGTGGCAATACTAGCACTGCCTGTTCCGAGGCTGACGGAGATAGTGATTCGGGTATCGAAATCAATGCTCAAAGTGTTTCACAGTTGGGCCCGAGGTACTTTAACCTCAGGGTTCGAAAGAGGCTCACTGCCGATGGTGGACGAAGTCAACTCTCCAAATGATGTACGCGACCAGATAGCGTTGTCTCTTTCCATATCGCATTTTTGTTTGGGATTCTGTTTAACGATGTCGAGAATAAGCCAGATTTAACATATCAAATATGTAATCTGGATAGATAGCGCAATAAATACTATGTTGACCCGCTGATTCTCGTAAGGCCCTTCGGAGATTCCCAAAGCATATATCACTCCGTGGAATTTTCTGGTCGTTTTCTGTGGAGAATTCCAGCAGTCCAAGATTGGATCCTCCGTAGCGTACCAGACGATGTAGACATACGGGTGCCGTATCCCGTGAACATGTCTCAATTAGGATGATTGATTCGGCAAAAGTAAGACACCACCGAAAGTCTTTGCTATGATTTCCACGGCGCATTGATTGACTGATTTACCGATTTACCTGAGCAGAGACGATCCGATCATGGCCGATGGTGTTTTTTGTTTTTTGCCTTTCCAGTTCCTAGTTCCTTAGTTCGCTCGCCTTGTCGATATCCACCAATGAGAGGGATCATGGCGCCGGACTGTTCCAGGATCTCCGAGACATTGACATAGTCCCGTCTTTCCTTTCTGGATATTGGGCCCTGTCACCGAGACACAGAATTGGCTGCTGGAAGTTCAGTCGTTGGGTTTCAGGCAAAAATACGGTTCTTATCGTGGCAGCTGGTGATAATGTAAAGTTATGCCGGACTGTCTAAGCCACTGGAGGTCATTGTAGACAACTGATGTCATTCTTTCCCGGAGGATCTCATCAAAGTGAAGGAGCCAGGAAAGTAGTCGATGAAGGAAACAAAGGACTTGAATTGAAGGAGAAAATGAAGTTGCGATGGTCGATCAAGTCAGCTGACTATCACCGCTATACGCTGCTTCCACTACAAGATAACGGCTATTATTGCATATTTATGGGCATCGAAAATCTGAATCTATTGAATCAATGGACGGATCGAAATCTCCGGCGGTTCAGACCGCTCATAGTGTTTCCATTTTGGGCGAGTTCTATCTAAGCTAACATGACAGCCCAAGGGTCTTGTTCTTGACAGCAGCCAGGACAACTCGATCCTTCTGCACCTAGCACAGCACTACGATGAGACAACAAAGGCCTTAGGGAAAAAAAGGGAATAGCACATAATGCAGCCCTGCGGCCTAGTTGGAAGTGTGCCAATAGAAGGGCACCGAAGGGTATCCATATACTGGTGGATGGATTCGAGTGGTGACTACTAATAATAATTCCAATAATGGGCCCTTTCCGAGTATTCGCCTGAACCCTTCCTAGCGCTCGACGAGTCCATAATTAACATCCCTAAAATAGATCCTGCTTCCTCGGCCCTGGCCTGAAAAGTAAAACATGGCCTGGGATGGCTCCCTTGCGAGAGAGTCTATAAAAGGCGCTGTCCTCGAAGTGGGCAAAAATTTTCTTTCTATGAATTTTATACGCAAGAACTATTTATTCTTGAACACTCGTTAATCATAATCCTGCTGTCGTTCTTTTCTTCGGGGCTTTCAAAGTACATTCGCTTCATTAATAAATACATTCAATCAAAATGCGGTTCACCATCACTTCCGTTGCTGCTTTTGCTGCCACTGCTGCAGGTGTGTTTATTCTACCCTTCCCTGGTTAAGAAGAAAGCCTGCTAACAGCATCAGCCCTCTCCATCACCTCCCCCGAAAAGCACGATGATGTCGACCTGAGCAAGTCGACCACCATTGAGTGGAACTCGGTCAGGTACGTGAATGGTCCTAACGACCTAAAAACATCCTGTATTAATGAGACTGCACAGCTCTGACCCGTCCTCGTTCGATATCTACCTGGTCAACATGAACGGCTACCCCAACGTCAACAAACTGGTCGCGGAGAACGTCAAGACCTCGGACAACTCCTACACCTTGAAGGATCTCGCTGGCATTGACAACGGGTATGTTGCCTTCTTCAAATTCAATGCATTAGCTAGGCTAGATAGATAGTTTACTGACATGCGCAATAGCTCCGGCTTCCAAATCAACTTCATGTCCAACGATGACAAGAACACCGGCATCCTAGCCCAGTCCGCTCAGTTCAACGTGGAGTCCAGCGACTCTGCCTCTACTTCTGCCTCCCTGACTTCAACTTCGACCTCTTCTTCCTCTTCTGCTTCGTCTGCCTCTTCTAGCACCACCGAGGGTAAGACAACCACCATCAAATCTAGCACATCATCTCCTACAACCACCAATACCCGCAAACACACCACCTCTTGCACACGCACCTCTTCCCATGCTTCTACTGCTTCTCCCTCGACAACTCTTGGTGAGTTCACTCACTTTACAGAAGAGTTTCTGTATTGGTAACTAACACCATTCTGCTTAAAGGTACCTCCACCGTTGCCAACTCTTCCTCGTCCGCCACCCCCTCGGAAACCGTTGTCCCTGCCAACGGTGCTGGCTCACTTAAGGTCCCCGTTGCGGCCGCTGGTTCCCTCCTCATGGGTCTGTACATGATGCTGTAAACTGGTTTTGAGTTGTTGACTTGTTGGATATGACCACTTGGTTTGGTATGAGATGTCTGAGACGTGACGGAGTGTTCGATTACCCTTTTTTCTATTTGTGGATCTGTTTTGATCATACTTTCTCTTTGGTTATGTGATATGATTGATAATAGTGTATAACTGAATTCATTGTATTTTCCGGAAGTTCCTTTTGCAGCCTGAACCCCAGCCTTCAATCACCCGGGAATCTGCATAAAAAGTCCAAAATCTCAATTTATATCTCCCCGAATATAAAAATTGCCTAACTAACTCGAACATGCAAACATGACAACCTACCTCTCCTTCCCCATCCTCGAAGTTCTTGTCAAAACAGTCGAGGACTCTTCCACCTCCAGACGCCGTGAAAACAGCAGCATCAGGTATCCTCGCTCACTATTCCCCCTCATCCAACGGTTTCGCAATTGCGCCAGCCTCACGATCACAATCACAGCCGAGCCAAGGTACCCTCATTCCGTATCTAGCGCCATCAACATCGCCATCCCCCGGGATATCTAGCTCCAAACCTAGATCGGCAAGGGCTTGTCGACTAGATTGTCGCCATCGCTAAAGTCGAGTGTGATACTGAAACTAACGAGGCTGAAGACTTGTACACTACGATGAAGGACCTCGAGAATACACTCGACCACGTCAACACGGAATCCGGGAGATACTGGGGGTTAATGGTCTATGCTACTACTTTTACGTTCTATGAGTATCATCAGGGTTTGTGTGAGGGTTGTCGGCTTGTTTCTAGAGGATCGTACCATGTGCGCTGTGATGATTCTGTGATTGATCAGAAATTGAGATGCTTGGCGCGGTCTGATGCTTCGTTTGCTCGGGATGGTGGTGCAAGTGACTAGCTTTAAATTACTTGCGGGGTGGGTGGATTACAGTTTCAATCCAGAAGAGTTGATTTTGATGTGAGATTGTAGACTTGGCCATCTAATGTCTTCCGCAGAGCACAATACAATCGCAAATTCATTGAAAGGGGTATATAATCCAGATGTACATATAGTATATGCAAGCGTATTTACAATTCAAAATTTGGGGTGACCGACCTATTTTGGGGTTCAAATCCAGTTACCGGATTCAGCAGGTCCAGATCCTGACCCGGTAGCGGTAGCGCTTATAGCTGGGGAAGAAGAGTAGCCGTGGTGGTTCTCGTTGACGTTTTCTCGGGGTCGGTCCCAGGTGCGAATGTGGCCTTATCTTTATTAGCTATCGTGTATTACGGTGACGTGGATGAAAAGGTAATACCTTCGAGAGAGGAGGCCATGATGCAGTCTTCTTGGAAGCCTAGCCAGCAGATAGGGTCAGATCCAACGATTTTAGACTATGGCAAAGTCAGCATGATGGAGACTATGATTTTGGGGTTAATGTACCATGATCGGTGGCAATAGACCAGTGCGTGATCTAGGTTCGACTTGATGTCGGACGGTTTGGTCCATGCTACCATGAGTGTCTGTTGTAAGCTGAGAATCGGATCTCACACGGTTCCCTGTGCTATCTGCACGATGACGGACATGGTGCACACTGGGAGCGACCATACTCGTCCGCTGGCGAGGATTGGCTTGGTGCGCTTTGGGACGGTGAAGCATGCCAACGTTGAAATCCCACAGGAGAAGCCTGCAGTCGTCACCGACACTTCCGAATCGATATGTTCTTTCATCACATCGCCAGGGATCGAATGCTACCGCGGACACCCAGGAATTGTGGCCCTGGCATCTTGCGATGATCTTGCGCTCCGGGAATGACCAGATTGTGACCAAATCGTCCTGACCACCGGTCACGACGTATTTGCCGTCAGGCGACCAGCATACACAGATCAAGCCACCGTAATAACTACGGAAAATATCCAGGACTCTGTGACACGTTAGCGAATTAATTCACACATATGACCTCGGCTAACTCACTCTTCCTTCAAGTAATCCATGATTCGCAATGAACCATCTTCAAGAACAACAGCCAGGTGTCGACGGTCAGGTGAGAATGCAAACTGACAAATCTTATGACCAGCTAATCTCCATAAAGAGACGGGATTGGTCTTTTGGTTCCTCGAGGTGACCGACTTGAGTATTTGCATAGGCTGTCGACCGGTTGATTTCACGAATTCCTCTGCGAGACTACCAGGCTCCGAAGTGAGAGGTGCATCTTCCTTCTCTTTATCGTAGACCACCAGCTGTCCGTTTGAATGCGCAGCCATAAACAAATTTTCCGACCCGGGTATCCATTTGATGTAGGTGACTGGGGAGTTGTTGATGCAGCCATTTTTGTTGATGCGTGCGTAACGTTGCGAAATGGGTTCGTACCAGATGATATCGCCAGCTGACGAACCCATAACGATATCAACGTGACTCGGGCTCTTGCTCATCTCGTTAACGTCGTGGCACAGCATATGCGCCTTGGTGAAGAGGATCTTGGCGAGGGATTCTTCTTTCTTTTCGGAACTGAGATCTAGCCATTGAAACGCACGATTGATGTTCGCAAAGGCAAAAAGGCCATCCGAGTTTCGATCGTTCAGTTTCTTCGTAATAGACTCGTGAGTGATGACACGCGAAACAAAAGAAGAGCTACTTTTGATGATGTTGTTCTTCGGTTTCCGCCTCTTCAGGGAATCTTTGGTGACCGGGAGGACAAGCGCGGGGTTTCCTTCTCCAAAGACTGGGGCCATGATGTTCTCTTTTGAAGCAAATGGGTGTTTTTTGTTGGCACTATTGACATTGATCAAAGACAGCTTGACCCCCGACGTTGGCGGTGTTGGACCAGTCGCAAGAGGATTTGGATTCAAGACAGGCGCCTCAGACGGGTGTGGAGGAGGAGTCGCTAGGTGTAGGTCATCTCTGAGGTGGTATGTTCCTAATCGAACCTATAGTGTTAGCAAAAGTGTGCCCATATACTATACACGCAAGGCCCAGCGAGCAAACGCTACCTTCACCCACTTGCAACGGACATCCATCCTCAGGATGGCTAATGACATTGTTTGTCTCGACAACCGGCACTGGCATACCATTTGAAGCCCCAGCTGCATAAGCAACTGGGATGGTATAACGCGGCGGCGGTGGTGGAAGAACACTGCCGTTGAAAAGGACAGTTAGCAAAGAAAAAAGCCGCTCACAGTACATGAGTACCATCTTGCATAGACTGCCACAGTGCTTGGTGCTGCCATTCACTGTGGGTGCTGCTTAGACACATTCACGGGATGGGCAAGACAACAGATGACGTCTTGTGAGCGAAGTGGGAATAATCCTTACAACATGATTGCAACCACACCACCAGGAACCACCTGTTAAGCAGAAATATATCCCCGAGTCTTTATCCAAGATGACACCTCCCGGTATCGACAATAGTCGGGCGAATCTCCCTGCTTCGTCACGCGATCGCAACGGGGTTCCGTCGGCACCTCGCGGTGGCGCTTGGTCACTATGCTCAAGATCTCTTTCGACGAAAGAAATAATTTTTTTTATCGGATAAGAAGGAACACCGTGGGTATATGCTTATTATATCGACGGAGAAACAGGCCGGAGCGCGTGGTGGCCAGGTCTAACGTCGTTCGAAGCTCGCTGCGGAGATGGATGGGGCGAAGTTAAGCAGAAGGCAACTCAAGCTGCACGCGTCCCAATGCAATAAGCTGTTATACAGAGAGGAATTAAAGCTGATTATACGAATTAAACGGTCGAAAGGAGTGTCTAGGGTCAGAAAGAAGGACCAGGGAGTCTGTTAGGGGAAGTCAAGAGAGAAGGACTGGGATACGGAGATTGCACAGGCCCCCCGAGAGAGAGACTTTCGGTTCCTGACGGCGGGCGGGGCAAAGAGTTCACTTGAATGTGGAGAAGCAGTACAGGAGAGAATACTACATGCTATTGTAGTATGCAATATCTGCCTAGAGGCCATTGTTTTGGACATAATACCCATTACGGTATGTTCTGCCCGTTGTGTCAATTTCAATACACTTTTACTATGGAGTTCCCCCGGGCCGCATTCTGAGCTGTCAAGGCGGGTTGGAGCATAGAGTATGGCACCAGCCTCCAATTTCCAGACTAGGAAGATGATTGTCGGCTATAATATCGATTGTTATCAAACCTGGGGCCCCGATAGATCACAAGCTACTACGTAATGAAGGAGTAACTTTAGAGCTCACTCCAATGCACTCGAATTCACCCTTACACAATATGGCGGTAATAGGGGCCACCAGTTCATATTCAGTACTTGAATACACCTTGTACTCCATATATCAGCATCAACTAGCAAGCAATATAGTTGAAACGAGAAAAACAATCCCAATGGGTATCTAGATAGGTGCAACTCGAACAATTCGAGCTTCAGACTCCACTACCGCTGACTCGCCGCCAGATCATGACCGCGGCGGCCCCCGCACATACTACCGCCCCTAGAGCAATCCCCCAAGCCATCCATTTACTTTCGTCTTCCTCCTCGCTCCGGGGAAACGCGGTGCTGGGCTCCATCGCCGCCTCGGCGATGTGCACGAACACCTCCTGGATGGAACTCCAAGTGGCACTAACATGGAGCGGTGGACTGGGCATATTTAACAAGGCGGTATATTCGTGTGGCTGATACTCGGCCCGTTGGGTGGTCCGGTCTAGATCGGCCTTGAGGGCAATGAACACGCTCGGCAGTTCCTCCAGATGCGGGTATTTCGCACGCAATGCAGGGATGTAGGCAAAGGAATCGGGGTCTGACGAGTCATAAGTGTATGCGATTACGTCGCACTGATCCAGGAGCTTCGCTTGATTTTCGAGAATGGCCGGTTCCAGTTCACCTAATTCATCTAGGATTAGATAGCATTGCTTGCCTCCGGGAAGCTCGACCGTATTCACTGCAGTCCGGGGTTTGATAGTCGGGTGGTAAGTAGGACTAAAACCGCGTGACAAGAAGGCATCCAGGAGCGCAGACTTGCCGGAACCCGGAGGACCTAGCACATGGCCGAGGACAACATTTCGTCCGACACGCCCCGGACGCCGTCGACGCTTGCGTGGCCGCGTAACTTTCAATGCCGCGGTTGTCGATGGGTTGCTTCGGTCTGACGATTCGAATCCTAGGTAGGCGAGATATTCCAAAGTCGTCTTGGGAGATGTAAAAGTAGTCATACTCCATTGCGCAAGCCACCCTTGAAGAGTGACATGGCCGGCTTCGTTGCGCACTGTCGATGAGGGGAATGAGCCATCCGCCCAAGACGCGGGTAAACCGGGCGTGGGTGCAAACAAGGACGCCAGTTCGGCATCGTTGAGACCGCCGTCATTATCTTTGTCTGACAGGAGGAAGAGATTCACGAAAAACCGGTAGCCTTCTGGCGACAATTCTGCAGATCCAAATGGAGGGACCTCAAACCGGGGGTGAAGAAAGTTCTCCTGCAGAGAGAGATTGTCGGTATACTGAAACGCCCGCAGGATAATCCAGACAGTTTCATGACGCCCTTTCTCCGCATATAACTTGTTCAAGTGGATGAAGCCCCTGCAATCGACCCCTGACGGGGCCACGGAAGCCGGGTACGTCTTCTGGATGGTTTCCTTGATGTGTACCAAATCCTCCTCGCTTAATGCTTTCTCGAAGCATCTCATTTGGAAGTCCTTGATTTCCTTGTCCGAAAGATAGCCATCCCGGTCCTTATCACTGAGGTAGAAGATGCGCTGCAATGCCGCAACCGCTGCCGGCTTTAGGGACGACTCCTTTGAATCGAACAACGGCGCAATCGGATGGGTAACCGCCTTTTGACAGAGAAAGAAAGCCTCGTTGACATTGCGGTGTTCCCGAGCACTAGCCCTGATGCAGGAGTCAATCTCCTTGAACTCTGCCATCAACGGCAGCATTTCATCCTCAATGACCTGTGTTTCACTGTGTTCTGATCCGAGATCCGCCTTGTGAGCGCACAATACCACAGGCACGTTAACCCCCAGAGACCGGAAGTATGGTAGCCAGAATAGCGCAACTCTTTCGTAACTGTAATGATCTGAGTATACCAGCAAAATTACATTTGCTTTGCGAATCTCCCTTGCTAGACTGCTGCGCTCGTGCGGTAGGGCGGAGCTGTCGACCACCGTCGTCGTCGTGACATTCTCCGGAGTTCCAATGGTAGGAGGGATCGTGATCTGGGGTAGAATAGGCTGGATTTTGTGAGTCACAAACACGCCCTTCACCAGGGACGTGATGAGACTGGACTTGCCAGTACCTTCATCCCCACAGACGCAGATTCGCACTGAATAAAGAGTCCGATGGTTAGTTTGTTGTCGTGAGTTGGGGGGTTGGTTTTCAAGCTTGGACCGAACCTGTAGCCATTTTCAACGGTTTAGAAGTAGGTAATTAGAAGCATCTCTTTTCATAACATCGTTGAATTCATTGCCCTGCTATATGGCCAATGACTTGAAACAGGAATGGGTTTTGGATTCAGGCCGTAATGCGCGAAGTCGATGTCATTATGTACGGTGTGGCTGGAGCTTGGTTGTGGCGGTGCTGCTGATTTAGGCCTCAGGTGTCTATAAATTTGACACTCAGAACTGTGACTCGAGTAAATATACCAAAAAATGTCAGGCATTATTAACCTCAATATCAGGTTTGCAATCAGTACTCCATAGGGGAGGGGCAAACTAATATTCTGGATAGCTACACGAGCAAACGCTACTCCAGACTCTGGGTTCCTGCTCAGCCACAATAACACTATTTTTCTAAATCCCAGCCTTGTCTTTTCGGTATTTTCATTTTCACGTTCTTCATACTCCGAAGTGGTCGGAATACAGAGAGTAAGAACAGATTAAATACAAACACTTCCTTCTACATATATATTTTAGATCTTGAAGAGTCTCATCATACTTTGTATAGCACCATAGCTGGGCGGTGTTCGGACCTGTCAGCCGTCAGGTCAATCTATCCCACTTCCGGTCGCCCCCTCGACGGTGCCGGCGCGAACTCCATCGCAACCGCTTTTATTATCACTTTTCGTCTTTCTTTTCCTCTTATCTTTCCCTACCTCTTACTACTGCTCACCTTTTGTCCTCTCCACACCCTGAGCAGTGCCAAAATGCCTCTCGGGATACACAATCCGCTTCCTTCGTCTTTGAGCAGTACGTACTACATACCTGTCCCGGTCCCATCCACCTTCCCCGCAAATCGACTGAGATGACATGAGCTGACTACGTTTTGTTTAACCAGGTGAATGCAAGAAGGCAGGCAAGATTCTCGCTTCCTTTGTTGATCCAAAGCAAGCATTTGGTCCTGATAAAGTCATTCCTCCAGAAATTCTTGCCAATGCAAAGGTGAGCATGAATTCCCGTCCTCCCTTGTTATTGCTCTAACATGCGCGTCCCTGGGCCTAACTGACAGTCACATCAATAGGGTCTCGCAATTCTTACGGTTCTGAAAGCCGGTTTCTTGGGTTCTGGTCGTTTTGGATCGGGAGTCGTTATCGCCCGCCTGGCAGATGGCACCTGGTCCGCCCCGTCTGCCATCGCGACCGCGGGTGCCGGATTTGGGGGTCAAATTGGATTCGAGCTGACAGACTTTGTTTTCATCCTAAACGATGCAGCTGCGGTCAGGACATTTTCACAAGTCGGGACTTTAACTCTGGGTGGTAATGTGTCAATCGCCGCAGGACCCGTCGGGCGAAACGCGGAAGCTGCGGGTGCTGCCAGCACCAAAGGAGTCGCGGGCGTTTTCTCCTACTCGAAGACGAAGGGTCTTTTCGCCGGTGTCAGCTTGGAAGGTAGCATGTTGGTTGAACGCAAGGATGCCAACGAGAAGCTCTACAGCAGCCGGGTTTCTGCGCGTCAGCTTTTGAGTGGATCCATTCGACCGCCGCCATCTGCAGCCCCCCTCATGAGCATCTTGAACTCGCGTGCCTTTGCTGGCAATAATCGCATGTACGGTGATGAGATGTACAACGACATTCCAGTTTACGATCAGTCCCATGACGATGTTCTGTGGGAGGGCCGCAGAGGCACCGCGTATGGTGAAGGCGTTCAACAACGATCTCGGCCTAGGATGGGCATGCGGGACAGGGACAGTGTGGATGACTACGAGTATCGTGACCGACCTCGCCGTGCGAACACATGGGCCGACGAGGGCTATGACCGTCCTATGGGAGCAGGTGGCCTAGACCGGAGTTACACCACTCGATCCCCCCAACATGACTCCTACAGCCGCAGTCGCAGCAACACTGCACCATTCGAAGAGGACTATGTTTATTCTGACCGCAAACCCACACGGCCCACGGCACCAAAACCGGTCTTTGGGCAGAAGACTGGAGCGGCCCCGGCACTGCGACAAGACCAAGCAATTGCCCTATACACCTTTGATGCAGATCAAGAAGGCGACTTGGGATTCAGAAAGGGCGATATCATCACGATCCTGAAGCGGACAGATAAGTCAGAGGATTGGTGGACGGGGCGCATTGGGGACCGGGTTGGCATTTTCCCCAGGTAAGCACCTTTTTGCTTTATGCTGTATATTGATGAACCATTACTAACGGGGGGTTTAGCAACTACGTCGACGCATCTTAAATGCGCTATCTATACTTTCGAAATGATACCAATGAACTTTTTTCCCTTTTATTGTTTTGGTCTCCATTCGTTTTTTGTTCGATTTTCATGGGATCATGGCGCTGGGCTGAGTTATCTGTACTGAGCAGGAAAATTCTCCGGCAGTTATTGTTTTGTGCTTACCACTGAGCGTTTTTTTTTTTTTTTTTTTTTGGGTATAAGACTTAAGGGTTCTCTCATTTCCCTATGTGGTTTGATCTTGAAAGTAGAAATTCGAGGGGCAATACAACCCTACATGATACAACATCAAAGTCGGTCATGCACATTCAACGATAAAACAAGAAGAAAAGGAAAGCAAACAACAATAAGTACTCCGTAGTAAGGAATGACAAACAATATACTAGTAAAAGGGAAAATAAGCGCGTGCAAAGTACTAAGGTGATGGCGGTCACCAGCCACAGCGAAGCATGGCCCAAGGGCTAGTCCGGCATACCGCGATGTTGCAATAATTATTGCAGAACAGGTTGCAGAAAAGAAATTATCAGATGAATTTCCCAGCCGGAAGAATTCGAGAAAATGATCCAGGCCAGTCCGAGGAATTCCGCCGGGGCCTTCAGCTGAGCTGAGCTGAAGATACTAGTAGGGAATAGTTACTCTCCGGAGTTTGGGGGTGAACCACAGGCCAGCGCCAGGAACGCCCTGCGCTGCACAAACAAAAATAAACGAACCAGAATCGATCGTTGCTTTTTAATTGACCGATTCGAAGAAAAATAGAAAAAAAAGAAAATCGACGAAATCTCAGATCTCTTGGCTGGTGGTTCCAAAACGAGTCAGGCTCTCTTTTTACCCTCCGCCCAAAACCCCATCGTTCCATTCTCCGTCCTTCTTTCTCTCCCCTTCCCTCCTCTGCCTCCACCACCGACCATCTCTTCTTCCTTTCTCTTTCTTTTCTCCCCTCCCTTCTCATCCTATATCTACTTTTTTTTTTTTTTTTTTTTTTTTTTTTTTTTTCTTTCTAATATAGGGAAGACAAGCCCATCAGGTCAGCAACAGGCGCCGGATGCCTAGCTTTCAACTCCGTTCCCTTTCCTTCGTTCCCGTGGATGTGCCTCGTCGATTCGTGTTCCCCGCTTCGATGACCCTTCTCCTTCGTTGTCTTCCGGCCCAGGTGGTACATTGACCTCCCCTGATATCGAGCGAGCATCCTGTTGCCCCTCCTCGTCAATCTCGCCGATTTCTCGCATATTTTCGTTCTCTAGCGTGTTCGATTCCCGGTTCTGTTTATTCTCTCTAATGCAGGTACGATCACTTTTGTTAAACTTTCCGGTTCCTTGTCATCGCGCACACATACACATACCCCTTCCCTATACTTGCAACCCGTGGTCCGGTGTGTCTGTCCATGGCAGAGAAGGGTTAGATCACAAAGAGCCACCATAATCTCCACGGATGCGAAGGAACTGTGTCTCATCAGTTCTTTGTCTCAACAGGATTCTTCAACGAGCGCCGCTGAAGCTGGCGGAGGATATGCAACGCGGAGAGGCCACGGTCCTCACCTGTCAATTAGTGACCCGAGTCACCATGTCACGGAAGCCATTGGGCACATGTACGACGACGATGAATATGATAAACGGGATTCGAGACGCCTTAGCTACATTTCCTCTCCGCTCAGCGAATCCATTTCAACAATCCCCCCTGATCTCGCTGGATCAGCATCCCCAACCTCCCCCCAATCAATGCAGCTGCAAAGCCACCTGAATGAAGTCAATACTCAGCAGGAAAATGGACCGTCTCGACCGCCGCCCCTTGTCACCAGCAAGTCTTTTGACCGGGAAAGCAGCCCGGGGTCTCCCGGGTCCTCCAAGACCGACACCGCGACGACATCCTTTCCTCTCAACGATGTCGATTACGAATCCAACCCAGCAGCCGTGGCTCAGGAATTAAATAATTTGGCAGCCATCCGCCGCATGTCCATGGATGCGGTAGCGACTAGCGATCCCGACCTTCCCGACTTCTCCCCCTCCGTGGCCTCTCCCTCTGATGACGAAAACGATGCCTCGGGGCTGTTCTGGGTCCCAGCTCGCTTGCATCCTGAACTCGCGCCCATGGAGTTTCGATCGTTCCTTGAAAGCAGGTCGGAACGCATCAAGCGCAGATCTACTGATTTTGCGGGCTTGAGCCCGGAGGGTCCAGGATCTGGGAGCGGATTACGGCGCAAACGCTCGATGTTATCGAGGGAGATTGATAATTCCCATGGATATACAGACGGGGCGGAACGGTTGGAACGGAAACGATCCCAATCGAAACAGGATGCTATGAGCCCTAACCTGCTTGAACTAGAGTCCCTGGTGGATGATTCAAAACAAACAAATAAGTTGTCCCTGAATGGCATGCAAGGACTTTCCATTAGCGCCGACGAAGACAAACCAATCTTGCCTCCCATGCCACAGGCCCCCGGCCTTCGTCGATCGACCCGAACGCAGTACAGAAAAGCTGGTAGCGTGAAAAAAGGGGATCGTCCTAGAAGGTTCGGTAAGTCATCCGAATCAAATCAGTCGGTGCCGTCGATTGTTACGTCGCCCGCCGATCAACCAATACTGGGCCTCACGCGAGTTTCGACCGACCCTACTCCTTCGGCCACACGTGGCCAGGCAAAGCCCAAATCACCCCCAACTACTCCCGCGCAGGAGCCCGCTTCCAGCTCCAGCTCTACCCCTGCCACAGCTTCTTCCAAACCGCCGCCAGAGAGCAGCGCACAAGTCCAGGTCCATGCGACAGAGCCTGGCAAACCTCTGCAGTCCCGACAAGTGCAATCTCGTGTCGTTTCCAATGGACGGTCAAGTCCTGAGCGAAATGTTTCAGCGGCTGTGGAACCACCGCCTGCTAACAATAATCGGACTGCCAGTCAGACCTCGCAACAGCAAAGGAAATCTTCCGGGCGGGGATCTGAATCCTCATCGAGTCTTCTACCAAGAAAGAGCTCGGCTCAAAAACAAGCCAAAGAGAACACGTCAAGCCTCAACGATTTTGCCAACAGCCCGCAAGCGCTCCCTGGAAACACCACTCGGACCGATAGCCTCTCATTCATTCCCACCTTCTCGGACGACCGTAAATCAGACAGCAAGTCAGAAAGCAAGTCAGAAAGCAAGAGGTCGAAAGAAAGAAAGGATTCCGAGGGTGGCAGCCGGAAATCAAGCTGGCACTGGCTACTAGGTACGGAAGAGAAGGACAAGGATAAAGAAAAGAAGAAGGACAAAGACAGCGATTCCAAGAGGATAAAATCCAAACTCGTCGACAAAGTCCAGGATAGCACCAATTCCCATCATTCCTCCAACGATAGTAGTAATCAGCAACGTCGCGAGAGCTTTGCTATGGACCGGCCCGATCTGAAATTGGATGATGACCGGAAAAAAGACAACACGAGGAGGTCTTCTGGAGAATCAAAGAAGGAGAAGGAATCCGGTCTATTTTCATCTATATTTGGTGGTGGAAGGAAAAAACACAACAGCAGTGACAGTAATCACAAGAAAAGCTTATCCCGAAACTTTTCACCTGATCCTCCTGTTCGCGAACTTCAACCAGATGTCGACTATCCGTGGACCCGGTTTCCGATCCTCGAGGAACGAGCTATCTACAGGATGGCGCATATCAAGCTGGCAAACCCGCGACGGGCTCTGCACTCCCAAGTTCTTCTCAGCAACTTTATGTACTCGTATCTGGCCAAGGTGCAACAGATGCATCCACATATGACACTAGTCACATCTGCAACTCAAAGACAACAACAACAGGCGAAGGAGCGACAAGAAGAGGAATATCAACAACAATACCAACGATACCAAGAGGTAAGTTCTTGATTTTTTTTTTTTTTTTTTTTTTTTTTTTTTTTTTTGTAAATATTCCTGCGCAGGTGTGTTAACGAGCATACCCAGGCACAGCAATACGGTGACGGTTATGAGGAGTCTCAATCGTACGACTACGGCGATGATTCGCATGACCACTACAGGTCACAATCAAGCGGCTATCAGAACGGCGATGGCTATGGATCCGGGTACTATAATCATTATGGGCATTCAGCATTTGGTGACGATGCCCAACTCGACGACGACGACGATAACGACATGTGGTGACAATGAAAAGGAAAAAAAAAAAAAAAAAAAAAAAAAAAAAAAAAAAAAAAAAAAAAAACTTTCCAATTTTTTTCACTACTATTGATCCTTCCTCGGTTTCCCTCCCCCCCCAAAAAAACAAGACCCGATTTTATGCATCTCGACTTCGGTATCCTGACGAACTTGTACCCTTCTTTTTTTTTTTTTTACTTCTTCCCAAGTATTGCTTCCACCCCCCCCCTTGTATATGTCAGTTATTAAACTATAACACCCCTTTGGATGTCTAATCGATACCAGGGCCTGTTGTCAATGCCTATGAGATGATGATATTGTTGGGCCTGTCTCGTGATTTGCCATTTATGGTCTTTTTGCACACTGATTTTGATTTTCCTGCATAGCGTCTGGGGTTTTCTTTTATCTTCTTTTTCATGTTCATTTGGCTGCACTTTCAAGTCCATATACCTTATGATACATCTCTTATGCTTGCACTTTGACCTACATAATAGAATAGTGACCTTACCTGAGGTTCAGCAGGTGAATTTTTTTCGTTCCTGGGTACATAGCATAGCATAATGAAGTGATATTTCAAATATTTACAATTGGCTTTTTTTCGCTGTAGAAGTGACCTTGGTTCAGGCATAAAGCCTGTTCAAGATCCCCGGATAATGTCACGTGTTCGCCATCCCCGGTCCGCGTCATCGTCGTCGCTTCATTCCTCCAGTGGCTACCTTGCTACGGGACGGAAACCATATTTTATCACGATAGTTTTCTTGGACGACGAACAACCTATCCATCCTCTAGAGACTTCTAAAACGAATTAAAACGAACAATATAGCGCAAAGGAAGACGGCAAAATGAGCGAAGCCTACGAACGGGAGCAGTACATCCCCCTTTTCATCAACGATCAGTTATCGCCATCAGTAGCTAACGAATGAATCCAGGCAAAACAATGCTCTCCTCAACTCCCTCTCCAGCAAAGTATCAGCCCTCAAGTCGGTGACGATCGATATCCACGACAACGCCCATGATCACAACACACTGGACCACTCGGTTGGTCTTCTTTCCCTTCTCAGCGCTAGGACGCAAACTAACGGCTATGCTGTGATAGAATGAAGTCTTCTCCTCGTTCTCCTCGAATCTCCGCGGCAGCGCAAGTCGGTTAACGCGGATGGCAAAGCAGGGGGATACCGTTGCAGTGCTGAAAGTGGCGGGGATTGTGGCAGCAGTCGGGTTGGCGATCTGGGTGATTCTGGGATGGATTTTCTAAATTCGCTCGACACATGAATAAGGGTTTGTATCTGCTGGTATTGGTTGTTGTGGTGGTGATGCTAGTGCCGTACATATTATGTCTCGCTGGTTCGAGACTACATAACCGCCCACTGTGTACTCGTTCCGGGTTGTCCGTTTTCCCCGCGTCATGGCCCTCCCTGCTGGTCGATCTGGTCTCGTTCGCTCTATTTGTCCTCGCCCGGCCCCGGTCGTGTGCCATCATCTGCCTTAACTATGGCTTATGGCTTACGTCTTTTGCTCTTGGCGGGTTTGCTATTGAGGGGTTATGTTGCGGTTGGTTGCATATTGGGATGCGGGGATTGGGCTGATCGACTTGCTTGTCTAATGTACCTTTCTGGTTGTCTATACATAATTTTTTTAATGGCTTCGGATATTCCGAGCAGCATGGTTTCTACTTTTTATTGGGTGTGGATGGGGATGGAGATACTCGGGTACCTTGTTAGTGGTGCTGGGTTGCATGATAAATACGCATTCTCAATCCCTAAAATTCAATATACCCTGACTTGGAGAGACTAGATCAGTATCATAGCTCCCTGTCAATCCCAACAAGTGCAAATACAACCACTATCCAGAGTCCACTGTAAAAAGTCCTGACAGACCGGAGACATGCCGTCCGATGATCTACAACCCGAAGCGGATCTCTCAAAAAAAGCCTTCACCATGTGGTGGGAACGACTATATTCATTGGACTGAAAGTTTTCAGAGCCTTACAAGGTACGAAAGCAACAATAAAATAGTAAAGCAATAAAGTAATAAAAATACCCCTGGGTTTAACAGTGGCAAATTCCATCATTTTAGTAGTAAAAGGTACGTACAAAATGCTATTTGGAGTCGCCGGTGTACGGAACAAGAGCCGCCGTGTTGTTATTCTTATATGGTTATTCTATCTCGTACCAAAAGCACGGACAAATAGCAATCCGGTTTTTCTTCTTTGTATGTACCTTGGGGCCGTGTTGCCGGCTGGCTGGCTAGGACCGGAGGACTGCGTACCGATAAGTTTTATATAGCCAACGATGGCGACATTGGTTTCAAAGAAAAGACTGCACGGAGTATCCGTACAGCATTGCCCCAACGGCCCGAAGATAAAGTCGCCCTAAACGCGGGAATGAAAAAAAAAAATCTTCAGGCTTAGTTTAAACTATTCCGTACAGGGAGAAGGAAAAGATAGGGTTGCGCGATCTTATAGGGTAATAAAGTCTACGGAGCAGGGTGCATCGGCCCCATCAAGTTACGGAGGCGTGTTCCGCAGTCCGTTGAAAGGCTCAGACCCGGCATGCCGATGCGATGCGATGGTTGATGGAGGAAAGAAGCCGGACGGGAGAGATGCCGAGCGATTGGATGTTGGCTTGTTGTTATCGTGAAGGCCGATAGTGTGATACGAGGCAAAATACTTGCTAGTATTTTGCATAATGGCACAAGCTCAGCTGTCAATGTCAGATGGTGAATTGTGGATTAGATATCATCTCTGGTAAATACTCCGACCGAATGCTTGGCCCACGAAAATCATCGAAGCCAAGGATCGGAATATCTCTTTTTGAAGGGTTTCTAGAAAGTGACTCATCTGTTGTTAGGGACCTGCTTGATTGGGATTTTTCGGGATAAATCGTACAGGATTCTTATTTGTACAGCTTTTTGTTCTAGTACTCTGAGTATGCAGTATCCGGTATAGGAGAGACTGATATGGCGCATGGGTTAGATCATAACATGCGCTTGCGTCAACGGTCGTGTTCTAGATGTCTCGTGCCAGGGCTCTCACTAATATCACTCTGGTCTTACAACAGAATACTCAATTAATCTCTGTCCAGGTACAATCATCTTTTAGTGAGAGCTGCCGAATTCCGGAATCACAGTCCCGGGATGATCCCCCCTCCCGAAACCGCCCGTGCGAACGGCCTTCTCTCCGAGGTTATTCCATTGCATGTATCATACAATACAGCTGAGCCGAGAAAAGGAGGTCTACAAATGCAGATGGGCAGGTCCAAGATGCATGTATCTGCATTGTGTGCGTCGTAATCTCATGATTGTCTGGTGTAGGTGTACAAGTACCTGAACACATGGAACGAGACCAAGTCACAGCAATCACACCATCACTCCACGGAGATATGATACAAGCACGTCGATCATGAAACTCAGCCCTGATTGTTTTGCAAATCAGGAATTGAATTCACGATGTAAAGGGGACATCATAGCTTTTTGTATGATTCAGGGTACGACGATATGCAGTGTGACACGCCTACATAGACATCAATCTACACACTACACAATGTAGCCCGTACCCAACACTATGAGGACAGTTCCTGCAGATCATGGTGGGATGAAAATTCAAGAAACAAGCGGGCGAGTAATTAACCAAAAGGCAAAGCCATAATACGCGTAACCGTTTTTTGCATCCCTAAAAAGGAAAAAAAGAAAAGAAAAAGAAAAACGTGATCTGGCCGTGGGATCTGCCGTTTTTATTTTTTTTTATTTTTAATTTATTATTCCATGGATTGCGCAGAGTATATTATATGATTGATCTCTTTCTTTTCTTCCTTCTCTTTCATCATTTTCATTGCTCTGCTCGCCACTCTCGGTTCTTCTGCAACGACCATTCCCGTTGCGGGCATCTTTTCTTCTGTCTCCATATTTTCTACACACTTTCACTGTTACTGCGCTTTATCTCTCGCTTTCGCTTCTTTTCGTCGACTTCCTCGTTTATTCGATCGCGTGTCTATTCGTGTTGCTCCGGCGGTGCCCCTCATCCCCCTTATCAGTGATTATACTGTAACGTTCGATCAGCTGGCCGCCTGCAGCTGTTGTCGTCACCACCACCATGGCGTTCAGTCTCTTTGGAAACAGAGAGAGCGCTAGTTACGCCAAATATTTCAACATCCGGTGAGTTAATTTATTATCGCTTCGTCGGCTGCAATTGCGCACAATTGCGACAGATCACTGACAGTGTTATCGCTTAGATTGGACGAGGATTACATTGTCTTCCGCGGAAGCGAACATGAAGCCGCCAGCGCTCATCTTACCGGCCGTCTTTTGCTCTGTCTTTCAGAACCCCTCACTATCAAACACCTCCGGTTACATCTAACGGGAATTTCGCGCGTCTGGTGAGTTATTCAATCCCTGCACCCCGCAGTCTGCTTTGTTATTCTGTGATACTAATGTGTCGCAGCTGGCATCTTCCATCGTCTTCCGCCAGCGGCGGACGGAAGAATTGGAGGGAAAAGTCATTTTATGAAAAGACATGGCGATTCAGAGAACCCGGTAAAGGCAAGACCGAAACACTCCGCGCCGGAAACTACGAATATCCCTTCGACGTCGTCCTCGAGGGCTCTCTGCCGGAGAGCATCGAGGGCTTGACCGATACATATGTGACGTACCGATTCAAGGCGGAGATCAATCGAAAATATGCAAAGGATATCGTCGTTCGCAAGCCGCTACGGATCATCCGGACATTGGAACCTAGCGCGCTTGAGCTTGCGCATGCAATGGTGAGCTTCCATTCATTGTATTGAGCCGGTGAACAATCTGCTAACTGTTTGATTTTTCAGTCAGTGGAGAACATTTGGCCGAACAAGATCGAATACTCGATTACCACTCCCACGAAAGCCGTCATTTTTGGCACCAACATCCAAATTGAATTCAAATTAATACCCCTCCTTAAAGGTCTCCGCATTGGACAAATTGTTTCGCAACTCGTTGAGACTCACGATCTCACCCTTAACCCCGACGACCCCGAATCCTTCCGCAATTCGTACAAGAATACAAGGACAATTGCCAGTGATGAGCATGAGTTTGATCCGGACAACGACCTAGAAATCCTTGATGAGTCTGTCGAAGGCTATCAATTTTCGCGTAATCTCGTTCTGCCCAAGACCCTTACGAAGTGTCTGCAAGACACAGACACTAGAGGCATCAAGATCCGTCACAAGCTTAAATTCCGGCTCCAGCTTCATAATCCCGATGGTCATGTTAGCGAGGTAAGTGACGTGCCATTCTAAGAAAAGGAGAAAGATTCTAACTCGTGCAGCTACGCGCGACGCTTCCTGTTTCGGTTTATATCTCCCCCAACCTGCCCTTTGACGACGAGAACAACCTGGTCGACCAAAGCCCTCAAACGGCGCAGAGGGCTATCCAAGATAGTGCTCAACAAGCACCCCCATTGTACGGCGAGCACCAGTTCGATCAGCTCTACAGCGATGTCGATCCCAGTGGTTACCGGACCCCTGGTCCGATGAGTGGCCCGGGTACGCCCTTTGGCTCGCTCAGTCGCAACTTGTCAGCGGAAAACCTGGCTTCGATGAATGCTTTGACCAACAGTGATATCTCTGCGTCAGCTTTGCACCATCGTCTGGCAAACCTCCGCGCCAACCGACTCAGTCAGGTCAGCCATCTTACGCCGTCAGAGCCGGAGAGCCACCATGACTCGCGATTAGGCGTTCCTCAAGATTACTTTGGTCCGTCGTCGGGTTCGACCTCTCACACTCCAGCAAGTCCTGTGCTATCTCGACGGGCTTCTGACGAGGGTGAGCACGATCACTTCCACCACCCGATTCCGTCGGGCATGGCTACGCCGTTTCATCCCCACTCTTCAGAGCTCGAGACCCTGAGTCGCGTGCCCAGTTACGACACAGCTATGCGATCAAATATACATCTACGGAGACACGATCCCCTTCCCGACTACAACACTGTGGTTGCTAGTGACGTTCGCACCCCGACCCCTCCGCAATCACCGCAGCGAGCATACGTTCGGGGTTCGGCTCGCGGTTCATCGGAAAACCAATGCCCGACGCTGGAGGTGTCACAGCGACCTCTATTCCAATCTCGCTCACCCAGCCAGATAGATGATGCAGACCGCAACCTCCGCATCTTTCAGGCTCGGGCCTAAAATTTCATACACCTACCTAATATGCATCATTGAGCGGACCTACCCAGGAGGTCCACTCTGATTTCTCCAGCATGAGGATGCGGGTCATCTTCACATGATTAGACGGAAGGAATTCTCCTCTTCAATATTTCTCCATTTACGTTTTTGGGATTGGCGCTCTACCATATAGACGGATATTTGAAAATTCGGGTTTTATTTTATTTTATTTTTTTGGTTGGAGTCGGATTGGATGAGGGGAATGATACAACGCCATATATCGACTGGCCCGCATGAGTTACGTTTTTTATGTATTTTCATCACGCATCTGCAAAAAATCTTGATGGCAGCACATTTCTCACCTCATTTCTCTAGCATAACATCGAAATCTCTATACATGAACCGAGACTACTTTCTTCACTTCATAACAATTGCCGTATTCTGCGTATCTGTAGAGATCGAACGCTATGACATCACCGCGGCTGTGATCAGGGAACTAACTCAAATGGGAAATTGCGGCATCACCCTGCTCTAATTGGGCTCTGCAATGATATCATGTGATCCGGGACCCTGATCGACCGGCGATTGGACAATTTATTGGAGTGTGGCGCAGCAGTTAGATCGGGCCATGGATCATAGTGTGGATTTACGGACAGTAGTAGTATTAACAATCGGATTATTGGGAACTCAAAATGCTTGGAATTTGGGATTTGGAATTGGACAGTGGCCAATGAGTGCTCTCGGAGTTAGGGATATGTGCCTGGGTATCGCACACTACATTTTCACACCTTATGGAGGGGCCGTGGAGAGAAAATGGTGGGAAGTGACCTCATCGGTTGGTCGATCGCTGCCCAAGTGTTGAACCGGTGCAGTATTTATTGGCTTTGAGTCTGCTTGGTTCGTGTGCTTCTATTTTGTCTGTTCAATTGCCATCTTTAATACCTTTTACGGAGTATTTAATTTAATATATCTTTATTCTCTTCTTGATCCAAGCGCTTCCCCACCCGTCATTGGCACTAGTCCCCCTCATCGCGGCTAGCGGTTAATTGGCATCTTCTTTGCACTTCTGCTGGTCTTCATCTCTTCTTCTCTTCTCTTATCACCCTTTAATCACTTTTTAATCTTTCTCATTTTCTGTTTTATTTATAACAGTTTTCAAAATGACTACCCCTACCAGTCCCACGGCTACCCTCCCCACCCGTTCCTCGACCATCCGCAGCACCACTACCGACACGGCTACCCGACGGACATCCGTGAGTGATGATGAGGCTATCCCGGACTCGGACAGCAGTGAGGTATGTTTCGGATAAAAAGGGAAGAGATATAAGAGAATTGACTAACTGTTGGGGCAGACGACAAACCTCCTCGTCGAACGTCTCCGGGCTTGGAAGCACATGTGCGGATACTTGGAGGATTATGTCAATGTAACTGCCAAGGTGCAGAAGTCGCAGTCGAAGGACTATGAGAAGATTCTCAAGGTGTGCATATTTTGTTTTGATATCTGATTAGTGGGCAGTGTCTGACGATGAGCGATAGTCCGTTAGCGACCCCTTGAAAGAGGGACACCATTTCTCTCAGAGCACCGGCGGTATTGCGAGTCTGCTGGAGAACATTCGGGCCAATACTCAGGGGATTGTGAACATGCACTTGGACACCGAGAAGAACCTTAAGGGCTCTGTTCTCCCCGTTCTCGAGCGTCTGCACAAGGAAATCAAGGCCAAGGGGAAGGAGGTGCAGAGCGGTGCGTCCAAGGGTGCCAAGGCTGTCGACAAGGCTCGCGGTGTCACCCAGAAGCATATCGAGCTGCTGGCTCAACAGGTGGCGTCATTTGATTCGGCGGCCGGAAACAAGTTTGATCACTATAATGACCCCTACCTACTGCGTCGGGGCGTCAACCACCGCCTGAACAAGCAGGTCATCGAGGAGAACAACAACCGCCAGGACATCATCGCAGTGCAGAACAACTTCCAGCAGTTCGAAGCACACGTCATCCAGACTGCGCAGGGCGCTCTGGAGCAGTTCTTCACATTCATGGGCGGCCAGCTAGACCGCCAGAAGAACATGTACGCCGATATCCTGGGCTCCGCACAGCGCGTACCCCCAGACTTCGAATGGGTTAACTTCATGACCCGCAACGACCACGTCCTCGTGAACCCCGACTCCCCTCCCCGCTCCCTCTCCAACATCAGCTTCCCCAACCAAGACCACCGTGCCACCAATGCCCTCATCGAGGGCTCTCTCGAACGCAAGTCCCGCGCCATGATTAAGGGTTACAACTCAGGCTACTACGTCGTGTCTCCAGCACGCTACCTCCACGAATTCAAAGACGACGACGACTTCCGCCGCGACCCCGCCCCCGAACTCTCCCTCTACCTCCCCGACTGCGTCATCGGCGCCATCGACGGTAGCAAGTTCAGCGTCAAGGGCAAAGACGTCTCCGGCAGCAAGGTCGGAAACGCCTTCCACACCACCACCGAACTCCAATTCAAGGCCCACACCCCCTCTGACGCAGAGAAATGGTGGACAGTCATCAAGGATGCTTCCCGCGGCCCTACCCACGTCAACACCTCCGCCAGCGCAACTAGCACTCCTGCTTCCCCTGCCGTAACAACGCCCGCCACCCCCGCTGCTGAGGGCAGTGGCGCCGCTGCCGCTGCTCCTGCGGAGAACCACCCGCCCGCCTACAGCGAGAAGAACGGCGAGCAAGCCGGTGCTGCCACTGCTACTCCTTCGCTCGACACCAAGGCTGCTACGGAGTCTCAGGCTCCGGCTCAGACGCCCACCTCGCCGGCTCCTACTACCGGCTCTGGTAATGGACATTTCCACATGGGCCCTGGGGGTAGCGCTGTCGGTGAGACTGAGAAGAAGGCTTAATTTTCTTTTGTAGTATTTTCTTCTTTGTTGATATACGACTATACACGACTTGTTTTGCATATGCTTTGGTCGTTAACTGGTTCATTTTGTCAGTTTATATGGTTTAATAATTTGTATTTAATTTGAGTCAAGAGTCAGTGGCATGCACATATTTTCTCTACTTATTTATTATCATGGTTCAAAACGAGAAGTACTGGTAATATAGCCCATTGGTATCCTAAATGATAGACGTCTATCAGACCGAACCAATAGAGGAGATATATAGGTATACATGCATGCTATGCACGCAGGGGAAATACCAATCGTAGTCATAAGCACTCGGTGTCTATATCGACCACCGAGTTAACATGTCATTCATTTCGTTACTAACGCCAATCTTAAGATACACAGTGTGGAGAAAAGAGTGAGAGTAATATAGACAGCGCAGAGAAAAAAGTTAACACAGCACACATAAAACACGTGTATAGTGGGGTAGAATGCTAAAAATCGTCCGGACTCTCCAAATCCGCCAACTTCTGACCCAAGAATTTCCCCAATGCAGCAGATTTCGACTCCAGTGCCAGCAGAATAGCAGGGGAAGCAGAGAGGTTCAGACTTTCGAGACGGGCGAGGTCGGAACTGCGGTCGATTTGGTATTGTGTTTCGAGGTTGACGGTTAGGGCGTCTGGGTTTGTACTAGTGTTGTTGTTATTGTCAGGTGTAGCGGTATCCGCGGTGTGAAGATTGTTTGATGACCCATTTCTAATGAGATCATCATCGTTGATGCTGTTGCCATCATGCTGTGGTTGCGGCAACTTGGATGGTCCGATAGCTGCTAAGAGAACCTTGTCGGCGATGCGAGTGACAACAGCAACGGAGTCGTCAAGTTCGAAGACTATAGAGCCCACATCACCAAGCGACACAGATTGTGCGGTGATATAGGAAGACGGATGACTAGCCGGATTCACACCGGTGAGGTTGCCGCTTGACACGGTTTTGGCGTAGCAGGTGTAGGCAGCGCCGTATGTTGCGCTCAAGTTGCGTAGTTGGCGAGATGTGAGAGAAGATGCGTGGGCAAAGACGGCACCATTTGTGGCAAAAACCCTGTATTCGTTAATTACGATATTTGGCCGAAAAAGGGAAGAGGGGCTTACATCATGGAGGTGATTTCTGGCGGCGAGAGGTTATCCTCGAGCAGATCGCTCAACGCCTCTGCATCGAGCATCTTGATGTCAGGTAAACCAGGAATCATGTCGTCGTCGTAGGTGTAGATGTCGTTCTCGGTTTCGTAGTCAGATTCGGTTCGACTGCCTTCAGTAGTACTGTCAGTCTCAGTTTCGAAGTTGTCGTCAATGGCCCAGTTTTTAGGCGGCGACCAGGAACAATCCTCTGGAAAGAAGAAGCAGTTGTCTTGGTAGTCTTCGTCTTCGTGATCGTATTCGATGGGTTCGTCTGAGCACTCCAGTAGATTCTGAGCGTATTGGACGTGGCTGCGAGCCCAGTAGGGAACGAAGCCAACCTCGTGGGTATCGACTTGTTTCTGGGTGAAGTAGCCCGGTTGAACTGGATGTTGGAACTCAGCCATGATTTCTTTCCTCCTTTGTTTTCTCGTATTTGAGACAAGGACAGCGAGATGAAGCAATGAACGAAGCAATAAGATGAGAATGAATAGAAGTAGATGAAGGAAGTAAGAGAGCAGAAGTAAGAAATCGGGTAAAAGAGCACACGACCACCAACGCCCGTGACCAAAAGAGTTCAGATCAGCAAATAAGCGAAACGAGGATAACGGGTTGACGCCTTGAGGGCTAGTCCACAGTCCTCGACCCCGGAGTGCGAGGCATGGTGCCTAACAGCCCGTAAGCGATCAGACGATATGCCAAAACTGCCTGACGGGTCACTATGACGCTGAACCAAGACTGGCAGGGGCCAAATAGGAGACAAGAATAAGACAGAAAAAGAAAAGAAGCGATGCAAAACAGGAGAGCGTAGCAGGAAATTGAAGATCGATTGGATGTATCTATCTCCCGGGAGAGGCTTAACTGCCACCAACCTTGATTAAACACGACAACCGTGATGGAACCTTCTGCGCAAGTGACTGGAGTCGATTATGCAATGCAATGCGACTGGATTCAGGTGGATTTGAAAGGTGTTGTGCTGGACGAATGGGTGTTGGTGAGAGTCGAAGAGAGAGAATTGGAAGAGGTGAAGTTGGCCGCTTAGAGAAGGAAAGATGGAGTCGGGGATCTGGCGACCAGTTGGCGGTGATGCGCTGGGCCAGTGCTACATAGAGTAAGATTTCTGAACCGATTGAACCATTGATACTATAGTATCCTATTATATTATCTCGGATTATAGTTGGATTGATTGAATTTATTCATACAATTGTGCGTCTTTTTCTGTGTTGGGATTGACTTTATGTCAATTACACTAGTACTTGCGTGGAATGATTGACGGCCCTCGATATACATCTACAAAATCCATGCAATACACAGTTCATATAATAATTAACCCATTTGCTAAATTATAACACCAGGATATTCCTTGACATAATGATCTGACTGCTGGGATACTGGATTTTGGTATGTTTTAGTATCACCAATGACAGCCAGTTAGTTCCCCGCACTACACCCAACACTCTTCCTGTTTCTATTTCTTGTCCAGGTCCATAACTTTATATCAACGTAATCAATGTTCCTTCGTCCTACTAAACGTGCATGCGATGGGTGTATATCTCGCAAGGTGAGATGCAGCGGGACCTGGCCCTGCGACACCTGTCGAAGCGGGCCAAAACAGATCAACTGCACCTACTTCAAGCCAGCTCGCAAGAGAGGTCCGAAGGTTCGACGGCCTGCTGAAATCCCCAGTGACCGCATGCCTAGCGGCTGTCGTGTCTCAGCGAATGACCTTGCTGAAACTACCCCGAGAGACGGCTTTGTTATTGAAAGGAGTCCCGATTCGGCACGTTCGTGGAGTCAGACGATTCCTCAGGCAACCCTGGCTTACATTGTGCGCGAATATCAACGATCTTCCTATAGCGTTTGGCCAGTGATCAACGTCAAAGTACTCCTGCAGAGACTGGAGAGTGATAACGACCCGAGTACGTACTGCTTAGCTTTGGCGCTTTGCGCAGCAACAATGGCACAACTCCAACTCGCACCCCTAATAAATGGAGATCGGGAGATCGAATGTAAACTTTTGGCAACTGAATGTTTGCACCTGCGCGAAGAAATAAAATACCGGGAGCACCTTGATGCGCGCAGTGTGCTTGTCTCGTTGTTTCTACACGTGTACCATGCTAAAATCAACAAGCGAAACTCGGCTATGCTGTTTATACAGGAGGCTATTTCAGGTGCCAGGTTACTTAAACTGGATGATGACGGTATGGTGGCAAGAGAGTGGAGTAAAGATGAGAATGTGATTGCGAACTGCGACATTCTATTTACTTTGCTTTGGGTGTCAGAAAGGTATTTACCCTTTTGGAGGCGTGCTAAGTATGCGCGATTGGTGCTCATCCATAATTTGGCAGAGGCTATGCTATGCACCTTGGCCTAAAACCGTCCTATAAAAGTCCAACTTGGCTGTCAGACCGAGCACAAACATCCGAAAACGCTCACGTGCAAGGCTTGATCGAGCATGCGAGATTATTCGCAGCGCTTGATGGCGTTATTACTGGAGAAAGTAATTTAGCTGGACTTCCTGCTAGCACCCTAACGGAGACAGAAGCTGCTTTGTCGACGCTCTCCCTGGGCCAGGGTGAACGAGCGCCCACACGAATGGCAGACTACTGCATTACCAAGGAATGGATGCGGATTATAATTTGGCAGGAGGCTCTATCTCGACACTTACTTTCTTCCACGTCGTACCTGGAGTTGATGACTTTTAGGTTCCCGGTCCATGTTGGTCGGGATTTGCTGTGTTCCTTGCAGGGATTTTCCAGGTCCGATTTGCTACCTTTGGGCCGTGACCAGGTGAACTCAAATGCTACTAATCTTGATATGAGATGCTGACTGGGCCAATGCAGCTTCTGAAGTGTTTTGAAATTACAAACTCCCTCGCAGACACAGTATTGTGTACCTCCTTCATTGTTGCATCGTTCCAGGGCTTTCACGTTGGCCCTCAAGACTTGTTGCATGCTCTTTACCAGAAGCTGTTGCCGTTTCTGGACCAAGATCAGACGCTAAAATCAATTCTACATGTAAAAACTGCCAAGTCACTAGTTACAGCCCCAGCTCGTGCTCTGTATCTTGGTATAAACGAGCAATGGCTCGGAGAGGATCAGAACAACGACAGCATTGATAGTTGTCTGGATCTTGCGACCAACGTGAGAAGTGCTATATCGGATATCCCTGACTATTCTGTTTGATTGATGGTAACTTCTTATTGATGGGCTAATTAAATGGTTCTACTCGCCAATCTTGAGCACGATTCTCCCAGCGATGTCACCCTTCTCCATCTCGTCATACACCTGGGGCAAATCCTTAAACCCCCTAATCTTAATTTCAGGTACCACAACACCCCTACGGACCAAATCAACTGCCTCCAAGCATTCCTTCAATGACCCAACCAAGTTACCAGTGATGCGCAAGCCCTTGATCACAATGCTGCAGATAGGAGTTTCCAAGCACGGACGCCCCATGGGAATCCCGATACAGCTCAGCGTACCGCCGACACGCAGCATATCACACGCATGCGCATACGCTTTTGCACTCCCAGCTGTGACCACCGCCGCATGTGCACCCAGACCGGTGATCTCTAGAACGCGCTGTGCGGGGTCAGTGGATGTGAAGTCAATGAAATGTTTAGCACCGATTCTGAGAACGAAGTCACGTTTGTCTGCGGCATCGACTCCAATAACTAGCGCTCCCTGGGCTTTTGCGTATTGTACTGGTGTTTTATGTCAGTACAAGTGGGAATTGACTCCAGCTTAGTGAACTCACCAGTCAAATGACCAAGCCCCCCTCCAGCCCCCACGACGACCAACCAGTTTCCGGCCTTGACATTCGTGTTTAAAACAGCCTACGCCAGTTAACAATATCAACAGCATCAGGAAGAAGTGAATGATACCTTATAAGCCGTGACACCTGCACAAAGCACCGGTCCAATAACACTTGGATCAACATCATCCGGCAAGATTGTCAAATAATCCGCATCCAATGCAATATACTCCTGGAAGCACCCATCCTCATGATGCAAATGATTCGTGCCCTTCACGCAATACTGCTCTGTCCCCGCAAGGCAGAAATCACAACGCCGACAGATGCGACTTGAAAACCGGATCCCGACAAGCCCTCCAACTTTCAAGTCTGGTCCACAGCCGGGTCCTAGTGCCACGATACGTCCAACACCTTCATGTCCTCCAATATGAGGAAACTTGATTTTCGTGATAGGGTTGCCGTCGGAACCAGCAGCCGTGCCGTTTTTGGTATGCAGGTCTGGTGGAGTCTGTCAGCCGGTGGCTTCATGTTTCGAGAAGTATAGGGAGGAGACACATACCGCTTTGACAAACTCCTGTGTAAAGGACTTTAGCCAGAACTTCATTTTGGCCAGCTATGGGGACAGGGTGCTTCTCAAGAAACTCGACATTGCCGCCGAGGGTACGAACCAGGGCGACGGTTTGGATTACTGGGATTTGTTCCATGCCGAATGTTTGGATGATATTCGTCTTATTTGTAATACCCTCTGGAAAGGGGAGATTGAAGTGATTTATATACACACATGCCCTTTTCTAGCTTCAGCATCGTGTATATTTTTGCAGGTGATACTAGCAGACCATGAATTGGGAGATGTAGCTCCGGAATAATTCTCCTATTGGCTGGTCTCTGGTCAATATACAAATGAAAGCGAAGTTCCATTGGTTAGATTATATTAATCCGCCGAAAATTATGTACATCAAGCATACATGATGCATCTCAACTTTTGTCTAGCCTCTCACATTGCGTACTTTCCTGCTTTTGTTTCTCCGCATTTTGCATTGTATGATCATTTCTCCGAGCCAATTCTCCGACGTTGATCAATGGCGCCCAGAAGGGACAGGCCGCTTGGTTTCTAAAGTAGGTAGTTTAATTGATTGACATTCAATGTTCTCATACATAGTTCAAGTTTACGAATAAGCGACATTTGAAGTGGGTGTCCGAATGCTTTTGATCTGACTGGGGGGTCATGTGTAGGAGGACAAGCCAGTATTTCCTGCACCATAGAGCAGGAATTGCCAATGATCCATTCGTCCTGTTCATCCTGGAATAGCGTTACAGGGAATACCTCGGTGTTATCCAAGGCAGAGTTGATCGGAATTAACTAGTTAGCTAACGTAATCTATCACCGAGAGGCGCATATCACCGAGAGGCGCGGTCGGCGGCGGCGCATACTAATTACTTCGTACATCTACGTAGTATCCTCTCCATGTTATAAAGCATGCCGAATCTATTAAATCTATTGCTATCTAAGAGGGCATTTTAATCTATTATGGCCCTCTTGGTTGCAATTGCTGCACCGTGCAGGCCGCCGTGATCTTGATGATGGCTCTTCTTGCACCTCTCTTTCTCTCAATCTTTGCAGTCCCTCATCACCAGTTAAGCTCCCTCCATCTTGAATAAAGGCTCGTGTCATCTTCTTCTTCTCTTGCTGATGCTTATTTGAAGTGCGAAGCTGATGGAGTTCTTGTTTTAATAGAACAGCATCCTGCATTGCAACTTCTGTGCTCTTCATGAATTTTTCAAGCATCTGGTCCGCGACAACTGAAGATAGAGACTGATTTTGAAGGTCTTGAATCTGCTTTTTCTGCTGATTCAACTGATAAAGATTGGCCGGTGTCCTTCCTAAATAAAAGGATTGATTGCTGGATGAGGAAGAAGGTGGAGTTGGTGTCTTCAGCTTGATATGGAGTTTTGCAAGCACTTTCTCCGGTTTAAAAGGAATAAGACCAGCAGCCGCAAATCCACTTAGTATGTTGGCCTTTGAGAATGCATGAGCATGGATTTTGGTGTAGTTAGATAGGAAATCCATTTTATCAATGGCATGGATGCCATTTTGCGCTATCTCTCTGATTTTCTGGCCATAGTAGTGCTTGAGCGGCCCAAAGCAACTTATATCAAGTGGTTGAAGTAGATGAGATGAATGAGGAGGCATATATAATGGAATAATCTTCCTCTCAGTGCAGAAATGATCGAAACTTGCAGTTGCATGGCTGCTATGGCCATCAAGAATCAAAAGGCGATATCTGCCAGCAGTCTGAGAGGCAGTATGCTTCTCAAACATCTCCTGAAGCCATTCAAATCCCAAATTATCATTTGTCCAGCCATTATCACTCATGCTAATTCTGTATTCCTTTGGAATAGCTGAATACCACTGAGATTGATGCCTTTTCCCGGCCAGGATAATCTGCGGAGGTAGAGCAGATCCGGAGGCATTTATGGTGATTATTATAGTAGTCCACTCGCGATTTCCAGGCTGGATAGATTTGACATGGCTATCTCTAGTCTCTGAGCCACAGATGACCTTTGCAGTTGATGTTACTCCCATTTGAAAGCCAGATTCATCCATATTGTATATATCCTGCTCCAGAATGCCATATCTTTCGATGGTCTCTCGAACGCGATCAAACCAGCCGTTTATCAACTCAGGATCCTCGCCTTTGGCACGTTGGTAGTCATATCGGCGGGTATATTTAGATTTGAGCTCAGGACGGCGTTTAATATACCGGTTAACCCATAGCTCACCAATGGTCGCTTTCTCGGACGATTTTAGACGTGCGGATAGGAGTAATTGGGCAAGATGATGGACATTTGATATTTGGAGAGGTAGGCCACGCTCATACATATCTAGAATCCATCTAGATAGTGTATCTTCTTCAAGTTCTGATAATTTCCGGCCATTTGCAGTGGATTCATTGCGGGAGCGGACTCCATTCAGGCGTTTCATTAAGGTTCTTGATGGCACATCAAATGCTTGTGCACAGGCAGTCTTAGATTGAAACTGGCCTTGATTAAAAGCATCAATAGCTAATTTCATCCGCTCTTCTTTAGAAAGCTCATTCATGATGGATAATTTGGTGAAAAGTAGGTTTGAAAATATGGGTGTAATCTTCAGTGGAAACCGCCGCCGACCGCGCCTTTCGGTGATATGCGCCTCTCGGTGATAGATTACGTTACCAAGTATAGCTGAATAATCTGAATAGCGTCATAGCATTGAATTTACCCCACCTGCATCATCTCCAGCGATTCTCTGTGATTCTCTCCTCTCTGCCTCACTTTCTCTCCTCATCTTCTTTTACTGTCCATGTTTGCCAATCGCTCTCTGTCTCTATTAAGAAACTTTTCTCTTGGGATCCTCGTTCCACAAATATCTATTGTCCAAGGTCTGTCATTGTCAATCCCCGCTGTTGATCGGACGGAGAAAAAAAAAGAAAAGAAAAAGCGTTGACCAAAATTCTGCAGCCACAGGAACAGGAACCTATCGATCTCTCGCAACCATGGCTTCCGACCCGTCTACCTATAAGCTCAACCGTTCGTAACCTACATTTGTCTCATGATCGTCCTAATCGAACCAATCAATCAATGGAGCTGACGTGATGTTCCTGGTCTGCAGACACCATGCTCCGGGTCAAAGACCCGAAACGCTCGGGTAAGTCAGATCGGATCTACCTTGTGGGAAAGATCGAAAGTTAATGGATGGCAGTGGAGTTTTATAAATACCTCGGTCTCAGTCAGATTCAGCAGCTCGACTTCCCCGAGAACAAATTCTCCCTCTACTTCCTTGCCTACAACGGCCCCTCGTCGCTCCAGGGTGACCGTCACTGGACGGACCGCAACGGTGTCGTCGAGCTCACCCACAACCATGGCACGGAAAGCGACCCCAACTACAGTGTCGTCAACGGCAACACAGAGCCGCACCGCGGATTCGGTCACTTGGCCGTGTCCGTTGACAACATTGAGGTGGCCTGCAAAAGACTCGAGGATGCGGGGTACGCATTCCAGAAGAAGCTCACAGATGGTCGCATGAGGAACATTGCCTTCGTCAAGGACCCCGATGGCTACTGGGTGGAAATCATTCGTCGCCGTGATGAGGATTTCGCAACTGCCACCACTGATCCCAGCACCTATCGCCTGAACCACACTATGCTCCGGGTTAAGTCAGCTGAGAAAAGCTTGAAGTTCTACCAGGAGGTTATGGGTATGACTTTGGTGCGCACCAGCGAGAACAAGGATGCCGGTTTCAACCTCTATTTCTTGGCGTACCCCAAGTCCAACCCCCAGCTGCAGGAGGATGCAAGGAACCCTGTCGCTGAGTGGGAGGGTATCCTTGAGTTGACCTGGAACTACGGCACAGAGAAGCAGGAGGGTGATGTTTACCACAATGGCAACACGGAGCCTCAAGGATTTGGTCACATCTGTAAGTGTATTTTTGAATTGTGTAGACGGATTATCGCTGATTCTTCTTCTAGGTATTTCTGTTGATGACCTCAATGCCGCCTGTGATCGCTTCGAAGGCCAGAATGTCAACTGGAAGAAGCGCCTGACCGATGGTCGCATGAGGAACGTAGCGTTTATCCTCGACCCGGACAACTACTGGATTGAGGTGATTCAGAACGAGACGCTCAAGCGCACCAGCAACTGGTAGATAGTGTGCAGTGTAGAAAGGAATCATAGTAGCATATTATTATTGTACTACTATCTTCATACATTCTTGTACTTCTGATAATGGAAGCTGCCTTATTGGCCGCCCCCGCCCTTCCCCACAACACCCCGCGAACCAGAGAGACTCCCCGGAAATTCCTGTCATGTGGCCCCCCAAAAAAGAAAAGCCAGACCTCAATGGGCCTTTCCCTGTTCTTTCTCCAACGTTTTATTATCTTCTTCATCATCTCCTAATATATCTTGTCGCTTACTTGTCTCTCCTGGGTGCAGGAGATGTCTGTGATTATCCAATTGAATCCAGATGTCGGTTGACTTGATGATTTGTTTCGCTTTCTTCTCGCTCCCTCCCCGATAACCATCGCCAGTACCCCCGGCTTCTCCTCACTGGCCACACAACTACACCCGCACACACCCCGCCAAACCCCGTCTAGAGCCTTCTTCTTCCGTCCCGTTGCCGCCGATTCCATTCCGGTTCTGTCGCGATGCAGCCCGAGTCGGAGAAGAAGTCCAAGAAGACTCCCCGCAAGCATGTCACCACAGCTTGTGTTCCTTGCCGGGAGAGCAAGATTAGAGTATGTTGGGTCTGCGGATTTTCTTGCCTATTTTAATTGGGACTTTCCTTTTTTGGATTTTTTTTTTCTTCCATCCGGATCGAAGATTCTTGGTCCTGTTTTCTTTTTTCTTGATCTAACACAAGATAGTGCGACGGGGCTTCCCCGCATTGTAATAATTGCCAAAGAAAAGGGAAGGATTGCAAATACCAACATGGCGACGACAAGCGCAAGTAAGTTTTGACTTCCTGCAGACACGGATAATAAACAAAAAGGAAGGGTTGGTTTCGCAAACATGTTTCTAGAAGCTGACAGTTTATCCCATGATCCCAGAGTGTCTCTCCGGGCTGCGACGGAGCTGTTCTCCGCACGAATTGACCAATTAACCCAATTCATCGAGGACCATGGGCTAGAATCTCCTCATATGAAACCTGAGGATGAAGCGGGTATGGATCGGGTATTAGATACTCTTCAGATTCCTCGGAAGCATGTACAGAAAAAGAGCCCCAAGTCGAAGAACAAGCCGCCTGTCAAGCCCCAAGAGAATGTCGCTCAGTCTCCTGCGCAAAGCTCCCCTGCGAGTATTCCTGTCGGGACTTCTCCTCTTGGGGGGCAGCTGAATCAGATTCCTGAATCGAGCGTGCCCGTGACCTCGTCGACGCGTCAAAATATCTACTCGAACCCCCCCTTCCTTCCTACAGAGAAAAGCCCAGACGCCACCCATCCTTTCTCACTGAGCTCGGGGGCTTTGAACAACTACAGCTGGGGTTTCACACTTCCTACCGCAGAGAGCCTGGATACACTTTACGCCAACTTAGAGAGCGGGAGTGTCAATATTCCAGCGGAAACGACCAGCCTGAGTCCAGATAGTCTACATTTGAGTCAGGATATTGCTCAGCAGCCAGGTGTCTTGCTCGAACAAGCGCAGAACAACGGGCTTTATGAAAGTGACAGCGGCGATGAAGAAGATGAAGCAGAAAAGGATGTGATTGATCAGATCTCGCATCGCATTGGGACGCTGAAGATCGCTGGTGATGGCCATCTACGGTTCTACGGTGCGACTTCGAATCTTAATTTGGTGGATGTGTCTGCGACGCAACAGCGCCAGCGTCCGGATGCGCGGACGGTTCGTCACGATGGACAAGATATTCTGAACCATCTGCGCGTTGGGCAACCGGTTGACCAGGAGTTGGAAGACCATCTTGTCGAACTCTATTTCACTTGGCAAAACACTAGCACCTACGTGGTGGACAAGGAGATGTATATGATAGCCAGAACGAAGTGGAGGGATGAAGACGATGACACGCCATTCTATTCAGAAGTGCTTACCAACGCGATGTATGTCCGCTTTCTGGCCTACATGGTTTTGATATCTAACGTGGGTCTAGGTGTTCCATCGGAAGCGCATTCGAAGCACGCTATCATCCTACGTTTATTACCTTCCCCAAATCGCTATCCGAGTTTTTTGCGGATAGAGCCAAGGCTCTTTTGGAGATTGAGCTGGACTCCCCGTGCGTTGCTACAGTACAAGCTCTTGTAATTTTGAGCTGTCATGAGGGTTCTTCGAACCGTGACGCGCGAGGATGGCTTTACAGTGGTATGTGTGTGTCTGAGTAATAGCGGTAGCAGTACGGTGCTGATATATTGTACGGGTAGGGATGTCCATGAGACTTGCTTTCGACCTTGGGTTGCACCTCGACACGACATCGTATGTTGAGAAAGGTGATATAAGCGCCTTCGAAGCTGATGTGCGTCGAGTGGCCTTTTGGGGAAGTTATACTGCCGACCAGTAAGTTGATGCTATCATTTTGGCCAGTTCCGAGCGACTAACACGATTGAAGTTTCTGGGGCTTCTACCTGGGACGGCCTTTTCGTATGAATACCGGGGATATTAATGTCCCAAAGCCTGCCTCCGACATAGCGGTCGAGAAAGAAGGGACTTGGTATCCTTATGGTCTCCAGACAAAATCGGAAGTGCCCCCTACAGGATTAAAAAGTCCGAATGAATTGATCAGCAGGCAGTTTGCCGTTCTATGGGAGATCATATCTCCCGTGGGTCATATCCTGTATTGAACCTGACATCCTCCTACCTGTGTTTAAGGTAACTGACATGATTTAGCTATGGATGCTCCGATATCTCAAGGCACGATTTACAAAGGTTGTGTTATAGAGTAACCGAAGACTTGTTTGCTTGGAAAGCCAATCTACCCTCAGCGTTGCGAATTGATCTTAAAAATGATGCCGTTCCAATTTTACCCCATCTTTTGATGCTTCAGTATGCTACCATACGCTTGGAGATATGTGGAAGTCAATTGCTAACGCAAAATAGCATGCAATACCATCAAATAGTCATCTTCACCCACCGGCCCTGGGTCTCGAAACACTACATCCAGCCGCGCAGTCCCCGTCAAGGACCCGGCTACCACCACGCTAGACGAATGTGCATAGAATCTTCCATGGCTGTTGCCAGGCTACTCCAAATCTACGAGAAACATTATACATTCCGCCGCATGAACAACCAGGTCGTCGCGATCATCTTCAGCGCCGCTCTTATGCTTCTCTACGTCACTATCTCCCCTGGAAAGGCCAACAAAAATGAAAATGGGGCCGCCCGTGCGGAAATGGTTGCATATTTGAACCTTTGCTTCCGCGCTTTAGACGAGCTGGGCCAATCTTTTGAGAACGCAAAGCGCACACGAGACTTCCTGGTCAGTCTACAGCGGAGATGGCAAGCGCATATGCGCAGATCCGGTGCAAAGCGTCAAATGGGGAATCGCCAATCATCAGAACCACCAGCCCAGGGCCGTTCAGAAGCCGACCCGTCGAGAAAGAGATCCCGACTCTCTGTTTCAGGCCACTCCCTTCCCACTGCTACTGCTACCACCACCACCACCACCACCAACAACAACAACAGCAGCAACAATAAAAATAAAGCCTTCGCCATCCCTGCAACACCACCTTCTACCAAACCACCATCATCACAAGCACATCTCAGTGGGGACATAGACTGGATCCACAACTCAGATCTCCAACTCCTTTCCGAGGGATTGACGAATGATCAGTTCCCTCAAATACCGGGAAATCCGGCCTCGTATGCCGAGGCATCGACGATACCGAGTCTTGCTGATATAGAGCCGTGGTGGGAGTCTCCAGATGGGACTACGACTTTTGGGGAATCTTCGTTATAGATAGTAATAGACGTGGGAATATGTATTTGGTCGGCAGTCCTGTTTCTACCTTCTCATTCCCGTTTTGCTTGACAATTGAACGTTGGAAACGCTAGATTATTCCTTAGAAGTTAAGCAAGTAATTCAATAAGCTATTTGAGCTTGTATGTTCATTAGGTAACAGGAACCAAATAGATGTCTCTTAAATCTTAGTTTTTCAGCGAAACCTCGTACTAGACTATAGTGAACATCTGCTGGCTTCTTGACCGCTTAGCTCCTCGCTTGTCTCTTCCTTCTCTTTTTCAGGACGGCGCGGCCACTCCATAACACTACTCAACCACTCCCCAGCCGTCTTCTCAATACCATCGCTAATAGGCCACGCTTCACCCGAAGGAACTCTTGACAATTGAACCCCCTTCTCACGGACTTCCTTCCTAGCATTATTCCCCCAGAAACACGCCCTTTGCAGGGTTTTATGCATATACTTCGCTTGCTCAGAGAGAATAGTCTTGTTCCCGGATTTCCTGAACTCGGGCCGGCGAACAAATAAATGAACCCAGGGAAGCGTCATATCCAATCTCTTGAATTCAAGAAGATGCGGCTGGAACCAATTTACGCCGCTGACGCCGTAATCAAGGCCCTCTGGGGGCCAGCGGAGGAGCGCTTTACGGTACATTGGGATTTCGAGGTTGTATCTTCTTCCGTTCTGATCTGCTATGATATAGATGGATTCATCGTAATAGTCGTTGAAGTGCTCGTCGTCTAATTCTTCTTCCAGAGTTTCACCGCGGAGGACGTCTTCGTCTTCGACGAGGCCGAGGGACATAACGTCGAGTATGATTTTCTCTCGTAACACGGGGATCGGATGGTCGGGGCCGGTGAGATAAAGTGGGAACTTGGCGGGGATAGCCCTTCCAGGAGTGCGGACGAAAAGAATTGGAGAGGCGAAGGGGTCGAAATACCGCTCTGGCTTGACGAAGAGAGATTTGCGGGCTTCGAGGAGAGGGACTAGTTCTGGCGGTGCGACAGATTGAGATTTTGTTTTTCTCTTTGTGGATCCCCTTCCATCCTCGGATAATCTCAAGTTTGATATGTGTTCCTTTATCGCTTCGATCTGTGGATTTGTTTCTGCTGGTAGGTAGTCGGGAACCATGCACCACTCATCCAAACCCGTCCAGTCACAAATGGGCTCCACAGCCGCGACGGCATGTATAGACTGCGACTCTGTAAGCGCGAGCACCAGCGCCAAAGAGCCACCGATATGGCTACCCAGGACATCTAGTTGACTCGGCTGGAAAGTTTTCTGGATCCAGTCGAATGCTGTTAATGTATCGTGCACGGCATTCTCGTATTCATAGTGGATGAGGCGGGGCGATTCATTCCCTTCGGGTTTGGTGACGTCTGATTTTATGGTACTGCTACCGTCATTTTCGGGGGGTTCTGCGTCGGGAAGTTGGTCTTCAGGCGGTTCGATTGTGCCTAAGCGGTAGTGGATGGTCACAATGGTTGAGGAAGTCGATGTAGCGAGTTCATGTTGGGTGCGGAAGGAATCGGTGTCATTGTGGGAGGCTGGATTCGTCACGTCGGTACTTGTAGGTGTATTCTGTCGCTGGAATACTGGCCCTGAGGGAAGATAAACGGTCACATTCGGATAGGGTTGTTTCGGAGACTCGAGCGATTCGGTCACACTATAATTTTCAGAAATATAAGTTAGCCATTGAAAGTTACTGCCGTGATATTGTACAACGCTACCTCAATAACACATGCCCATTGCTCCCCACGGGAATGCCAAAGGTCCTATCGGAATATGAAGAAGAGAATCGTTTGCAGGAAGGCGAGAAAGAGACACTTCGGAAAGTTGAGAGGGCAAAAGGACAGAGTCTCGAGTGCCGTCTGATCAAGATGTGTGCTAGAAGGCGCATCGCGCCATTTTTGGAGTTAACTGGAGACGTGATGCAGGATGTTGATCGGCGTTAATTGATAAGGGCGGAGCGGGGAGCGGAGGATATTTCCGCCGTTAACATATGACTTGGCATTATCTATAATTCTGTCTTCTGGTTCCAACAGCTTGATAATATGGATGAAGATGATATTTAAATAAAGAACTGATCCAATCCACTTCTTTCATTTGTCGCAGATACTGCGGGGTCATCCATATCTAACGCCGCTTCAACGTCGTCTCCCGGCACAGGACGAACGACTTCCAAGCTCAACCTTGGATCCTAAGAATAGACTCGCAGACCTACAACGCAAACTGCATTCAAGGGGTCATTGATAGGCTCCTCTGGGTAGTGCATAGACAGCTCTCGAGACACTCGTTCCGCAGGTTCAAGTTCCTCGGGCATGTCGATGTCAGAATCGAATTCAAATCCATCCAGCAGTTCTAGCTCACTGTTGTCAAAGTCATCTGCTGTGCAATTGGTGTCGATGCTGAACTGTCTTAAGTTCCTCTTTCGTTTCAGCTTATTGTGACCATTTAACTGAACAGCGGGAATGGTGCCGTTGATTCCGAAAGTCGCCGGACTGTTGACCATGTCTCCACGTATTTGAAGAGAGTCCTCGAGCGATCCCTTTCTAGATACACCATTTCCCAGGGATTGGTCACTGGAGAGGCTGTCTTTCCTACCAACAAGTCCTTCTGTTGCTCTTTTTTTCCTCGCAGCCGTCTTCCGTTCTCGAATCCACTCCTTTTGTAGCCTTCTTTTTATTTCATCGCGTCGTTGCTCCCTCTCCAGCGCTTTGCGACGCCTTTCATAATTCTCGCGGGCTTTCTTCTCTCTTTGAGTCTCAATGATACGACTCTTAGCATGTGCTAGGTCATACGACAGTCCGATCTGGACCAATTTCTCACGACTCGTTGAAGCCAAACGGCTGACGGTCCGCTCTGTTGGCTCTACACCGGGATGTCGGTACGCTGTGATCTTCATGAGGACATGATAACAGCCTGGCTTGAGGGTAATCTCTGTGTTAGTAGATCGTTTCAATAAATGGCTGCTCTGACTGCGGACAATATAATCTTCCTCGCCATCCTTTTGCACCCTGAAATTGAGAGCGAAGTCGTACTCCCCTGCTAAGCCTTTGAAGTAACGTGAATCGAGCTGTATTATGTTAGTAGGCCGACTCTAAATAGAGATGATAAAAAGAGAATTACCTGTGAGAGGACAATAACCAAAGGGCTTTCCTCTGTTACAGTAATCATGAACTTGGTACTGTGATATTCTGCAGACCATGGAACATTGAGAGTGGTCCATTGCTGAGTGACTGTCCACTCAAGTCCAAAGAGGCGTGTTCGGTCGAAGTGCTGATATTTCTTGAGCAGATCGTCATAAGAAATCCAAAAGACCTGTTCCACACATCGTCAGTACTTCTCGACATTCAAGATATGCGGATGTTAGTACCCCATCGTTACCAAACTTATGCCCTAACTTCTCCATCCATTCCGGAGTCCACTGCTCAGAACCATCACTCCATGCTCCACTCCATTCTTTCTTGCCCCAGGGATTCCTTAGTTGCGTTAGCACCAGTTCAATTGCTTGAAGGAGGATTTCGCATACCTCAATCGAAGCAAGCGATGACCATCAATCTCTCGGGCCTCCATGATAGAATACGAGTGGTTTTCGAATATACCCCTCCTGTCCCTAGGACGACCTTCGTACTTTGGACACAACCAATTGGACCACAGACCGGTACCGCAACCAAAAAGGAAGTCCTGATTAACTTTCATGAGTTCCTCGTTCCAGAAGCGATCTTTATCCAAAATACCGCTGGACAGTATATCTATGGTGACGCCACCGGTAAAGTCCTCAATGGCTTCCCTGGTACGTATTAGATCCGTGCTGAACTGATTGGGCTATGGTCGCTCTTACCCCACAAAGCCACCTTCAATGGCAGAATAGTCTCCATGTGTCTTTGCAAAAGCCTTCTCCAGTAATGGTAGCCATGTTTCGTTTTCATCCGCACACTGAGCAAAGTATAAGGTTCTCGATCCGGTCTGAAAGGCTTTCCGGTATTCCTCTTCGGTATCCTTACGGGTGATATCGTCCCAAACCTGTCGTTCGTCTAATGATTCATCATAATCTGCAGCTCGCAGGTAGAGTTTGTCATCTACAATGCACTGCTGCCATTCGCCATCTATTATGAGCGTGCAGATATTAGTTCTGGCTTCGGGTGTTAGGAGAAAATTACCTACCTCGGAAGAAAACGAATCCATAAACACCAACTTCCTCATTTCGCATGACGCAGATATTGTCGATAAGGCCTCGTTTATTTCCCAGTGTACACAGAGCTGCCATAAGCCAACAATCACCGTCTCGGCCCTGGCGTACATCTGAGGCAGTCGGCCCATTTACATAGAACTGTGGCTTGTCAAATATTTCCTACCAAGGTGTCAGCTTTCTCGCCATTCCGAAAAAAGGATAATGACCGCAAGTTCATTGGATCACCCACAGTAACCCTCTTGACGCCTTTCGGCAGCATCTCCAAATTACACACATCCAACCCATTCAGACAATCCCTCTGCCCTGATTTCAAATCAATTTCAATATCAAAATGCGGATCCGTATACTTCTGATTCAAGCGTTCGCACTCCCGTACAATCCGATTAACAGATTGTTCACATTCCTTTCTGGCCTGGTTGTAGGGCTTCGCCGCATTCTGACCTTGGATAGCACCTTTGGGTATCCGTGCGGCTTTGCTGCGTGCGTACGGGTTATCAGGAAGCACGGTGTAGACTTTCCCAGGAAACTTGGTGCTAAATTTGTCGCAGAATCGCCTCATAGTCTCTTGTGGGAGCTGTCTTCTGGTTTTTTGCGGTGTTCGGCTGCTGGAGCGTGAAGATGGTGGTGGAAAGGATAAGTCGCTCCTGTCGTCGTGGTCCATGGCTTATTGTCTTATTAGGCCAAGATGGAAATTCCGTAGAGGCCAAATCAGCTATACTACAACCGACTCAGATGCGGAATTGATGTAATCGAAGAGGTCAGCAATAAGCCGCACGAGATGCGGTTGTGCAGGATATTCTTATTCACAGGTGTGCCCAGGCACCCTGCCTTTCTATCCCCCGGTTATATAGCATCTAGCCTTGAGAATGTGCTCCATATGTAATCATGTCGCGATATCACTATTTATCGCATCGCCACCACCGGGGCGAATATATTGCCCTGGGATTCGTTGATGCATTACCCTAATAATGCAGCAGATGCGTCAGGAATAAGGCTGCAGATCAGCATTCAGAATCTACGGAGTACTCCGTGACATGGGTAGTTTAAAGGGTACAGCCTCAAATGCCGGTTCAAGGGACTATATCGAGGCAAACTAGGTACTGGACTTTTTTAAACATATTGATAAAGTGATTATATCCCATCTCCCCTCAATTCCTTAAGTTTAAATCGAAGCACGGGTTAATGTCGAGTAAGACACAGCCTTGCCAAGATGCTGACAGTGTCTATGGCAAAGCCGGCGCGAAAGCCGAATACGATGTATTTTGTAAGACGCATTGAGCCCAGGCGTGAGCACTTTCTTGTATTTTGATGTTTCTGTGTACTTTACTCGTGTTTTACGGAGTAATCCACCAGGATTCGTATTCTGCTGCAGTACAATAAATCCCCAACCTTTACCCTTTGGTTAACTTAGAAACTTGGAGTGGATACGAGCGCTTCCTTCAGCTGCCCAGGCCCAAGAGCAGACCGGCGAGGAATCTTCAGCTGGAACACGTTCTCACAGTGGAGAAGCTTACAGCGTATTCCTATGCTCAAGACTGTAGTGTAGTGTATAAAATAATTCAAGTATATGGTTGGTCTACTCAATGTTGAGGAGTCTTTGTTTGGCACTAACACTAAAATATCTGTATCTCAGTTTATATGTGCCATGTCGATTATATATAGAATGAAGGTTCAATAACCTCCCGGCTTCCGTATTCTATACCAATTATTTCTAAAGTGATGAGCTTGTCAATTCCCAGGGTGTCAACAGAACGCTCAATTCGACATCAGAGCACAGAATTTGTCATGCAGTTGCTCAGGACTAGGAGATCTATTGCACGCTTATAAAGAAATTGATATGTGCAGCATTTGAGGGTGTCGCTTTCATGCTGAAAATGTCATGTTTGTAAAGCACTAGAATACATGTTAGTCAGGCTTGCCGCGATGAAGGTCTGGAAGTAAATCGTCAATCGTCCGCACCAAAGAAAGCCCTTTGGGATAGCATTTTGATGCGTTTCTTGCTAGGCACTTAGACATATGTCCCGGACTCGCGTCTACCCGTAGTGGGTTTAAAGATTTCAACAGTGATATCATCTGTGACAAGGTACTAATTCAAACACTTTTGTAGTATAATAGCTTCATGTAAATAGTCTAGTGATGGAAAGGTCGAGAGTTGACATCGTTAGTGGACAAGGAATGGGTAATGTAGCAGGGCAGCAGGATTGCATAGGAAACTAATTGACCGAAGGGCAAGCTCTAACCTTAAGAGACAATTAGACTATAGACAGTGAATAGGAAAAGAAGTGAAGGAAAGTTATTTGTCCCGAGAAAGAAGATTACGTGCTTGAAGAGGGCTACGAGTTTCACGGAATTGCCTTGCAACCCCACCAACAGCTGCTCGCTATGCAGTCCATCCAGCTTAACCCTTAACTGCTTCAAAAAATGGGGATACTTACGAGACCATTTATTCGAGTTAGCAAGAGAACTACACGATATATGAGCTCATGGAGTAGCAACCATGAGTTGTTCGAGTACACTTCCGGGCGATTCTTGTCAGTTGTAGCCATGGCCCAACACATTACTGAGTACTATCTACTCACTTTTCTCAATTCAGATTCAACAAGCAGCGTCGACTTGCTGAGCGTCGCGTCCGGTTCAATGTTGATGCGCTTTTGAACGCTGTATGTCAGTCAACGAATCGCCCTGTCGGTGACATCTCTTCACTCTCAAAACTCGCATAAAGTGGCCATAGCTGTATCATTCAGACCACGTTCAAAGATGGCTATTATGTGCTTGTTAAGGTACCCTACAAGATAGCGATTCCAAGGAAATTCACTGTCACAAGTGAGGTGGCTACTTTGGATTTACTCCGCTGCGCTGGCGTACCAGTTCCCAAGGTTCAGGCCTACTGGGCTAACAATAAAAACTCCGTTGGTGCTGAATACATCCTTTTTGAGAAACTGAAAGGACAGCCTTGAGAGATGATATGCTAGAGACTTCAAAGAGTGATGTTCAGCAGACTGCGTTTATGGAATATCAGCCTTTTGACAATCATGATGAAGGTCCTTTGGATACTGAGGATTGACAGATAATTTGAGCATTTATTCTCGAGTTTCATTTGTTTCACAGCTCAGCATCCAACCAACATCAAACGACCTTTTCGGCCGTGTCGATATCCTGGAAATGACAATCAATCAAGAAAAGAAACGAAAGGTAAATTAGCTAGACAGCTAAAATCATCCACTAAATATATTGCAGTCATAAAAATATGGGTATGCATGCACACGTTAAGTCAAAACAACACTTCCTTGTAATCGTATCCAGTAGCCTATACCTCCTTCCTGCCAGATCGCTCCACAGATAACGCCATGAACAAAAGAATCAACAAAGAAAAAAGAAGGAGAAAGAGCGCATCCAAGCGCAGAGACATAAAAAACGAACAATAAAGGAATACGGGATGGCCAATAAAGGACTGTACCATTGTCATTGGTAGTGAACATCCCTTTCTATGTCGAGGTCCCTGGCCGGCTTTCCACGTATGATAGTCACACCAAGGTGGAGATAAACTCGTCAGACCACTAGTGATATCCTTTTGTCCGGTTGCGACCAGAATAGTAAGAGCTGCCGTGTTGGAAGTATGGGTGCAAGCAGGCCTGTTTCGCAGAAAGCCGGCGTACTGGATCATACTCGAGTAGGCCTTCTATGAGATCGAGGCCGGCGTCTTCCAGTCCAGGAACGACATTAGCCATGTCTTGACGCTTCCACTTGGGGAACGTAGGTTTGTAGTCGGGGAAAGATGAGATGCCAGGCCAAATGTTCTCATCTGGAGTACCGAGAAGCCTGTAGAGAAATGACTTGTGTTAGCCCAATATCCTTTGTTGTATGGCTTGATCAAGGAGCTTAAAAAAGCGCACCGGAAAATCTTGAAAATCTCATCAATCTCGGAATCACCGGGGAAGAGCGGCCTACGTGTGCACATCTCTGCGAAGATTGCACCAGCAGACCACATGTCGACACCAGTGGAATATTGCCGACCACCCAATAGAATTTCAGGAGCACGGTACCACAATGTCACGACCTGGTTAGGAGTGTTAGTTATATCGCTGGCGTGGTTGTGGCATCAAACAGTAAAGCTTACTTCGTGAGTGTAAGTTCTTAGCGGGACACCAAACGCTCTCGCCAATCCAAAATCGGCCAATTTCAGGTTACCATCACGGTCGATAAGCAGGTTCTGCGGTTTGAGATCCCGATGCAGGATACGGTGGCTGTGGCAGTATCGGATTCCTTCCACCAGCTGGGCCATAAACTTCTTGACCATGGCATCTCCCAAGCCCATGTCTTTCCTCATCGTAGTACCGTCTGGAAGGGCCTTTCCGCGTCCACCTTCGCTCACTGGAAGAGCCTCCATGTATTTCTTAAGGTCGAGATCCAGGAATTCGAAAACGAGGTAAAGCTTGTGACCATCGGCGTGCACAATGTTGAGGAGGCTGACGATGTTGGGGTCGTGCATCTCCTTGAGCAAAGAAATCTCACGAATAGCTGTGCTAGGGACACCTTCATCTTCCGCTTCCAGGCGAATCTTCTTCAGGGCAACAATACGGCCGGGGTGGGTGAGTTCGCGGGCTTTGTAGACAACACCGTAAGTCCCTGAAAAAAGAGGAGAGAATATCAGTTTCCTAAGGTTTGATTTGATCTCGATGGGACAAATTTAAGGCTATTTCGAAGTGATATTCAGATTCAACGTACCCTCTCCGATCTTCTCAATCCGGTGGTAGTTCTCCATGTTGGCGGTAAGTATATGATCTGTTTAGAGTATTGACACAATGACGAAGAAAGAAGACTCGTCCACTATCAGTTAATCGAGCAATAGTTGTGAGAGCCCGTTGGAGTGTTGATTCCTCAAGGGGTGAGAAGTTATAAACAAAGGGCCGGATGTTGTTGTCAGGAGAGAAAGAGGAGAGCAGCAACGAGAGTTGAAGGGAATCCCGATTGCCAACCGGCCACAGTCGTAACAGCAAAGTAAGCAGCACCAAGCAAACACCCAGCGGCGAAATCCCGAGAGAAGTAGTCAAATTCAACCGGCTTGACAATAAAATGGATCCTGATTCTTTCTTTATTTTCGCTGTTGGTGGTGGGGAGCGAAGGCGGTGAGCGTTGCACCCAAACAAAACACCAAAGGCGGTGAACGCGCTTCCACGTGACTTTATTTATCATTCCGTCATTCTTTTTTTTTTTGGCAGGCAAAGAACTGTTATTGTTCATATCTAGTGCGCTGATATCGTCCAGTGAGCTCTAGGAACAAGATATGGCTCATATCAAAGGCTTTAATGCTCATGATCGCCCTCCGGAGTCCATCCGTCAGCGCTACAAGAAATATCAGAAAACCCCTCTAACGGAAATTGACCACGACTCTAGCATACTTGATCTCCGGGCCTTGGACCCGGACAGCCTTCCGGATGGTATCTCTGTTTCGGAATGGAGGTCCAGTGAGGACTTTCGACTGGCATTTGACCAGTTCGTCAAAGGGGACAGCAGCGTATGGCAGCACAGAGGTCCTCTTCTCGAAAATATTCCCGTCTTTACTCATCGATCCGTCTCTGGTCAGCACAAGTAACCACCTTATCTTCCTTGGTAACTGAAGGAAGGGTAGGGACCATAAACTCGGAGAACTAATGAATACCAGGCTTGCTAATGATTCCGTCAATGTTTCCCCCCACCGTCCAGATCGAACTGCTGTCTCGTCTTCTCCACCGGGACCTGTCAAACAACGAACACCAGACAAATGTCCATCTGCATTACAACGTTACCTATCCCGATCAGGCACAAAGTACTGAAATTCCAGGTGGACCAGCTTCTTCAAGCTCAGGCCAAATTCGGAATCAATTTCCATCTTTTTTTGCAGATGATCCAAAGAGGACCATTCAACCCAACGATCCAGGAACGCATAAGTCAATCACGGTACAGAATTTATTAGAGAAAAAGCTCCGCTGGGTCACACTGGGTGGCCAATATGATTGGACTGCCAAAGTATACCCAGATGGCCCTCCCCCTACATTCCCGAGTGATGTTGCGGAGCTCTTGCGCGCAGCCTTCCCAGAGACGGAAGCACAAGCTGCAATCCTGAACGTTTATTCTGCCGGTGACACATTGAGCGCCCATCGCGATGTCAGCGAGAAGTGTGATGTGGGCTTGATTAGCGTTAGTTTCGGTTGTGATGGATTGTTCATAATTAGCCACGACGACGGCATTGGTTGTGAGATTATTCGTCTTCGATCAGGTGATGCCGTGTATATGAATGGTTCATCGAGATTTGCATGGCATGGAGTGCCGAAGATCTTACCAGATACATGTCCGAGTTGGCTGGCAGACTGGCCATCGCTATCTCCCAACAACACAGACGCATCACAGTATGCGCTTTGGAAGGGCTGGATGTCCGGAAAGAGAATCAACTTGAACGTCCGACAAATGGTGAATTCTATGCTACATGAAGCGCTTGTCACTGGCCATTGAGCTAGTGCAGTGACGAAAGACCTTCAGAGTACAGCAAGAAGTGCCCTCATCTTATTCCCGTCCTTCTCGGTGTTAGTTGTCCAACAACTGAGGGATGCGACCTACGATATTGACGAATATTCCATACATAGAATTTGCATTCGGGTTGTGATCTCGTTGGCAGCAAGTACACGTTCTCGAGCATTTTTTGGTTGTTTATATAGATATTTGAACTGTACATACATACATATGGGGTTAGAAGAAAAGCAATATGTTCCGTTGATTGGAAATTCTAAACCAGCTTTCCCTATTACGAAGTAGTCCCAAGAAAAGCAAAGAGAAATGTATTGTGAGTGGAAGGGTTGTGAAGGATCTCCACAGTCCGGTAAAAGCTTGGCAAAACACTGCAGCTTCCATTCTCTCGTCCGCTCTCTTCATTTCTTCCACCTTTTCCTACTATCCAACTCAATCACCACGTATTCCTATAAAAGCCTCTGCTCCTTTTTGTGTCTGCTTTTATCCGGCACATTTTCATATGAGACAGACAAACCAGGTCATGATTTAGACTGAGGACTCGCACAGCATATTCTGTCATTCCGCATTTCACCGACAACCACGCGTCTCGCAAACCTGCACCTGCATTCAATCCTTGACCTCGTGGCTGTTGTGAAACATGGAGGACGCCCCTTCTTCTCGACAAGCTGAAGTCGATACCCCCGAAGGCTCTATTGGGGGCGATGAAAACCAGGGCCAGACACCTGCCGCGAAGGGCCAGTCGGTCAAAGACCGAAAATGCCAATACTGCCAACAATCCTTTACCTCATCCTCTCTTGGTCGACACCTCGACCAATTCCTTTTTAAGAAGAAACCCGACGGTATACACAATGTTGAGGAGATCCGACGTCTTCGAAGTGGTATCACCCGACGCCAGGCGCGCACCTCGACCGGCAAACGAGACACCCCTGAGCGAATCACGGCGAAAGGCCAATCGGATCTGTACGGCGCTGGAGAGAATGGTGGGAAATCACGGGATGGTCAAGTCCGTATGATGTTTAACACGCCAACGTGGCATGCGACCGGTGTTATCAATGATATTCCGAATCCGAACAATCCCCAGGATGGCGCTGCGCGGTACACGCCGTCGCAGTCCCGGACGGGGTCTATAAACTTGCCAGACTATGCTAGTCGAAATGCAAGCTCGCAGAATCCCGATACTATGAAGGCATTGGAATTGGCCTTGCGAGAGGTCTTGGATAATATTAGAGCTGCAACGTATGTTTTGTCCCTTCCCATTCTTTCCTAGCCAGAAGGATACTTATGAATATGTGTACTATAGTTCCAGGATGCGGCCACGGATTTCTCCATTTGATTTTGATATTCAGTCTCAAACGTTTCCATCGCTTTGCTTACAACTGCTTCCGCCTCCCCCGAGCCTTTTCTCCGCGGCTCCATTCCCATCTCCTTCCTTCTTTCCCTTGGAACCTCCGGGAGCTGAGCATCTGGAGATCGTTCGACAAGCTCTTCGGGCCAAGATTGCGCAATGGCAATCAGATCAACTTTCTCCTGATGCTACGAACAATTCTCAGCCCGGAAGGTTCGGTATGGGTATGGATTCTAGTATGATTGCTCGAGGTGTCCAGCAGCACGAGGATATGAGCTTGAGGCATCTTGAATTGGCATATAAACATTGGATGTCGCTTCCCCCGGAGGAGAAAGACAGTGTATGGAAACTAGAAATCACCCGCTCATTCGCCCGGGAAATGGACAAACGGAAGTCCGTGGACGAACAGTTAGCGCGCGTTCAGCAAGAGGCAAATCAACTCCGCGCGCAGGTCGAGAGACTCGGTTCCTGTCAATGGCCAAGAGAGTTTGCTCTCTTCCCACCAGATACTCTCCCATTACCACGCGATATTGCTCGAGAACTGGACGCAAAGGAAAGCCATCTCAACCCTCATTCTCCTCGATGGGATTACGAAAACGTGGTGGCCAAGTGGAAACGAGTGGTTATGCATGATCGAAGCATGGGCCGGGTTGGTGTAGGACTTTCGAACCCCGTCCTCGATGAAAGCGAGAATTCTCCGGAGCAGCCCAAACAACATACGGGCGACGAATCCAGCCACGGCCGTTCGAAATCTATGCAGGGTGCCCGCGCTTCAAGTCCTGAAAATCAACAATCTCCCCAACCTGGTGGTCAATCTGCCTCGTCCAGCCAGTATCGCTCGCCTTACCTTGAATCCAGCCGGAGTCCCGTAGCTGGCGGACCACCAGCCAAACGTGCTCGCCTGATGAACGGAAATGGCAATGGAAACGGTCCTGAGGGACCTGCTGCTCCTTCTCCGAATCAAAGTGGCCCTAGCGCTTCTCACTCTTGGAACTCTCACCACCCACCTCAACCTCTTACGGTGTCTAACCTCGCAACACCCTCTGCCCCAACACCTTCTCCATCTAATTCTGGTGCATAGTCTTGGATCTATGGCTGCTTTAGAGTATAGTATAGATGGCCATTCTACTGTTTCTCTTATTATACTGTTTTTCTTGGGGTAGACCTGCTCGCATGCTGGCTATTGGGTGGATTCAATTTATAAGTACACGGACTTAAAACTGACACTGAACAATGTACACTAAAAGAAACGAACAATTCATAACACTTGCTCATTGCTTGACAGTCTTTCTTGTCTTTCGGGCACTCAGCCATTTTTTCAGGTCTTGTATGCCGTGAAGATATAACCAAGATATGATAAACACAACAATGAAGTTGAAAATGATATATCCAAAGAAGATGCCCTATATTGTTAGTATTCAAGCCTGAGGATAGGGTCTCAAACTCACATAATCACGCCATTTGTGGTTGTAGAAGACGTTGAAACTTGCAGCCTATCAAACATTAGCACCAAACCACCATACCAAGGGCATCAAAGGCAAACATACAAACTGATCCCCACTCGCATACTGACAAAACGCACATAACCCACCCCCAGCATCCCTAATATAACCCCCAGCCTGCCTCAAAAACCCCCCAGCATACCCCTCACAACTCTGCCCCGGCGGCACCGTAAACCAACTCTCCTCCCTCTCTACACACCTCACCGGAACCTGATGCACCACAACCCCCAAAAATGCCTCAAGCAGATAATGAAAGGGTGTGAGCCAGTACATCCACGATTGCCAGAAATGTGGCAGCGCGCGGTAGGGCACGACGACACCGCAGAAGGCCACGACAAAGGTAAAGAAGGCGGGGACGAGGAGCGAGGCGAAGAGCTCGTTGGGGGAGAGGGCGGCAATGAATTGGCCGAAGCCGACGTAGAATAGCTCGAAGAGCATTAGGAGAAGCCAGGTGAAGCCCGAGCGAAAGGAGGTGCGGGGGAACCAAGTGCCCCAGTACCTGTTTATTCTAGGTTAGGGGTGAGGGTTCTTGGTGTTATGGGTGGCTTACCAGCAGTTGAAGTAGATGGACCCTGCGACAATGGAGTAGGGTATTTCGGGTAGGATGGTACTGGCAACGAATGCGACCCAGGAGTAGATTTTGGAGCTTGATTCGCGGGATTCATATAACCCACGGAAATGAAGGTATCGTGGTTGCAATTGCTGGATCAATGGTGGTGAGATGGTAAGCGTCATAAACACGGAAAACAGCCGTGATTGCATGTCGATATAACTGTTTCCCAGGTGCCAGAAGGTGAAGGTGTTGAAGAGGCCGGTGAAGATATGGAGCATAAACTTGCCCTAGAACGCTGTTAGATATTAGATACTCTCAATCTAAGTCCTAGGGTGCTTACCAATGCATATTCCGGGGTTCGCCAGTATGCAATAAAAGCACGCTTCGTTGTAGCCAGGATCTGAGTCCATAGCGGCATGGCAAACTCTTTTTCGTCATTCTTGTTTCTCTGGTCTGTATTACCAGCACGGGACTCGACGATTTGGTTAATATCATCCATGAGTCCTTTGTATTCAGTAGATTTTTCCCAGACGTCAGCCCAATCCTGTCCGCTGTAATCTGGATTTCCGGCGCCGATGACTTCGAGCATGTACTGTACCAGGATTAACTTCATGGCAAACTAGATGAATTGTGCTGGAGCATACCTCTGCCGGATTCGCATCCGGAGGACATTTTTTACCGCCATTTTCTTCGAAATATCTGATAAGCTTCTGGGAATCCTGTCCTAGCTCCCCGTTATATACGACCCTACCTCCTGCCTTCAACAGAAGCAACTCATCAAACTGATCAAATAGCACAGCGGACGGTTGGTGAATTGTACACAGAACAGCCTGCCCAGCATCCGCTAATCGTCTCAAAAAACGAACAATATTAAACGCAGCCAGGGAATCAAGTCCAGAGGTAGGCTCGTCCAAAAATAGCAATAGTTCCGGCTTACTTGCCAGCTCAACTGCAATCGTGAGCCTTTTGCGCTGTTCCTGGTTTAGTCCAAAACCCATTGAACCAACAGTGGCACCTGCAATTTGGCGCATCTCCATTAGATCAATGACTTTCTCGCAGTAGTCGTATTTTTCTTTGACGGGGACGTCTTTGGGTTGGCGGAGAAGTGCTGAGAAGCGGAGGGACTCGCGGACTGTCGCTGTGGGTTCGTGGATGTCCATTTGTTCCGCAAAGCCGGTTGCTCTTTGGAAGCTTCTGGGAAGGGGTCTGTGGAGGTTTAGGATTGTTCTTTTGCCTGTGTGCCAGAGACACTCACTTTCCATCTACCAGAAACGTGCCTGTGACAACTCCAAAGTTAATGCGTTGTGCTAAGGCATTCAATAGTGTGGTTTTTCTGCAGATGGTCAGCAAGATACTAAGATCGAATTTCTAGATGCACCAACCCGGAACCAGAAGCCCCCATCAAAGCAGTAAGACGACCAGGCTTAACATAACCCTGAACATTCTGCAATAGCTTCCTTTGTCCGCCCTTATACGGTATCGTATAAGTGACATTCTGCCACGTGAAAATCGACGTATTCTCAGCAATTCCCTCCACCTTTTCCATAGAGTCTCCTGACTCATTTTTTCTCGAGTGAGGCGTGGCAGTATCTCGCTCACCGGTTTCCTCATCTTCAGGCATATTCTTTTCTTTGATCACATGCTCAATCTCCTTTGGTGCTTCGCCCCTCTTGAAAACAGTAACCGCCATCCCACCCTTGTTAGGCTTCTGCCTTTCCATACCCAGCACCGTCAGCGCAACAAAAAAGATAAACCATCCAATCACAATACCAAAATTTCGCCACAGGTGGGACCTCGTGTATGTGTAAGCGCTTCGGATGTAACTTGCACCACGAACAATTGTGGAATCCGGAGTGCTGCCCTGTATTGCGCAGCTTTGGTGGCCCGGCAAGGCATTGGGGCCGTCTGGTACAATGGAAGGCGGCTCGCATTGAATGTCCATATTGTAGAATTCGTTTGCCATTATCGCTTCGAAGCAATATTGTACGGGGTTGATCCAGATTAACCACTTGAGCCAGGGGTGCATTTTCCAGGGTGGGATGAGATATCCTAGCATTGTTGTCAGTTATGATATTGAAGGTGTACTCGAGCTTCCTGTACCTGTATACACAATCAGGGCTTGGATTGCAACTCCAGTAAGTCTTGTAGCTACGAATAAGTTATTTAAGCTGCTAAAGAATGAGTGTTCCGATTTAACATACCAACGTCAAGCGACGAGACCAACGCTCCTAAGGCTCGAAAGAAAGAGTACATGGTCATGGTGAGTATAAATATAAAAAGGAAGTTAATAAAGAATTGAGAAGCTGTCCTTGAAAGATTAGACATGCTAGCGTGTATTAGCATAATACCTCCTGGATGCCGTAAGGTTGAAGCATACAAGTAGACAATTACATCAAATAGCACCACCTGGACAAACACAAGTGGGACGTCGACCACGACTTGGGCCAGGGCATAAGCTGCTGGACGATAGAAACAACTAGGAATGTCAGTTATGTTCGGGAAGAGATAGGAATATTGTGATGCTCACAAACTTTTATGCTTCATTAGAATCGGCCGACTCTGGAAGGCTGCTGTGAGTTCGGCCATTGCAAGTAGAGCATTGAAGAGAAGAATGAAGAACATGACACCGCCTCTAGTGAAGACCCCGTTGCTGTATATCTGTCAGTTATCTCGTTCAAAGCTAGTGAATAAGACTGACCTGGTCTGTGGAAGGTTGAAGAATAGACTTCCTATAATGAGTGCCTGGAAAACAACCACGCCCCATTTAATTACCAGAGACTGACTGTCTCCAATCATGACAAGGAACTGTCTGCGAGTGAGAATGATGATTTGCTTGTAGAGCGATATCGTGTAGTTCTTCTTCTTTAGCTGACTCCTGGCGGCTTCTCGTTCATTTCTTTGAGACTCAATTTCTTTTTCGAATTCTTCAATATCCGCAAAGGCCGCCTTGATATTGTCACTTTTGCGATATGCTCTTTGGAAATCTTCAGCAGAGCGCGGAATCCGATTTTCCCATCCACTCTTGACGCGCCGTGCATGCGGATCGCTGACAGATGTCAGAAAATCCGGTGTTGTCCATCGCGGGGGACATTCAAAACCTAGTCGCTCAAAGTAGGCTTTCGCATGCTCTGTGCGACCAAAATAAGCACATTTGCCGTCTTCTATGAGGATGACCTTGTCGAATTGGCGAAACAAGCTCTCGGAGGCTTGGTAGAGAGCCACTAATGAAGAAACTTCGGCAGTGTCTGTTAAGCTTCGTAAGCTTTGCACATACTCAAGAGCCGTACTAGCGTCAAGGCCTTTGGTCGAGTTGTCCCAGCATTGTGTACTGCCCTTCGTTACCATCGCCTCGCCTAGGGATACACGTTTTTTCTCGCCACCTGAAATTCCTCGAATCAGTTCGTTGCCGATCTTCGTACCCATCGCATGTTCAATCCAGAACAACTTTGCTATGGCATTCAAGTAGGTGCTCTGGTAATCTTTCCTGCTTTCGTCGGGAATGCGCGATGCCTTGCCTGGAGTACGGGACTTGAGAGCAAACATGAGAGTATCTCGCACGGTTAAGGTTGCATAATGAAGGTCATCTTCTGGATTATACAGCACTGTAAGGCCCAAGTATAAGCCATCGTTCTAGCTGCACCTAATCATTATGACCATACCTTCAGAGCGATATTTATCTGCCATAGTTTTTGAATCAGTACCTCCGTAAAGGACATCTCCCTCGATACCCTTATATCCGGTCCTTTGGTTCCCAATGACCTTCAGGAAAGTAGAGCACCCAGAGCCTGGTCGTCCAAGAACAAGGAGCATCTCTCCAGGGCGAACACAACCCTATGTATGTGAGTGTCACGACTACTATGGTGAAGGACCACGGAACGTACTGTAAATCCGTCGATAATTGTCCTTGTTGGTGGTTTCCCAGCACCAGCACCATTCTTACCCTTAGTTAGAAGCTTCTTAATCAATCTCGGTATCCCCAGAAAAATATCAAGGATCGTCGGCTGAAGAACGGCTCCCACACCTACACCTTTGACAGTGAGATTCTTCCACACAACGCCCGAATGCCTCGTTTTCTCTTCCTGCGAATTTTCCTTCCTCTCCCGACCGAACATCCGCGAAACTAGCTTCTGTATCTGGTCCAAATCCTGTCCTCCACTATCTCCGTTAGATGCACTGCTCTGGGTAGAATTTCCATGTTCCGGGTCATCTTCGTTATTCTGTTCCTCGTACACTGGCTTGGAGGAATTCTGATTCTCTTCGTTGGAGGATGGATCGTCGATTGCCGTAGCGTCTGTAGCAGTGGTTGTACTTGGGGCCATGGACTCCATGGCTACGGATTGCGCAGCAGGTCGTCCTTGTTGGGGGCTTGCTGTATCCATATCGGACGGACAAGCACCGGTAGTGCCAAGATGAACGATGTACGAGATCCTGTATGTAGTGAGTGACCAACAATTAGCAGCAACGTAAATGCTTTGAATGATAGCAGCTCTGTTTGTATGAGTATTAAAGCTCTGGTAACAACCTCAAACAGAGCTTTGAGTGACAACAGGCTTCCCAACTTCAACACAATGAGCTGGTTGTTATTTGACATAATATTCGTATAACTATAGAACCTGACTAGTTCAACTCTCTGTTGTTGATTGCGGTATCTCATCATGAAGTCATCATAGAATTGTGTGATAGTAATGATGGTAAGATCGATGGTTCACCCAGGGGTTATCAATTACAGATAAGCCAGTCATGCTCGATGCTGTTCAAAATCAAGATCTCATCCTTGGGGGTAATAGAGGCGTGTTCTTCCTGCCAATAAGAAAGGGTTCCGTCTTCTGAGGAATTAGCGGAACCAGAGATGAACACCGGAGGCTGATTTTCGGTCTTTGGAGCGACAGATTAATGTGTTGGTGAAACGGGCAAGATTTTGGCAAGACGAAAGAGGGAATGTATGCCTGAGGCTGGTAACACTTTAACGCTCCAATTCTGCTCTTCTCCATCAAAGCCTGCTTTGATGCCGTGTTCTACGGAGTACGAGATATCAATGGGAGAAAATGATCAAGAGGTAATTCTAAGAGGCCAGCTACGAATTGATATCACAAGACTCCGTAGGTGCGAGTCAATGCATCTGTCAGGAGGTTTCATAATATATGCTCAGCAAATTCGCGCCCGAGAGAAACTTACGAGAAATGATCATATTGCACTGTACAGAGTAGAGTCCCTTCAACATCGTCAGCATCACAGGTGCATACGCCTGGTTCAACATATACTCGTATCTCAAGCACCCTGGCCGATTAGGTCTCAAAAAAGAGGAGGCTGGTCAACCAGGCCATTTACACAACACCCAAATCAAACACGCTAAACCATGTCTGTCACTAGTTCAACTGCTTAAGTCTATACCGCCCAATGGCGTACTGTACAACTAGCCCACCTGTAGATCGTAGATTAATTGGGTTACAAGACAATCAAAGGACGACCAGCCACCGACCGCAGAAAAACCAGCGAATTAAGACAGCAGAGCACTGGCGGTTTAAAATAGTAAAAAGAAATGGCTGGGAAGGATATACCGTACCTGACAGGTTTTGATTTTTCCTTTTATATGCTGGAGAGCCCGCGCATTTTTCCTATCTCTTTACGTCTGTTCCTCGATTTTGGTTGTTTACTCCATCTATACATACGCGGAGTTGTTATACATCTCCCTATTTGTCTCTCTGCTTTTTTATTTCGATTACGTCAATACGAGGCCATTGAAGAAGAACCTTCAATCGATTACCGAGAAATCCAGTCGAATCACGAAGGGGAGAAATACACCCATCGCTCAATAACACCTTCCCGGCTCTCTCACTCTCCTCCGTCCTAATTCAACAAAAGCAAAACCGTAACTATGAAGCGAAACGTCGCCATCGCCGTCATTATCATCATCCTATTCATCCTCCTCGCCCTGGCCGGCTTCGGAATCTGGGCTATGAAGAACCACGTTTCATTCTTCTCGAGAAGGAAGGATGAGGACGAGGAGAGTGCACCGGAGTAATCTTGATTCTACGACAAAATGAGATGAATTGGACCGTACCGAAACGAATCGAGCCGAAAACAAGCACTGCGTTAGACGATGACTGGATGATTCAAATGCTTTTATACCCCTTAATAACGAGTTCTTCTCTTTTCTTTTCTTTTCTTTTTTTTTATGTGCGCTACACGATGCGATATATATACGACCGTCTATACTACTACTGTTTATCCACGATTGATGACGATATCATATTCTTATCCCAGGCGATATTCCATGATTATGTTCCGATGATGTGCCGTGTTTGTCATTTGGGGTCTTATGATGGACGATAATTTGTGTTTTTATGTGGGATTGTGAAAGGCGCTTTTTTGCTGCTGCATTTACATGTATTGTGATTTGCTTGATAATTGAATTGAATACCCAAGACAATAAATATGGTCCAAGAATGCCTTTACAAAGGGTTGAAAGGACACTTCCATGCGATTATCATACGGCTGCATTATGTATGCCAGGTGCAAGATAGAAGCATCCCAGATCATCCCAGTATCTTCAGCCCACCCTTCGTTTTTCCAGGTTTCTTGACTCCATCATGCTTGACCTTGCCAGAGCCCGGGCGTCCGCCAGAACCACCAGCACCGGCACCACCGTGGTTCTTCTTTCCTCCCTTGATGGCATTACCGGACACAGGACGAACTTCAGTCATGGCCCGTCTCAAGAGGATTGGATGAGAGCCAATGTACTTGCCCTGCATTTCTCTCGCGGCACGGAAATAGTCGTCGCCGTCACTGAAGCTGACGAACCCAAACCCCTTACTTTTCTGTGTGCGCTTGTCACGAATGACTCGAGCTTTCTGCACCGAAGAAAACTGGGAGAACGCTTTGAAGAGGGAATCATCGGTTACCTCGCCTGCAAGGTTACCCACGAAGAGTCGGAAATGTGCCGGGTCCCATTCAAGGAGAGTGGAATCGGTCCAAGTCTGACCACCACCAGAACGCACGACGGTCTTGGAATCTTGCTGGAGGCGCCCGGGAGCCGGGGTGGGTGTGTTAGATGCAGGGGCACTGGTCGAAGGTGTATAGGCGCCTGGCCCCTGGGCAGCACGAGGGGCGGGCCCTTTACTGGGAACGGCAGTTGACATTTCCTGGCTGTTAACATAGGCACTCTGCCATTGAGCAATTTGGGCTTCTGTCTCAGCATCTACACCAGAATCATTGCGTCCATAGTTCTTCCCATAAGCGTTTGCCTGGTCCGGATATGAACCATAGGTGGCATCGTTATATTGTGCCTGGCCATAGTATGATGGTCCGCTTTGGTAGGTCTGCGGTTGCTGTTGATAGTAGTTTCCGTAATTAGAGGTCGCCGGAGCTTGATAACCACTTGTTGTGGTTGGTGGAGCTTGATAAGAAGGCTGGCTGGCGGCTACGGCACGCGGTTGAAAAGAGAAGGCATTGTGTCCCGGTCCAGGCGCATTTCCACCATATCCACCAGTAGTACCGGGTGACGAATAAGAGGGTGGAGCGGCGTATGCTGGCTTAAAGCCGGACGAGACAGTGGTTGTAGGCGCAGGAGGTCGCGGAGGGAGCGACGAGGGCGTTTGCTTCAGACCTGGAGGGGGCGGAAAGGACATGATGAACGAAGAGCTCGGACAACGTTACAGATAGACGTGATGCGCCGTGTCGCAACGGACAAGCACAGCAGCAAACGTACCTTCAGGGCTTGACTGACGCAGCAGTCTCACGCCAGACGTCACGCCTGAAAGAGATAAGGTGATATCCTGGTGTTTCTTGAGGAAACACGCGGAGAGGTTGAATATCGACCCGCAATAAGCAAGCACTAGGTTAGGAAGATCGAATACCCAAAGCAGGTATGTAGATGTTGTTGCAAATCTAGATGTTCTTAGATGGTCGTCGGTGGTTGAAGATGCCGGTGATGTGACCCCGGGGAAAGAAAAAAAGTATCGGGGTTGGGAATGGGCCACCGTAGGAGGCAAACTGCACAAACAGCACCGCCACAGATTATCTGCTTTACATGCGCCATATGTTCGTCCTCGTGGACGCCACCCCCACTCTGGACCGAATTAGGAACATGCAGTAGCCGTTGCGGCTTTTGATGTCAGTCAACGGGGTTACACAGCATACATTTTGCAAACTACTCCGGAGTATAGAAGTCAAGCGGATAATCAAGCGGAAAAAGGCACCGTTAATGAACGGCTATGGAGAACCCGACAGAAACACATCTGACTCAGCACAAGGCCGAACAGTCGCCGGTTTTGCTTCACCGAAGACAGGTTGGTTTTGCCCCTCTCCGTCGTCAGGTTATCTGCCCCGCCGTTAACTGCCGCCATCTCCGATACCGTTGATATCAGGGAGTGCAGTACTGCGCATACTGGGATTGCGATTGTAGCAGTGAAAGATAGCAATAGACATGAACATATATAGATAGATGAAGGGTATACAAGTAATTGAGGCAATTGAGGCATATTGAATGTCTATACCATAGTAAAATGTATTTATTCACCGGACGACTCTGCTCCTCGGGCTGCCCCGCCCAGCGCCGTCCCACCATGACGGAAGGCTGCTCCGTAATCCGTATGGGATCAGAACAGTCTCTTTTTCTTCTCTCCTCTTCCTCTTCTTCTCTTCTCTCTCTACTCCTCTTCCTCTCTTTCTTCTTTATCAACTATTCTCGGAGCTGATTTTCCGCTGTAGATACAAGAATCTACAGTTCTCTCCATCTCCTTAACCACTTCACACTTCTATCAAAATGGCTGACCAGGCAGTGTGAGTCCTCTTTCCGTTGATTCTAACCCCTCTCCCCCTCTTTTTTTTTTTTTTTTTTTTTTTTTCTCGTTTCTACCTGGCTTGTTGGGGATGA